CCCCCTTTCCTCATAACTAACAACCCCAGGACCCTCATCTTCTACCCCATGTCCGCCCTCCTTGCCATCTTCTGCAACATTCTCCAAAACCCCTCCGACCCCCAAGCCACCAAAGACCTGGGCCTGCTCAAAATAGCCATGAGCATGATGGAACGGGTGTTCCTGCGCCAACCGTCCTCCGTCAACGAGATCGTGCACATCAAAATGGTGGCGGATTTCGTGGCCGAGTTGTATAGACTTGCGAGTTGTGCGATTGAAAAGGCGTGGAATGAACGTTCGGCATAGGTGGGTGGGTAGGTAAGTAGGGACTTGAAGGATTTGGAGTTTTTGTTTTGTGGGTAGATAGATGATACCTAGATGGTTGTGGTGGGTAGACTTGGCGTTTGGTTTCGGGGTTACTTTTTAGATTGTGATTGCTATGCAAGGGGTTTGGTGTGCAGGATTGCAGATTGATTTATTGGCAATGAGATGCCAGTGTGGATGAATGAGCTACAGCAATTTTACGAGATTTACGAAAGAGTTGATGATTCCGGATAACAAAAATGGATTCATATTAACTATCATGATATATGCGAGCGAAACCCAAACCTGAACCGAGTCAGCAAGACGATTCATCCAATCAATGTGATTGCAAGATAGCAACAAAGCGATTAAGCTTATTTCAGAGAAAAAGAGGTAAGATGCGCAGTTATCATCAAGGTGTACATTGCTGTACTTCTGATGGGGTTGAAACAAAGATAAAGGCAAATCATCATATAAGCTAAAACAAAGAGAGAAAAGTTGCTCGACTTACCAATTAGATATGATTGGGGTTGCGAAGTGGCGCTAAAAGCTGAGGTTGAGGATTGAGCAAACTGGAAGCATCATCAAGCTTTGGAGAGTGCTCAATCTTCAATGAGCAGCTTTGGCCATGGCGAATGTTGTGGTCGTCGTTGTATGGCTGAAGGAAAGTTGCGGGAGAAATTTTGGTGGGATTTTAAATGCGCGTCATTAGCGCGGCACGTGATGCGTGCGGAACTTTGTTGTTCCTGAGCGCAGAGGGTGGGTTTATGGGTATCAAAGTGGATGCTCTGTTCCAGTTTTGTAATTCGCGTCTGCCAAGTTGGGTTTGGGTGTTGGGAAATACACAAAGGCTAGGAAATGCCTGTGTTTAGCCTGCTTCACTTGTTCTTATTGGTCGTGGCTGAGATGGGACCAAACAAGATCATAACCCGTTTCGCTTTGTGCGCGCTCTCGTAGAAGGCAGTTTGGCGTATTAATCTGCAGGTCGGCTTGTCATGGGCATTCATGACAGACTTTTAGTAAGAAGCCGAGGCTTCCTGGGGATAGCTTCGACACCGAGCTTATCCGCATCAATGCACTCAACCCTCAATTTTGCCATCTAGGAGATCCCAAACCAATCGTGCGTCTTCAATAGCCTTCTCGTTTGATGTGGCATCCTTTCTGCCGTCCTCCTCTGATTGTTGGGCAGGCGACTGCGCGGCTATCCCATCGGCTTCCAAACGTTCGAGGACACTCGTAATCTCGGCCTTCAACTTGTCCATCTGCTGAATTTCTTCCCTCGTTCGGCTCAATTGCTCTTCCATCATCATGATCAGCGATTCCCGAGCTTGGTGTGGTCGATACAAGTTCAGAAGATGATGCGCGTTGATGAACAGGTTGCGCAAGTCCTCAACTTTGGATTCAAATTGCTCCGGAGACACCGAAAGAACGCCCACGAATTCGAGAAAGTTCAAAAGGAGGGATTTGCTGATCTTCAGGAGATAGTATGCGTGGTTGAGCGGTCGAGACGGCTCTGAAGGCGATTGACGGTCGGTCTCTGCTGGCGGGGACGAGGGGTAAAGCTGAGTGATGCCCTGATCCTTCAGGGATGGAAGAGCGGTCGAGAGCTATGAATTGTTGCATTAGTAGGGTAACAGCTAGAGAGCAATTGCGAACGTACGCTTTGGAGTTCTCCAAACACGCTGTAATGTCCGGAGCTAGGTATCTCTGGGGGCACGAGAAACCGAAGCTCTGGCGGTACGTCCAGGGCGCGTAGTTCAGCTGGCGACCATTTTCTTCGCTGTGGCTTCCCATCCTCCCCTTTTGACGCTTCCTTCTTGATCTCCTCGAGCTTCTTGAGATTGTCGGGCGTGAAATGTTTCCAGAGCGGGGGCGGCGGGGCAAACGCAGTTGCGAGGGTCCGTGGCTGACCAGCGTCGGCCATGATGTTTGCTGCAGTGGAACGGCCGGAGGGAATGACTGAAGGGCACGTCGCGGCGAAGGGGCCGAGTTGTTGAGGATGAAGGTGGTGTTTGTGGCCAAGTCCCAGGCGGCGCAATGCGGAGATCCGGTGTGGCTGGCCCGTGCTCTCAGGCGGCCAGGCCACCTCTCATGGTTGCTGGTACTCTTTCCTTACCAACCACCGCATCTATCTATCCAGGCGTTGCCTTTCGCCGGTTTCCCTCAACTGAACCCACAGAATGCCTCGCAGTGGTCTTGCTGCTGGCTCAGCAAGTCCCCGCTCTCCGGTGGCTGAGGCAACTGGCACAATGTCCCGTCTCTACCAACGCTCGTACCCGGTCGTCGACACTGTCGCGCTAGCCTGCATTGTAGGCGCCTGGATACTGGGACGTCTTGAACTTTCTCCTTGGTTGGCTCAGGCACGGCACTGACTATTTCTCCCCTGCAGATTCAAATATTCGCGACCCCATTTCATCGCATGTTCTCCCTAGATAACAAGTCTATCCAGTTTCCCTACGCCATTGTGGAGAGAGTCCCCGTCGGTGAGATCTACTCCCGCCTTCACTTCTTCTCAAGGCCAATGTCAGCCTATAGTGTGGTCCATCATCTATGCCGGAGTGATCCCGTTCCTCATTCTGCTTGCCTGGGCTGCCGTGTTTCGCCCATACCCCCACAAGGTCCAAGTCACCTTACTTGGCTTCCTCATCGCGCTGATGTTAACGAGCCTCATCACGGATATCATAAAGAACGCCGTCGGACGACCTCGGCCCGATCTGATCTCGCGTTGTATCCCAAGGAAGGGCACGCCTGAGGACTCTTTGGTCTCATGGACCGTGTGTACTCAACCTAACGAGCACATTCTCCAAGAAGGATGGAGGAGTTTCCCCAGTGGCCACAGTAGCTTTTCATTTAGCGGGCTGGGCTATCTGTCATTGTAAGCTTGCATGCCGCTGATCCGCATACTTATATTGATTGATTGTTTAGTTTTCTTTCCGGTCAGATGCATGTTTTTAGACCACGGACCGATCTCTGTCGCTGTCTCGTGGCTTTTGTGCCGTTTCTCTGCGCTCTATTGATCGCCATCTCTCGTCTTGATGATTACCGCCACGATGTATACGATGTCACCTGCGGTTCACTTCTCGGATTGCTGGTTGCATATTTCTCCTACCGACGCTATTACCCAGCTCTTCGGTCCGTGAGCTGCGAGAGCCCTTATGGAAGAGACGAGATTATCGGACCGGATGGCTTCTCTAAGCTTCCTGGTGACGAGGAGCAGCAGTTACCAGGCCATGGATCTGCCACCCGTCCGTGGGATGCCCGGGAGTCCTACCAACTTGCGGAAGCCGCAACTTAAAAACGGTAGATTTGAACTCATTTCCCGTCATTGTGTGTTTTGTTCTATGATACCCTAGAGTCTCAAATGTCGATGTACTATTCTTTCCGAATTGGCTTTCGCTTGTTGTTTTCTAGAATACATCCTTCTCGTCCGCTTGATGCCGGCAGCTTTGGGATATTCATTATATGTCATTATTTTTACAACTTGGAAATGTCTCTATGCTGTACATTGGTCCATTCCTTGACCTCGTGGAAGTCCATCACCCTGTTGGGTCCTCCAAATCGGCCCAGGGTGTCGTTCCAGTTTCTGTCCGAAGCAACCTCCGGGCTCCATTTGATGAGCTCATGGATCTTCTGAGGGACCTTGCCCTCCAAGGCATCGACGATCAGACCTCCGATCGATGGTAGGTACTTGTAGCCTGTTCGACGATCAGTCAGCAATCCAAGGGTGTATGTCTCACGAACAAGGGGACCTACCTCTGCCAGAAGCACCGCACCCCAGAATGAGTGATTTATGCTGGGGGTGACGGTCGATGATGAACTCGCGGTTTGCGGTGTCCGCACACCAACAGATTCTTGCGAAGCTAAACGGGCGGTCTGCCAATTGAGGCACCGTCTCTCTGAGCAGCGCACGAACCCTCTTCTCGGACTCCAAGGGGACCTGTGTCTTCTCAAATGGAAGACTTTGTAACTTCCCATCCGGGGATTGGACCATGTTTGTGTATCCGGGATGCTCATCACAGATCTTGATCTCCCCACGCTCCTCATCCGGCTCGAAGAAGAATCCCTTTTCAATATTGAAGATGACTGGCATGTCCTTGTAGAGCACGCGCTCCTCGGGCTTCAAGGCGATGTGTACGAGCGTCCACGCAGTGGGGCGCAGCTGGTCCTTGAAATCTAAGAACTGTCCTGCATTTGCACCAGCGCACAGGATTGTTTGCTCTGCGCGCCAGATTTTTCCATCTGCAGTTACGGCACCCTTGACGTCGTTGTTCTCGAAAATCAGAGTGATGACTCTGCCAGCTGGCGATCCCGCCACAAACTTGACCCCCAGTCTTTGTGCTTCCCTTGCAGCAGCAACCAGAGCGTTGCGAGCGTGGGCCCAACCGGCCCCGGAACGAAGGAAGTATCCCTTCCATCCAGGGAAATCACCCTTGAGCACAGCAGGAGCCAAGTCGCGAAATTGCTCTGGCTGCGACATTTCAACAATGTTGGGATCCTCGTCAGGCCTCACTCGGACACCAAGGCGGTCCAGGCCGGCTGAGGTGCAAGCGGACATGAGAAGACCAACATCGTGATAGTACGGTTGGAAGAGAGGGTCGTTCTTCCAGCCCTGGAAAGCTTGTTCTCCCAGGATTTCATTCACCTCAATCTCGTCCTTTCTGTTGCTGTACTGACCGGAGGAAATAACCTTGTTGACATCGTTTCCGGCGGAAATGGCGGACGGGACAGGGTAGGGATCCAGGACGGTCACGTTGGTGTAACCTCTGCGAGCCAGGTGAAGCGCTGTTGAGCAACCCCAGGTACCGGCGCCAACAATGAGGATTGAGGAAGATTTAGTGATGGCCATCGTGTATTGTGTCTCGTGGCAAGCGACCGTGATAACGGTGGGGGAGGGGAAAAAGAATCCTCGATCAATGCCGCTCCAGTGGGGAACTCTTGAAATGAGGAAGTGTGAGAAAGCAACTTGCTGGTAATCACCAGAGAATGGCTTCACAGGACTACTGGAATGGCCTTTTATACTACGGTACGACGATGGCGAGAATGAGGGCCAATGGATCATCAGATGTCGGCAGCTTCCCACCCACTGATAGGCAGGAAGGTCCACGCGTGCTTATCGAGCCGTGGCCACCGCCTGGTTACCCTATGAGACCGACCCTCAACTAACACAAACCCTCCCCGCGTGCACAGTCCAACCCATCTTATCCCTGGCCCACCGGAGCTTTATCGCTGCGTGCTTTGCAGGCCCGCTCGCCCGCCGAGGTCGGCCGCCCAAGTCTGGCGTCCGGAGCAAGACCGAAATACCCCCGCCGGCAGTGGCACAACTGGCGGATGGCGAATAGACTGCATTAGCCTAGATGCGAGATAGGACTAGAATGGCCACAGCCCGGCCTTGTTCTGAATAAGGCTTTAGCTGGATGCATGGGCGCCTTTACCCCGTCGTTGCCGGTTATTCGTTCGCTTGGACCTTACTCAATTGCTCCTGGAATCTTACGCAGCCGGTCGGTGGCTTGTTCTGGCTCGCCATGAGCCCAATAATGGTTGCTGCCGCACCTTGTCTTTTCCCTCGTATTAGGGCTTGTCCCGTGGTGATTGCTCGGCATTTCTATCAGGATAAGCCTTCCATAGACTGAACTCTCTATCTCGCCGCTGCCTTGAGCCTATCTGCTCTGTGATATGGAAGCCGTTGATACGATATCCCGGCTAAGTTATGGCGGCAGTATCCCGCTATAAAAGGGGAGAACGCGACTGCCGGATGGGCTACATTTTAGCCCGCGACAGCGTAACCGGAACGAATTTGCCAGTTCTTGTTCGTCGGAAGAATATTGCAGTGAGGAGCGCATGATAGGACCTATTCATGGCTCGCTATCTGCCAGAGAGACTGCAAGATGCAGATGTCGAGGAATATTCGGGGGATCCAACTTTGTGCGACGATGGCGTTTCTAAGAAGCCCGTGGCCACTGAGGATGCCTTGGAAATTGCCCTTGGCGAAAGCAGCAATGTTGAATATACCATTGACTCGGACAACTCCCCTTACCTGGAGGTGCGAGCTAACGTGCCAAACACGGATGACCCTACCTTGCCAGTGAACACTTTTCGGATGTGGTTTCTGGGTGTCGTCTTTACTCTTGTAGGTATACTATGGGCTCACGCTATCGCTTACTGACAATCTTCCAGCTCGGTACAGGTGTTAACCAGTTCTTCTCCATGCGATATCCAAGTGTGACAATTACATCCCTTGTGGCGCAGCTGCTCAGTTACCCTGTGGGTTGCTTTTTCGCCAAAGCACTGCCTATCATGAAGGTCCGCTTATTTGGACGCTGGGATTTGGACATAAACCCGGACCACCATTTCAATATCAAGGAGCATGCTGTGATTACGATCATGTCTAATCTCAGTTTCAACCAATCCTGGGTGAGTCTTGTCCATTGAAGGATGCGAACGAGAGACTGACACATACCAGGCTAGTGCTATTATCCAGGCACAAAAAGTGTATCTGAAGATGTCAACGCCGGTCGGGTATCAAATCCTGCTGTCGCTATCTATGCAGCTGTTTGGCCTTGGTCTTGCTGGGCTGTCCTATCGATACATCATTGAGCCTCCTCAGATGGTAGGTCTTGCAAGATCGATCATCAGACTAGCTTGACTGACTGCATCAGATCTGGCCTTCCACATTGGCGAATGCTGCGCTCTTCCAAACACTACACAGCGGTGCAAACCCAATGGCCGACGGCTGGAAGATCTCCCGGTACCGGTTCTTCTTGTACGCCTGTATTGGAAGTTTCTGCTGGTACTGGTTCCCTGGCTATATCTTTACCGGGCTGAGTACATTCGCCTTTATTTGCTGGGCAGCTCCTAGTACGTGCCCCATATAAGAAGAAGGTAGCTCCGCTGACATCGGTACAGACAACAAGGTCGTCAACAATCTCTTCGGCATGACGACGGGCCTGGGGTACATGCCAACGACTTTTGATTGGAGCCAGATTGCCTACAACACTTCACCCCTGACTATCCCATACTGGGCTCAAGCCAACGTTTTTGCAGGCTGGTTCTGCATATATGCTATTGCAGCTCCAATCCTTTACTATACCAATACATGGTACACAGCATATCTCCCACTCACGAGCTCTGACGCATATGACAACACCGGAGGCCTCTACAATTCAAGTCGCATATTGGACAGCTCGGGTGCCATCCGCGAGGAGATGTACAAGGCATATAGCCCGATCTTCCTGCCTGTAACTTTCTCCTTGAGCTACGGAGTAGGGTTTGCAGTGTTAACTTGCCTGATCACGCACGTGTTACTGTACCATACCAAGGATATCATCAGTACATTTCGGGGGGAGAACAAGAAGGATATTCATGCCAGACTGCTTTCCCGGTATCCCGATGTACCCTGGTGGTGGTACGCTGTTCTGACGGTCGGTAACATTCCTTCCCTGACGACGCAAAAGGCTAACTGGGAAAAGGTTATCATTGTTGCGCTTGCAATCATGACCCAATATGTATGGGACACAGGCCTCCCATTCTGGGGTTTATTTATCACATTGGCCTTGGCTGCTATCTATGTAATCCCAGTTGGAACAGTATATGCCGTGGCGAATCTGAACAGCAACTGCCTGACCGTCTTGGGAGAGATTGTGTCTGGTTACCTTCTGAAAGGAAAACCCCTTGTTCTTTTGATCTTCAAGGTACGAGTCTCGTTAAGCTTTCCGGAGGGTTGGTTTACTGACAAGAATAAGTTCTATGCATACACCGGACTCAGTCAAGCTATGTATTACGGCGCAGATATGAAGGTTGGTCGAGTCCACACTTTTTGCTATGAGTCCCTATTAACATTAAAACTTTCACTAGCTGGGGATGTACATGAAGATCCCGCGCCGAACTCTGTTTGTTGCTCAGCTGATTGCCTGCATACTGGGGACCTTGACACAGAGTGAGTACCATAACTTCGCCGACTGAAAGATGATGGCTGACAGCTGACTTGGGAAGATGGCGTCCTGCTATGGATGCTCGGAAATGTGAGCGACGTATGCTCCGAGGATCAACCGGATGATTTCACCTGTCCTCAAGGCCGGGTCAACTACAACAGTGCAGTTTTGTGGGGAGGTAGGGTCAGCCCTTCGGTTACACAGAGCTTCGCTGACGATGATATAGCAATTGGCCCTTCCCGACTATACAATATTGGGAAAATCTACTCTGGACTCCTGCACTTCTTTTGGATTGGGGCACTGCTCCCTATCATTACGTTTGCCCTGCGCAAGAGATATCCCAAGTCACGGTTCCTGGACGCCATCCACTGGCCGATTTTCTTTGCGGGGACCGGTAACCTGCCTCCTGCAGTATGTGGACCTCTTGCAAGTCATATGCAATGCTAACTGACGGTGGTAGACGGGTATCAATTACTCCACGGCATTCGTGGTCAGTCTAATTTTCAACAAGGTAGGCCATCCTTTAGAACCGAGAAACCAATTGGCACTCTAACACCATCTAGATCATCAAAGGGCGTAAGCCGCTGTGGTGGGCCAAGTACAACTATGTCCTTTCGGCCGCGCTGGATTCGGGCGTTGCCGTTGCAGCCATTGTGATCTTCTTTGCGTTGACCTTTCCGGGGGTTACCTTCAACTGGTGGGGAAATACGGTAAACGATGGCACGGTAGATAGCAAGGGTACCCCGTGGTTGGAATTGAAAGCCAACGAGACGTTTGGGCCCACGACATGGGCTTAGGTACCTGCAGCAGGCCAGACAGCGGGAGGTATCGAACTTGAAGATTGACCCGGGTTGCATGTGATGGGCGATGATCGACATTGCTTGGCTGCGATTAAAGCCTGTTTGAGATGATTGATTCGAAGTAATAGATGGCATTTCAAAGCAGCCTTCGGGCGAGTATGGCTGCAAAGTATCTTGTATGTCCAGCCAGGCGGCAGGTTGGTGCCTCAGGCGCTAATCGGAGCGGAAGATGGTGGGCCCGCCTTATCTGGGCCATTAGTCACGGGCCGGCGGGACGTCGGAGCGTCTCGATAAGTGTCGATAAGCATCGCGGATTGTTCGCTGGTCGTTGAGATTAAGCCACTGCAGCTCTTATCCGGTGAGCTGCCCAGGCCAATCGATTGCTTCCTGCAGGAATCTTGCTGGGTCGTCTTCGGTCTTGTTGCGCCGGTCCATCCCTGAATCACCGGTGCCCCTCCTTGGTCACGTTTGGGTGTGGCCTTTTCGCCACGGTTGACTCGACCCGAAGTGCAGTCTTTCCCGTCCAGAGTGATTGTTTGTGCTCCTGCAACCCCTTCCCGGAGTCAGAGGAGTTCTCCAATCCGCAGGACTGCCCGGCCATGTAAAGATCCCTAGTCGGATGCCGCGCAAGAAGGCTGCAGACCGCGTGGGTCCGGTCAAGACCCGAAGTCGCAGTGGCTGTAAGGAGTGCCGCGCGAGTCGAGTCCGCTGCGACCTGAAGAAGCCGATCTGCACCAGGTGCCTCGAGAAGGGCCTAGTATGCTCGACCCAACTGATCCTGAAATGGGAGTCGGAGTTCCTCAGCCGCGGCTTAGCCTTTGGCAGAGCCGGCGTTTGGAGTAAGGCTCGGGCTGCCGGCGGGCCTCCCACCAAGCCTTCGCCCGCCGCGGCGGCCTCTTTCCTGCTCAACGATCAGGAATGGTGTCCGATCCCCCTGGTCGAGCCGTGGGGGTTCGTCAACAGTGGGGTCTCGACTTTCGAACAGCCCTACGAGGTCAATGTCGCCTGTGATGAGTTGAATGCCCTGGTGGTCCGTGACAAGGGCAAGAGTCCTTGGCAGGATGATTTCCTTGAAGAGAGTTCGGATTGGTCCTTGTCGATACTAGATATCCCCGACTGCTCATCTGTCCCACCGCTATCTCCACAACCGACCCCGCCTTTGTCGATGTTTCCTTATCTCTCAGAGTCCAATCAAGGGCTCCTCTTTGATTACTATCTCCAGCAAGTGTGTCCCCGGACCACCGCTAGCTCGAAGCTACTGTCTCCATTTGCCTCGATTATCCTTCCCTTCTGCATGTCAGCATCTCCTATCCTCTTCAAAGCCATCCAAGCTCTCGGGGCATGTCACTGGTCGCGATTCGACTCGTCCTACAGTGTAATTGGGCTTCGGCTCAAGTCGGAGGCTCTCCGGGGCCTTCGTCACCGCCTGGCCACTGAGGGCTCAGTTGCCTGCTCGGCCGATCCGGAGGTGTTGGCAATTATGATGATGCTGTGCCAGTACGAGATTGTGGACAACTGTGACCAGCGCTGGACAATCCACCTGAAAGGTGCCAAAGACTTGATTCGCCTACGGAGACAGCAGCAGCTGACGTTATCACGCCCTCGTCACGCTCAGGATCCGGTCTCTGCCTTTGCTGAGCTCTTCTTCGCCTTTCAGGATGTCATGGGACGCACCGCCTGCGGTGAGGAGGTGCTGTTTGGGACCGATTACTGGCAAGAGAACGAACGCCATATCGACCTCTGGATGGGGTGTAGTCCGGAACTAGTTTCGATTCTGTCGTCGATTACGGAAATGAGTCGTACGAGACGACAGCTCACCTCTGACACCGCCCGCGCATCGTTCGCTGAACGAGCAGCCTCCTTGGGCCGCAGGCTAGAGAGTCTCGTGCAGGATATCGATGACGATGATGACGGGAGTCTTCAATCTGCTGCCGAGTTAAAGCGATTGGCAGCTGTTCTATACCTGCATTGTGCACTGTATGGTGCGTCGCCGTCTACGCCATTGGTTGTGGGCTACGTGCGAAGAATCCTGCGACTTGTTTCCGACATGCTCGACTCTGGCTCCCTGGTGAGCATGACATGGCCCGTTTTTGTGGCTGCAGTGGAGCTTGACCCTTTGCATGATGAGGTCTGGCGGGATGCTAGTGGCGATATTGTGGTGTATGGACGACCACTTGTGTTACGCGCGTTGGCGGCGATGGCCGAGTCCAGCGTGTCGAATGTGGCTCGGACGAGAGCCGTGATTGTCAAGGTGTGGCAAGCCCGAGACAGCGATATGCTGAAGGGGTCTCCAGTGGATGTCTCGGATGAAATGGCTAGCTGTAATGACTGGGAGTGGTATGTTGCGCCGATTAGTACGGCAATGAGCCTGGCGTAAGCCACTCCACAGGGGAGGGTTATGGTTGATGCTTGGATGACTGAATGACATGCAGATTGTGGGAAATAAATGTGTCTATCACTTAATATGAACATATATGACCATGTATAAATATTGGTTTCCTTTCTTTCGATGGTCAACACTCTTGTCCACTGTAGGTCCTGACATACCGTATAGTACGAGCTAACCGCGCCAATCAGAGAGACTGGCAAGAAGGCGGGGCAGACGCGCGGTGATTGGCCGGACGGGGCGGAGGACGTCAGGGCGCGGATGAGCCAAGGCAGGCGAGCCTCGAGGCGCTCTTGCGGATGGCCTCAACCGCGTCTACTCTCGTGTTATCTCGATCATGCGTTGCTGCTCATTCTTCCATTCTATCTAGACGATAGCCGGAACGATCCTCCCGCAGCTATCACCGCCACCGTCTGTACTACTCTCCCGTCACAGTCACAGCCACCATCCCCGATATCCCACCTGAATCACCGCCAGTCATTGCGTGAGACTCACCATGGTGTATGCGGTCTGAGGCGTACACGTGTAAGAGTGGTTTCCCGTTCGTGAAGATGACGTCGTCCACCAACCCCTCAACTCTATCGCACAGCCTGGCCATTCCATTTGCGAGCCGGCTCAGCGAACAACTGTCGCAGCGGACCGAGCAAACCGGTTCAGGCACCGACCCCGACCAGCCCGGAGACAAGACTGCGGCGACACTTGGGCCTCCATTGCGTCCCTCACCGAACACCCGTTCCTTGAGCGACGCGGCAAAACCAGTTTCCGCGCTGCCGATCCAGCACGACGATACCCGACCTCCCAGCAAAGATGATTCCTCCCTCTCGTCGACGCCCGCCACCCCCGCGACGCCCCAGCGGCCCTCCATGCCCGGCCTCTCGTTACACCTCCCTTCCAGAGCTTCTGGACCGTTGTCCGTCTCCAATCGTGCCCCGCTCTCACCGAAACTTGACTCCTCTCACATCTACGGCTCTCCGGGTTCCGTCCTGCCCCGTCGGTCGCGGGGTCTGGACTTTTCGCGGGCCTGCACCAATCTTCATCATTCGACCCTTGCTGAAGCGTCCCCGGACTCGTCCCCGACGATTGGTGGCCGAGGTGTCAATATCCCGCAGCGGCGTGGTTCGCCCGGCTCGACCTCCGGGCTTCAGTTCTCCACTTCCAACCCGGCCGATCGGGCTACGATCTCGAGCTCGGTGTCTAGTGTCAATATGATGGAATCGGACACGAGCAGTAGTGAAGAGGATGATGAGCCCATGGTCGGCGATCGGGATGACATGATGATTACGAATACGCCCCAGGCCAAGCGGTTGGGAGGCGGGATGAGTCCTTTTGCGGTCGGGAATGTGTCGAGTCCGGGGAACGAGTGGATGGGCGGCTACTCGCAGGCCGCGGCGAGTCTGATGAGCTTCCAGCGGGCCCGGTTCCGCAAGGGACGCAGCCGACACAGTTCCAGCAGTGCCAGTGGCAGTTCCAAACAAAGTCCGGGGCCGCTGTCCCCGCCTGTGATGAAGAGCATCGAGGGCCAGAACGGATACTTTGGCACTGGGCCCCGACGGGGAAGTCTGAGTCTGGGCACGCGGGACTTGCGGCTGTCGGATGTCAGCGATGAGGGAGAGAACCGCGCTGCGCGTGGACAGAGCCCGAGTACATCGAACTCCGAGGGCGGGCCTCTAGGGGTGATCCGACGGGCTGTCACCCGCCGGGGGAGTCTACTAGTACGTGCCTCTACCGTCGTGTGATTGCTGCTAACTGTATCTAGCCTAAAACGAAGACATTTGCGCGTATTCGGGCCGCGCTGATGGAGGAGTCTGCCCCCATTGATAGTGAAGCGAAGCGGGAAGCCGAGGTGATTCGACAGGTGAAAGAGAGCGAGCCTGAGGTCCAGGCGAAATCGCCTTCGGGTGGGCTGTCATCCCTCGATACCACCCCCGTTGGTCCCGGACATACTCCGGAGGATGTACCTGGAAAAGGTGGAACCACCACGCCGGACGAACCAAAATTCATCGACCAGGCGAATAGAAACTCGGGCGGCGTCGAGTTCTGGAACTCGTTTGACGAGCGCTACCGCACGCCGCCCCCGCCCCAACGTCGACACGGGGCTTCCTCGGTCTCGGAGGATGACCTGGCGATGGACCTGACCCCGTCTACCACGGTGGGATCTCACACCGAGTTTGCCAAACCGAGCGAGCGGCCCAGCTCGCGGAGTGACGCGCAGGGCGCCCATTCGGGATTTCTGGGCGACTTCAAGCGGAAGCGTCGACGGGATGATGATTTTGACCCGAACCTGTTCAAACGACGGGCAGTGTCTCCCAGCATGAGTGCGCAGAGCAGTCCCATCATGCCGAACTCTCCGGTTGTCAAGGACACCAGCCCGAGCATCTGGGGAGCGCCGCGATCGAACCTGGGCTCACTCTTCCCGGATCGGCCGGGGACAGACAATGGCCCGCGAAATGGCAACAACCATACCGGGACCCTCAAGCGGGTTGGGTTGCAAGGAATGACCGAGACCAACGATGGGTTTATGAACATGAGCATCGAGTAGCTGGCTGCCGGCTTATTGTAGACATGGACCGTCTGTTAGCGAGTTGGAGTTGGGTGCATTTCGGGTGGTTACTTGGGATAGTCCGTAATATAATGTAATCCTATACCTTATCCATGTGATGTGTGTAACTATATGGTAAGACAGTGAGTATACTCCCTACTCCGTAGAGGATAGCCGCGTCGGCCACGTGCGGCGGCGGAGTCGCGCTAACCGTAGCTCCGTCGGCGGTGGCAGCGGAGCTCCAGCTCTCCAACAGCTGCCCCTCACTCTGCCTCCTGATAACCTGCTTCTCTATCTACCCTTTAATCACCCAGCTGCACGCCATACACGAACATGGCATCCACCATCGAACTCGCATCCTCCTTCATCGAGGGTGCTCCGCCCGGCGAGGTACCCCCCTCATCCCCTCATCTCCTCTCCTATACTGTATCCCCTAATCAACTAACGAGACTCAGCTCGCAGATGTCGTTGCAGGTACGCCAATCCGATCCCTTTGTCCCCCCCGCACTAAGCAGCTCTGCAGACGTGAAAGCCCTCACCTCCGACGGCCCCGACATCATCCCCTCCCTCGCTCCGGCCTTTGAGCGTTACAACGAGACCCAGCTCGCGACCGTGAAGCTTCCGGGCGCCAGTCAGGAGGTAGGCCTGATTCTACCGAAGCCGATATCTGGGCCGACCCTGACACCCACAGGTCCTGATCAGCGAATACAACAAGCTCGAGGGGAACCGGTACTTTGACGTTGAGAGCCAGACGTCGTTTGAGGTGGATCATATTACGCAGGTGGGTCTCCCAGCCGGGAGAGAGAGATGGGATATTGATATTGGGATAGGAAGCATCCGCGGCACAGTCGTATGTTCTGGAGTCACAGAATGCCGACTTGATGTAAGGTTCCCAACTCCTGGGAGAATCTGGAATAATGGCTGACGAGAGGAAGTAAATCCCTCCTCAAATCCCTCTCCGCACACGCCGCCGAACATTACCGCTCGTGCTCGTACGGCGTCTATCCTATTGAGGATGATAGTGCCGTGGCGATTGTGCTGGTTGCGAACCGCTACTCGCCGAATAACTACTGGTATCCCCCACCCGTCCTAGTACTCTTGGGAATGCTGTATTGATGTACTGTACAGGAACGGCCGCTTCCGCGCGATTTACACCCTCCCCGTGGGTTCATCCACCACCATCTCCGGCCAGATCAAGGTCGACGTGCACTACTACGAAGATGGTAACGTGGCGCTGAATACCACCAAGCCGGTGAGTCTGTCGGTGCCGTCGGCGGATGCTGGAGCGATTATCTCGAAGATTGCGGCTGCGGAACGGGATTATCAGGAGGAGTTGAATCGGACGTTTGTGAATACGGCGGAGGGGGCGTTCAAGGGACTGCGGAGACAGTTGCCGATCACGAGACAGAAGGTCGAGTGGGAGAAGGTGGGTGGATATCGCTTGGGACAGGATATTTCGGGTGGAAAGGGGCGGTAGATAGTGTAGTTGCAGTATTAGATTATAGTTTTTTTGCAAGTCTGCCATAGGTGGTAGTGTAATCCTGATTGTGATGCGATAGTGATTGATCGATGGATCAGATAAGCGGCTGACCCGATATCGCGATACCGCCAACACTGCCTCTTACGGGAGTGTCTATTTACCCGTGACTATTCACCCTCCCTATCCTTACCACCACCCATACCCATGAATTATACATAACCCTCTCACCCTCAATAAATACATATATACACAATCTTCATCACTAGAGACCAAACCACCCCAACCCAAACCCTAGAAAAAAAAAGGAAGGAAGAGAGATGTCCTCCCACCTCACCCGCTTCACGCGCACCACCCCGGGCTTAGAAAAAACCCTCCGATTGATCCAATCCCTCTGCGTACTTGCTCTCCAGATCCCGGATTTGGATTCTGTGGCGGTGCTCAGAGTCGGGATCGCGAAGCAGCAGTTGGCGCTGAGTAGGTCCCTCCCCTTCTTTATCTACTCCTACCTACCCTACTCCCTCACCTTATGGTATGAAATGAAGGGAAAAATACATCTACGAAAAAAGAAACCGAGGGAGAGAAGTGGACGAACGGAAAGATATATATATATATTGATGATGGATTGTAGCACGCCGATTCCTCCGCTTCTTCAACTTCATTGACTGTTTCCACCGAGGATTCGCATTATTAGGCACACCATCTACACCATCTCCAACATCTCCCAGTGATACATGGGGTGAGTTACTACGCATCGTCCTAGAAATCACGAAATGGGGTTGTTTCGGGTGGTATTTTCTGTTGGAGGATTTGACGTTAGTAAGTTCCCCCCTCCCCCCTCCCCCCATCACCTTCCCCTTTACCACTCTGTCTATTTTGGTTTATGGTTGGATGGATTGCTGTGATCCCTTCTCATGGAATGGAATATTGTCATGGTTGATATGAGTGAGAGAGTTACGTTCTATGCTATGCTATGATATATGGAATGAATGAATGAATGAATGAATACTAATAAGGAATAAATAGCTCCACGCAACATCCATCTCCCCCCTCCCTGACACCTGGAACCAGACTCTCCTGACGGAGGCGAATAAGTTCTGGTTTTATGCGTTGGGGGTTTCGATGCTGGAGTCGGGGTGGGCGTTCATTTCACTGGTGTTTTCTGCGCAGAAGAACGATCCGGAGAAGGAGGGAAAGACGCATGAAACTAAAATGACCCGTGGAAGGGTCAGTTCTTCCAGTCTATTCAAGAAGGTATTGGTCGATGCGTGTGATTTACTCATCCCTGGGACGTTTCTCGGGTGGATTGCGATGGAGCAGGGGGGCGTGGGGGTGGGGGTCGGGATGGTGGTGAGTACACTGCTTTCGGGGTGGGAGATTTGGAAGGCTGTTTAGGTGGATTAAGGTTAGGGTTAGTGTTGGATTTGATTTTGGGGGGTGGGTTGAGAGGGAATGTGAATGGTGGGTAGAGGATAGAGATAGATGGGATGGAGAGATGGGTGTAGTGGGGTCTGTAATTATATGATTGAATTGAATGAAGCATGATTGAGTTTTAGTATGGAAGAGTTGGTTGTTTAGCTGCGCTTACGATATTAAGAGTTGGGGTTGTGGTTCATTGTATGTTCAATGAGATGAGGATGATAGACCGAAATAGGGTGACAAGACTGAACAGTGGTAATAACTACTTATTAATGATAGTGGAGTAAGGCCTTGAGTATTTATAGAGATATACACGCCTGCATAGTCTAAGCTGACGCCGCGCTCATGATCATATTCGAAAGTTGCCCCCTGCGCAGTGATGCAGTCTTCTAGGAACGGGTGATGTAGCTGCTTCTTCTGTGTTGCATCTTGTAGCGGGTGCAGAGCTCAGGTGCTGATGCTAGTCAGGGAGAGATGAACCTCGACCTGACTGCCTCTGGATGGCTCTGGGCTCTCTGAATGCTCCTGGCTGACGCATGTTGACCCCCGTCGCCTGCAGTGATCGCAGACGAGGTTGGCGGGGGAGCTGTAGATGCACCGCACCTTTCACCGTTTGCACTCCCAGCAGCTCCGAGTACCTTTGCGAACCTTTCTCCGCTTGGACATGGGGCCATCGTCCATTGTCCAGCGATTAAATCGGATGAAGTTGGACTGGAAGGATGATGAGGAACGGAAGAAGTCATGGTCTGACGGAAGGATTTCGGCTGGTGGTCGGTTCGCCCGAGCTCGGCGGACGAACTGCCCGAATTGTAGATTTCTACATCTCATCTAAACAGTCTCGACCATTCAATGTACTCAGGCTAAGGCTTCCCCCGCCAAGCATCACTCAAAAACTTCTCCGCTGGAGTAAACTCATAGTCCGGCAGCAACCGATTCCACTGAAAGGGTGTACCGCCTGATTACCATATGTCAGTATACACTACCAGATTAGGAGGAATCACGCACCGCGAATTTTCTCCCCGAGAGCAATGAGCTCCGCGATAGTGACACTGGTACCTCTGATCCCCCCAACAACCGGCCACTCGCCCTTAAAGTCGATGGCTCGTGCCACCACGTTGGCCACATCCTGTACGGCCGTCAAAACAAGACGGTCCTCGTCGCCACCCTCCAGCAGGCTGGCTCGGCGGTTGGCAAAGTCGAATGGGGTTTCCATCGAGTGTACATGTCGGGACAACTGATGAGGGTGGGTCAAATAGTTCACAAAGAGGCCTGATTGGAAGAGCGTGTATTCAAAGGACCTGACCATGAATCAGATCTCCAATTCCCCTATCAAGGCTACTCGGATGCTTACCTTCTTGTCCTTGTTCAACTCTTGAAGATACCGGCGCGTTTCTCTCTTGTAAGTGTACCAGCTCAGGTGCTCCAGACCGGATCTGGAGAGATTAGCAAAGACCGAGCTATGCTGGGAGGACACCCACGAAGCCCATTCGCTAGGCGCAAAGCGCTTCACGCCGGCCTGCACGGCGGCATCGATGAGGTTTTTCTGGACCTTGCTTGTTGAATCATCTTGGGTGGTGACGAAGGAGAGTACGGTGTGCACTCCTTGCAAGACTTGGGTCAACTGCGCTGGGTCGTTGTAGTCGGCCTTGAGACCCATGTTAGGCCTGGGATGGACTCTCCTGCGGGAGCATCCTGACCAGTTAATATCAATCACCTATAGACTAGAGGGGGAATGGGGGAACAAACCTTCCGAAACAGGATCACAATTTCATGTTTCTTAGCTGCAACGAGGACATCGATGATCTCCTGAGCAACATCTGTCGGGGTCAATAATGTTGTAGGGGAGGTCGGAAGTAAGTGGATCTACTGCCTGAACCGCCAGCAATAGCAATCTTGACCATTTTGATTGGAATGACGGAAGTGTTGATGCGTTCTAAAGAAGAAGAGAGCGAAGTTGAAGTACGTAGACGAGTGTGACTTCGGTGAGTCTCACATCGTTGCCGGGGGCGGGCTGGTCTATACACTGGCTTGGCCCGAGACTTCGGCCGAACTCAATACCTCTCCAGTCAGCAACCACGATGGTATTGGTAATCATGACAGATATTAAAGGATTCACGATCAATACTTGATTAGGTGCTTTGCTGAGTCTTCACTTGTATCCCGAGGAATTCGGCCGAACATTCAGTTGAGGCGTGGTCGACTGGGGATTAGGTACGACAGTGGATCCTAATGCTTATTCTCGCCATAAAGTACGTCAATCAATAGAATTACTTGGTCAATTAAATCATCCTCCTCCTCTTACAAACCATGAAAATGGATGGTTTAGATAACGCAACTAACATGGACTATTGCTAGATGTATTCTGGAAAGAGTATCCCTTCAATACCATACCAAAACTGCAATTGTTGAATGGCAGTCAACCTGCAGGCTACCTAAACAGAAACTCAACTACACTTCCCTCACTGCAGTGAATACCCATGGAGAGCCCACGTCTCAGCAATTAACGCACATATTCGGGGTTTCGGCAAAAATAGTCTCGGCATCTCCCACAGCACTGGCCCAGAGACGATAGTTGCAGCTGCCCAAAAACCGTCAGTCTTCAAAACTCAACATTGAGCAAGCATGACCTACTTGAGGGGGCTTGAAATCGGTCCCGGAGGTGGAATAACGACCTCATCGTCGCCCATTCTCACATAGCGGAGAACTAGTTCCGTCGCGGGAGGGAAGTCCACTCGGTTGGTGAGGTAGATGGAGAAGACTTTGTTCTCTTCGCCACTGGGAAGAATCAGGAAAATGCCTGGAATAGAGGGTTGGGGAAGTGAACACATACGAGACATGAGACCATCTGACTCTCAGGGGCTCTTTCAGATCCCAGGTGACCTGGGCGGGTTGTTGGGGACCGGGGTTTTCCCAAAGCATTCTGGCGGATAAGTGGCAGGGTGTTGATTGTGGAGTTGGGTGATATGAGTGGTACTTTGAATAGTGGACCTCAATGGAGAATTTGCTTGGTTATATACCATGAGGTGACAAAGGGTCGGAGAGTGGAAACGAGCACTGGGCGCTTTGACCGGCCTTTGCGCAATACATGACTACGATGACAGCCATTGTACTTGCTCGACAGCATCTCTGCCACACCTTGGAGCCAGTAATTCTGCAGATCACTGTCAGAGAGAACTATGTTGGGTGAAGAACATCAATAGGATGCTGGCAGCGCCGTGATGCAGGCAAGGATGTTGAGGTTGCATTCAATGCCATTACCTCATGTATGAAGCGGCACTTTTGCAGATGCTATGAGCGCCTAGCATCTTTGAAGCTTGTGGTAGTATTTTTCCGATGATGATAGATGACAATATTGATCTGCAACGTGTCAGCTTACTGTGAATATGTAAGTAGATTTGGGGATACCCTACCGGCGGGCCTCATGCCACGCTTCGAGAAGCATTTACTAGAGAATAAAAAGGGCAAGTAACTAGAAAGTCGAAATTTTCTACGGCCATAACGTTGAGTATCAGCAAGCGGGTGACGTTGAGATCGCCACAAGGAAAAGTGAGCCAATGCACACTCGATTGGCAGACAAGATCCCGTCATAGACCTGTCATTGGAAGCCCAGCTAGTGAGGCGTAGGCAGTAGGATTCCAACGCTTCAGCTGGAAGATAGCATCCCCCAATCGGCACCGCAACAAGGTATATAAGCTTAACAAGCATCCGATCTACCTCACGTGGAACCATAGATCAGTCACAATATTAGCCACAGTCACTGTTTGCTTTTCTGAGGTTCTGTTCATGCAAGTCCGCGTAATGCCAATTGACTGGGATATTCCCTTCCGAAGCCGACATTTCCGGTCAAACCAGAAACCTCCGAAGTACCAGATAGTATCCGGGGATTTTCTCTTCAACTAGCTCGTATATGCGAGACCACAGTCATGCATAAAATGCGTGACATTTATTTACCACTTGTCAAAAGGTTCAGCCTATATTGTTCCCGGGTCTTACTGCTCTTGCAGAATGGCCGACGCGCACGGCCTGGCTAAAGTTAATTTCCACTTATTGACTGGTAGTAAGACAGCAGTTAGAATGATAGACAGTGAATAGACCGATTATGCCAACCCATCTGCTTTTGGATTTATGACGTACCGGATTTGTTTCAGTCCCATCCGTGATCCATAGCTTGGTGAAGCTTGCTAGGTGTCAGCAACATGTCCCCGCCAACTGCTATGTAATTCATTAGCAGTGCGCAGGTTGTTAGTTGTATGTGCTTGCGGTGCGGGGAACTTGTTGGAATGCTGTTTCTATTGTGCCAGTCTCACGTGAGGCTAGTGGTGGTATTGTTGAAGGGGAAGTTCCAGGGACGTCTAGATGAGGTTGGGCGTTGGAGGTCGGGAGGTGACAAGGACGTACTTATTCTTGTAGATTGAAAGATATGGAATCTGGAGTATTGTTGGGATTCTAAGTGACTTTTCGTGATCGACCTGTGTGGTGCGTGGTGGGCGAAGACAGTGATGATGTCCAGAGTCAGCTGCTAAGAGGTCCGTAAATCCAGTCATCAAGCGCGCGGTGGATGGCAGGCCCTATACTCCATTTCCACGCAGCCCAAGCTCAGCATTGGACTGGGGAGCTGGTCATTCTCGGTGGCGGGCATAAAGATGGCTTCTATCATGATCGACTGCATCGTAGTGGCAGACGACGATGCTCCACTGGTTAACCAGAAGCAGCTACTCGGGCGCTAAAAGCTGACACCTGCAGATCGACCCGAAGCCTTTTTCAGGGTAGTATGCCGGACTATAGCGGCCAGCGGGCAAATGCGACTTTTTTTTGAATCGTCGATGGACAGGTATATAGAGCAGATAGAGCGACATGTTCGGGCGTTTCTCGCTGCACAGTTTCAACCCATCACAATGGTCAGGGTGGCAATTGCTGGAGGCACTGGGGGCGTTGGCCGGACGATCCTCGAGGTTTTGAACACCTCTTCCGACCACCAAGCATACGTTCTCTCCCGCCAGGTCGGAATTCCCTCATACCGCATCCTTCTCTCACTGACACTCTTCCAGCCTTCAAATTCCCCCAACACTCTCACCGTCGACTACTCCAATATTCCGGAGCTCACCTCCACGCTCGAAACCAATCAAATCCACACTGTGATCTCCGCATTCGCTGTCGCGGGCGACTCCCTCGCCACCTCCCAGCTCAACCTCATTGAAGCCGCCATCCAATCTAAGACCACCGAGCGATTTATCCCCAGTGGCTACGCAATACCTTATCCAGAACAGTAAAATCCTCTCTATCTAGCTGTCCTCCACAAGCAAACTGACCACTAAGCCATCACAATGCAGGAGTCTGAAAGTCCTCCCCCAGCTCAAAGATTATTTCAAAGCTATTGAAATCCTTCGCGCCTCCCGCCTCCAATGGACCATCTTCGTCAACGGAATCTTCCTCGATTATTTTGGTCCACCAACTCTTCGATCCTATCTAAAACCCAACGTCTTCGTCGTTGATTTGGAGAGCCGTGTCGCCGCAATTCCCGGCGACGGCAACGTTCCGGTGACATTTACCTACACCTTTGATCTGGCACGGTTTGTGGTCGCAGCCCTAGACCTGCCGGAATGGCCCGAGGAAAGTCGCGTAGTGGGGGACGAGCTCACTTGGAATGAGTTCGTCGGGCCGGCAGAGAGCATACTTGGTAAGATTTAGCGAACACTGTACGTTTGATGTGACCTAGGCTCTGCTAATCCGGGTCCAGGGACGAAATTCACCATCCATCATGATAGTGTGGAGAAACTGCAGCGGTTTGAAGTTACCGAGTTGCCCGGTCATCGGGCGCTCTATAAGCATTTCCCGCGGAAGGCATTCCAGTGGTTCATGGCGACTTTTGAGCTATTCACGACGGATGGGAGTTCACGGATTATGAGGGAGGGAGCATTAAATGAGCGGTTTCCGGAGATCCACACTCTGACGGTGAAAGAGTTGCTGGAGAGGTATTGGCAGAAAAGGGAATAGTTACAACCGGCCCCGGAACGGCTCCACCGCGGAGACATCTCCGGGGCACTGCCGGCATCGGGGCCGGAACCCCGCATCAGCTCGCTTTCTGTCGGCCTCGACGATCAACTTGATCTCTCGGAAATTTCTCGTTAAATTCTTGGATCCCGCCCCTTGATCGGCTTATCTCTCGTGAAGGGTGCCGTTCCAACACCCGGAAAAGACAGACATGGTCACCGACAGTCGGCGTCGATCCACCAGCACTGAGGGGTCAGTCCCCGCAAAGCGCCCGAGAAGGGCGTCGGACTCCCCGGCCAAGCACCCAAATGGACCTCGCCAGAAGATCACGAGAGCCTGTGACCACTGTAAGGACAAGAAGACCCGCTGTACAGGCACTCTCCCCTGCATCCGGTGCACCAGGCTAGCGCTGCCGTGCGAGTATAATGCGGCTTACTCCCGCGGCTTGCCTCCTGAGCCCCTCCCCGCACCCTCGTCGGTGGACAGCTACATCTCTCCTCGCGCCAAAAGAGCCACTCCAATTGATCGAGGCCTAGGGCATCAACGGTCGATATCGTCGCGACAGTCTCCAAGGGTGGGTGGGAACACATCCCGAAATGAAGTCTCCCAGCGCAATTCTCCCGACCCTGCCGTGACCGACTTGGAAGGCAACTATCTGGGGCCTGCATCGGGAGTATCGTTTCTCAACCGTGTCTGGCGTCGCTTGCATCAGGATGAAGTGCATGCGATCCCTGATCGTCTGGAGAATGAACCCTCCCCCAAGAACACGTCCGTGTTCATGTTTGGCGATAAGCCTTACTCGGACTATCGCGAGGTCGTCTTCACCCTTCCTCCCTTCAACACAGCGCAAGAGCTGGTAGACATCTACTTTGACTTTTCCATGGTCACGTATCGTTTTCTACATCGGGGAAGTGTGCAGGAATGGCTCCGACAGGTGTATGCAAATAACATCTCCTCTGCAAACCTCCCGATGGGCCCGATGGTGGTGAGAACGGCCATCATCCTCATGATATTTGCCGTGAGTACCCTCTATGAGGAGCAGAAACCTAGCAAGCAGGTAGATGGGTGGTGTAGAAGGTAAGCTCGAGTTGGGATCTATCATGCTCAGTATGCTGAGCCATTCCAGCGAGCAGTGGTATGCGGCCTCCAAATACATGACTTCTCTAGAGTCGGGACCTCCCCGACTGGAAACGGTCCAGGCGCGGTTAGGTCAGTGTCTCTACCTGCTCTCCACCTCCAGGGCCAATGAGTGTTGGTATTCTTTTGGGACCGCGCTTCAGCTTGTCACCGCCCTGGGCCTGCACCGGAAATTCCCAGGCAAGCGTCCCAAGGGAGGAAATACCTATCTGGAACGGGAGCTCCGTAAGCGCATCCTGTGGAGCGCCTATATGCTGGATAGATATCTCAGCGTCATGTTCGGTAGGCCTCGATTGCTACACGACGAAGACATTGACCAAGATCTTCCGGACGAGGTGAATGACGAAGACATGCTACAAGACGATCCCGCACAAAGAACCGGTTCCGCCGATTGCATGATGATTGCTTCCATTTTGCACTTCAAGTGTGTCCCCTTTTCCGTCACTGATGCAGTTACTGATCATGTAGACTGGGTCGAATCCTTGGTGATATCTCTCGGCAGCTCTACACGGTGAATCCTTCTTCACGCAGTCCGCCCCTGGAGACGGCTGTCCGACTCACGTCCGAGCTGGAGCAATGGAAAGCGAATGCACCGCCACTTTTCAACGGTGTCCGCGCGACGAGCCTTATTCCACCTCTCTGTAGGCAAAGTCAGGTTCTGCAACTGGCATACTCGCACGCGGTCATCCATGCAACCAGATCTTTCCTGTTGAATGACTTTACGGATTTAAGAAGGCGCCCACAAGTCCCGCATCCGGTAGTGTCTAGCCATGTGCGCAAATGTGTTCAAGCTGCCCAGGAAGTGATGGAATTGGTGGATGGACTAGCCAAACAGAGTGTTCTGATTCACTCCTTCTGGTTCACCCACTACGTGTGCTTCTGCGCCATCACTGTGGTCTACATATATACCATCCAACAGCATCGATCGTCAGACCTGGAGACATCGTCGCCAGGCTCTGAAGATGTCGATCGTCTAAGCTCGCTCTTCAGGCTTGCGGAGACATGCCAGCAACACCTCGCAGAGGCCACTCGCAAGAATTGTCCCAGTCGGCGCTATAGTATCATTCTCGAGGAGCTCCGAAAGGAAGTTCATCGGCAGATTGGTCCGCACACTGGCAGCACTGATCCATCCCAGCCGGTCCGTGCCAAGTTCAGCACGAATCAGGAGCCAGTTGGAGAACAACAAATCAGTCCATCATATACGTATCCCCCGATTCCTCTAGATAGTCCGTTCAATTATTCGGATGGCCTACAAGCGACGGGTCTCCAGCTGTTTGGGCCCGATGGTGATTTCGGCCTCATTGATAACCTAGAGGGATCGGTTTGGTGGGCCCAGTTAGACTCTTGGGTGAGTTTAAAGCATGGTTTCCATGGTTGCTGTACTGATTCGTTTGCAAAGGCATTTAGCAATTTACCCGGGGACCCTTCCACACTCGGCCTGTAACAGTGATTTACTCATTCTTATACCGTTCCATTAACCAGACCTTAAGGGAGCACGAATGCGCTTTAGCATGTTGCCCCGGATTGCGGAACAGGGGGGACGGCATCAGAACCATAGGTGTTTTGATCGACCCCTAGGGTCACCTGCAATATCTGGGGATGGGCCACAGCACCCTGGCATCGGCTGCATAATTTCCGGGTTGCTCGATTGGTGCAAGGATGTTTTCCGAGGGTCTCAGCGCATGGTAAAGCAATTTTCAAGTATAAGACGCATGATCCTTCTGCTTATGCAAATAGACGATTCGTCGGATAAATATCCGAGCTCCACCAGAATTTCCGCACCCTCCATCGAAGTATCCGACTCTACCGTCACTGCATGGAACGTTCGGCCTGTTAAGACTGAGAGTGAAGACATATTAAACGCCTATCCCTTGTCACTCGTTGCTCTACTTCAAACTACCCAATTCACTAGCCATCCATTTTATGAAGACCTACCGAACTACTACCCAAGATGCTGTCTACCATTCCTCCACAGCCACCAACCCTACATGAGCCGCTTGCTAAAGGCGATAATAACTGGCCCTCAGAGCCTGAAAACGAGCCCTTGACAATTGATCAGCTTGTTCGTCAACGTGCGTCGCTGGGTTCTTCACAGCCTATCATATCTTACCCCCAGACCGGCATCGAATATGTGGACTACCCTCTTCATCAGCTGGATGTCTTTGCCTTTCGCGCCTCCAAGGTGCTAGCAGATCGCATTCCCCCCCGGACATCATCTGCAGAGACTCCCAAAGTCGTCGCTCTCCTGGGACCGTCAGACCTCAACTACCTTGTGATGCTGCTGTCTCTTGCAAAACTTGGTCACAGCGGACTGCTCCTGTCGACACGGATCTCTGTGGATGCCTACGTGTCGCTACTGGAGAGAACACAGTCAAGCCACATTTTCATCCACAGCTCTTTCCGCGACACCGCCTTAGATATCAAGAAACGGGTTCCCGGTCTAATCATTGACGAGATACCAACCGAAGAAAGCTATCATTATCCCATCACGGAGGATGTCGACACGAACCTGGTCCCGTATCTGGATCCCGTAGTCGAGTCCAAGCACATCGCATGGATCATTCATTCCAGTGGCTCGACTGGGCTTCCAAAGCCTATCTTCCACACCCAAGCTGCGGCCCTGAAGAACTACTCGGGACACATGAATATGTCAGGATTCGTCACGCTGCCCCTGTATCACAACCATGGAATCAGTTGTCTGTTTCGGACAATCCACGCCTGCAAACAGCTGCATCTTTACAACGCTAATCTTCCGCTCACGAGACAATACCTGATAGACATCATGAGGGCGAACGATTTGGAGATCTTCTACGGCGTCCCATACGCTCTGAAGCTGCTTGCTGAGACACAGGATGGCATATCTGCTCTTGCCAAGTTCAAGGCTGTGATGTTCGGAGGCTCTGCATGCCCAGACTCACTGGGAAACCTGCTTGTTGAGAACGGTGTCCATCTTGTCAGCCACTACGGCTCGTAAGCATGCGCCATAAGGCCCTAACCGTTAACTCTGCTAATTTCATACAGCACCGAAACCGGCCAGTTGATGATGTCCATCCGGCCCCGAGACGACAAAGGGTGGGATTGGCTTCGTCCATCTGACACCGTCAAGAAATTCCTGCGATTTGAAGAGCGCTTCCCCGGAGTATTCGAGCTTGTGTGTCTAGACGGCTGGCCCTCCAAGGTCATGACCAACCGACCAGATGGCGCCTATGCGACGAAGGACCTGTTCGTCAAACACCCCACAATGGAGGCATACAAGTACTATGCCCGTCTAGACGACACAATCGTTCTGGTGAACGGTGAGAAAGTCAACCCACTCGATCTAGAGGGACGGGTCCGACAGATCAGCAGTGTTGCCGAATCCATTGCGTTCGGAGCAGGCAAAGCCCACATCGGGCTGGCTGTGATCCGTGCCCCTGGCACCGAGTCTCTCTCGGACGAGGACATCATCGACAACATCTGGCCCGCCGTCGAGAAGGCCCACGAGTCGCTACCTGCCTTTGGGCAGCTCTTCAAGACCATGGTCCGGGTCTTGCCCGCAGATACCCCTTACCCTCGCACCGACAAAGGCACCATCATCCGGCAAGCCTTCTACAAGACCTTCCACTCTGTGATCGAAGAGAGTTACGCGGCCGCGGACGCCATGACGGGCACCCTGGTCCTGTCGGAGCCCGAATTGAGAGACTTTCTCAAGCAGCAGCTCCTCCAGATCCTACCTCTCAAGGATCAGAATCTCCTGACCGACGACGCCGATTTCTTCGCGTTGGGCATGGACTCCCTGCAGGCCAGCCAGCTGCGCTCCATCCTCGTCCAAACCCTCAACACTCACGGCCACCAGCTGGGACTCAACATTGCCTTTGAGCAACCCACCATCACCTTGCTCGCCCGCTACCTGAACGCCCTCCAGAGCGGCAGCCGCCCCGCAGACTCCGAGCCCATCCCGGACCAAATGCGCGCCCTCATCGACCAATTCAGCCACTTTGAACCGCACATCCCCCGTCCCAACTCCCTTCCTGGTCGATACATCGTAAGCGCCCCCTCCTTCTACCTCCACCCACCCACTAACCTTGCCAGCTCCTCACCGGCGCCACGGGTTCCCTGGGTAGCCACCTCGCCCACCAACTCTCCCTGCACGCCTCCGTCCAAAAGGTCTACTGCCTAATCCGCGCCTCCTCCCCCATCGAAGCCTACCAACGGCTCCACGATGCCCTCGACAGCCGCCACCTATACACCTCCCTCCCCAGCACCTCCAAAGCAAAACTCATCGCCCTCCCCTCCCCCACCCTCGCCCACCCCACCCTATCCCTCCCTCAAACCACCTACACCACCCTCCTCAGCGAAACCACCGATATCATCCACTGCGCCTGGCCCGTCAACTTCAACCTCCACCTGACCAGTCTCGCCCACGACACCCTCCCAACCCTCCTCAACCTCCTCACCCTAGCCCTCCAAACCCACCGCCCCACCCCCGCCACCTTCAACTTCTGCTCCTCCATCAGCAGCGTCGTCAACTCCCCCACCACGCCCATCCCCGAATCCATTCCCGACACCCTCACCGCCGCCCAAACCATGGGCTACGCCCAACTCAAACTCGTCGCCGAACACATCTGCGCCAACGCCGCCTCCCAGTCCCCCTCCCTCACCACCCGCATCCTCCGCATCGGCCAAATCATCGGCGACACCCACCACGGCATCTGGAACGCCACCGAAGCCATCCCCCTCATGATCCAATCCGCCGTCACCGTCGGCGCACTCCCCACCCTCGACGAATGGATGCGCTGGTTACCCGTGGATATCGTGAGCAGTGCCGTCACAGATATCCTCCGCCTTTCTTCTCCGATTTCCCCCACTGATGAACCCCACAATGTAGCAGAAGTGTACAACATCGCAAACCCCACCCCCTTCCACTGGACCGCAGACCTCCTTCCTACTCTCCGCGCCGCGGGTCTACAGTTCACGGAACTCGAACCCAGCGAGTGGATAGCCCGTGTCCGGGACGTTCCGGATCCGAAAGCGAACCCGCCGGTGAAGTTGGTCTCGTTCTGGGAGGGGAAATATGCCGGTGTGAAGCCGTTTAAGGGGTTGGAGTTTGTAACGGAGAAAGCGAGAGAAAGGGCGGAGGGGTTGCAGGGTGTGCGGGGGTTGGATGGCGAGTTGGTGGGGAAGATGGTCCGGTGGTTTAGGGGGGTTGCGTGGGTTTGATTATACTTTATTTTACGTTTTGTGAAAGGGAGTGGGGGAGGGGGGATGTGGTTTTTCAGTGGTGAATGGCTGGGGAAAGGATTCGGTAGGGATGTTAATTTATAGTATATTTGATATGGTATGGACTAGTACTTCGGGTTTGTCTATAGTGTTGGTTGGATGATGCGAGTACATTTAGATTTTGATTTAGTATCAGAACAGTATCACGTATAGAAATATCATCAGTATGTCCAAGTGATTGTAGTAAGCAAGCGTTATGGCCGATCCAACGCCAACTCAGGCCAGCTCCATTTAGGAATCAATATATACATCAAGACAAATCAACAGGAGGCAGCCCTCGCTCCGCACAGCCCTCATCGACGCTCTCCCGCAGCGTCTTGATTGCAGCCTCCCAGGTCACTGCGCTCTGGGAGCTGCTGCCCGTCTTGCCACTCGGATCCGGCGTCTTGAACGCATCCGACGCATTTTCGGTCTGCTCGTCATCAATCAGCCACATGAGCCATTTGAGAACCGACACGGCCTTGTCCATGTCTTTCTCGTCTACAATGACGCGCTTTAGGTATCGGCCAAGGGAGACCACGTCTTCTTCGATAGGGCCCTCGCGGCTGAACGTTGCGTGCCAGGAACTAATCGCATCTCGCAGGTCGGAGATGTTGGAGAGCTTTTGGGAGGTGAATGTTGGTCTCTCTGGGAGCGGGGGCAGGACCAGTCGCTTTTCTTGCGCTGGGGCCGGGGCAGAGGGTCTGGGCTGAGCGGGTCTCTGCGCCGGAGGGTTGACGCTTGGACGCTGCAGCATCTTTGCCCTTCGTTGCTCTTCGAGCACCTCGCGACGAATGTCCTCTGGGAGCGCGGCGAGGAATTCGGCTGAGACGTCGGTCTGTTCCGGGGTGGGCGATTGACGCTCGTTGTTGGTTGAAGCCGAAGCAGTGGTTCTTGGCAAGACAAACCGGGCCTGCTTGAATGCAGGGTTTCCTACCGATTTGGTGCTTGGCCGCCCACGTCGCTTCTTGAGAGGGCTCGTAGGTTTTCGAATTAGTAGAGATCCCGAAGAGGAGGGCCGAGACGGCGGCGCGGGAGCAGGGGCAGGAGGTGGCGTGGGTTGCGTCTGCTGCGGACCCGGGCTTGCGGAGGGCCGACTATAATATTCCAAGATCTCCGCACGCACATCCTCTGGCAGAGCTGCCAATGCGTCCGGGTCGAGCTGCGACTGGGGCGGAAGTTCCGCACGCGCAGGTGTCCGGGTGCGACTTGGAGGGCATGGAGACACGGAGCGCGAATCGCGTCGAGGTCTCCCCTGGGCGATAAGCCGCGATCGAATGTCATTTGGAAGCTCTGCAACGACGGTAGGGTCGGTTTGAGAGGGCAGGATAAATTGAGTCCCCGATATATTGAGTGGCTTGCCACTGTCACTGAACGAAGGAACGGGCCTCACTGACTCGGTCTCTCCCTTGCGCGGACTGTCAAGGATGTCAGCATCGTGGCGCTCGATGCTCTTTCGTAGCGGAGACGCTTTGAAATTGAGCTGTTGCTGGCCGGCCTTTCCAGGAGAGCCCGGATTGAGATGCTCAAGCTTTGTCATCTGAACACCCAACCCTCTCAAGTCTCCAGGCGATATACCCATGCTTCTCAGCATAGCGACGGCCTCTTTGCCCAGAATATCAGTCGCGTCGGTGGCAACGCCGAGGACTACACTCTTGTTGAACACATCGCACTTTCCATGTCCGAGATGCTTCACTGGCTCTAGCGGTGCGTCGAGAGACCTCCGCATGACCTTGAGAGTCAACTGTTTGCCTCTCACCAGATTCTCCACCAGTCTGCGATGCAGTTCCTGGCACAAAGACCGCACAAAGTCATCGGCTTGGGTCTGATTCACAAAGCGAATACCCCAATTGACTTCCGCAGAAACCGACTTCCTGAGCACTTCGTTGCCCACTTCGGTCCGATCGATACCACGGGAGTACTCCCAGATCTTGGTACCAGTCTTAGGGCCCAGGCTCGTAGTGAGCCTCTCACGAGACAAATCCCGGGCGTCTTTAACAAATTTAACACCTAGTTCTTCCAGCTTCGTTCCCAAACTGTAGCCAACACCTGGGAGATCCTGAACAGTAAGGTTTCCAATAACGTCAAGGACAGCATCGGGCTTTAGCTGAAACAAACCAGCGGGTTTCGCTTTCCGTAAAGCAACCTTTGCTAGCAGAATATTGCCTCCGATACCCACGGAGACTGCGCAGCCAGTTTCCCTTTTTACTGTGGCCCGTAGATCTTCCGCGATCTCATCGGCTTTGGCCTGTTCCCGATAAAGAGACCCCTCTGAGATACCCCGGCCGTCCGAGCCTCCAGCCTCGAGACATTGCATCGTAATGTCCACCAGAGCCTCATCAATGCTGACACTCTGAACTATGCCATCCACAGAAAGAATGGCATGGTAGAACTTCCGGCTGGCGTCTTCGTACGCAGGAAAGTCATAGGGCACCACCTTCAGCTCCGGGCAGGCCTGTAATGCTCCTTTCATCCACATGCCGTTTTTGATCCCATGTGCACGCGCCTCATAGTTGCAACTGGCGATCTCTGATCCCGAGCCGGTCCCGTGAGCGACAGCGACGGGTTTTCCCTGTAGCTCCGGACGCTTCAATGTCGAAACTGCTGCAAAGAAGCAATCAAAGTCCACGTGCATAATGTACCTTCTCGCCCCAGGAACAGGCTTCCTTCGCTTGAGCTGAGACTGCAACTTTTCTTTGGCGGCAGACTGCAGCTGGGCCTTAAGGTCGGCTTTCCATGTCGACAGGTGATGTAGTCGGGACTCACTGTAGAACTGCTGGATAAAATCCGGATTCGCAGCACTGGAGTTTCTCATGCGTGGGTCCGACAGCAGCTGCGCGTTGTATTCCTCGGAGGTCATATCCAATTTAGCAGGTATAGACTCAGGTAAAAGTGGCAGCGGTGCAGGAGCCACATCAAGTTGACCGTCCACTGGTTGGCGTAGATTAGTATCAGCTCCGACATCCTCCCGCTCCAAATGTGGCTGCTCATTCGGCGGGGTCCCGGGAGGAGCACCATTCTGCGGAGATAGGGCGTTGGGTGTCTTGCTCGTCTCATCCAGTGAGACAAAACTTGGAAATTCACCATAGTCCGACTGCGTGCTTCCACTGGGCAGTTGGTCTGCTAGTCCAGGCATCTCGGAGTCTCGCAATGGTGATCGTTGCAATTCCGCTCTGTCCACGGAGGCTGTCTGAAGTTGAGAGGTATACCAGCTGGAATCGGTTTGTTCGCGATAGCCGGATCTCGGACTGTTTGTCTGGCTGACCATCCGCCCGTCGTCGAACCTGAGCACCTTCTGGGATTGGCCCTCATCGAGGACACGAAATGCATCCCACGGCAGCATCCGACCAGCCCTGACGCTTTCGACTACCCATGCTGGTTTGACGATCCGATAGCGTCGAAACTCTTCGCGCTTCTTGGGAGTCAACGCACTGGCAATGATGTGTGTCGCGTCGGTTTTTCCGTTGAGGTATTGCAGGAACCCGCCGCCATGGCTCACGATGAGGCGGTGGAGGTCTTGCAGAGAGGGTTGGGTATAGCCATTGACGTGCGCAACAACTCCGCGAAAGATAGGCGGACAGTCGGTAGCAGAGGAGCGTATTTCAGCATCCAGGTTCTGTAGTTTGAGCTTCTTGCGGCGCATATAATCGCCGAACCCCCCAAAGGCGGAGGCCTCGTATTCCTCGCCGTCCTCGTCATCGAAGTGGTCTGGAGACCCGCTGTTAGCACGATGGCGGAAGGCGGTATGCCACCGCCACGGCACGGGGTCCACTTACGATTCTGGATGCGTTTGCGCACCGCGCTGGAATTCTGGTCTAACAGCGAGCCCATGAGGGGCTGGAGCTAGGCACATGATAGGGGGACAAAGATGTCGACCCTCAACCACCTCGTGGAAGTTCGGATGGAATCGTCGTGTGGCGGGAAGAGGAGACGAACGGAGAGGCGAATGATGGACGATGGATGGGATGCGGAAAGCCACGCGGGCACGTGATGCGGAAGGGCCCGCAGCGGTGAGCAACGGCAGATCCGCCCGGGGAAAGCTGCTGATTGGCGGCAGAAAAAAGTCAGAAAAAAAAGCCGTTGCCGTCGAATTGGGTTCGGTTGCCATCATCCATCCGCAGCTCAAAACTTTTCCCTCTGCCTCTCTCCCCTTCTCCCCCCTTCTGCTGCTTTCTCGTTCTTCCGCGCTTGATTCGGGTAGACGACCTTTCTTTCTTTACCTACGTCTCCTGGCCATCCTCTCGTTGGCTTTTTTCCCCATCTTTACTTTTTTTTCCCTCAGATACTTTGATTCATTCACCATGTCCGGAGGAGTTACGCCCGTTGCTGTCTATGCCCTCCGGGTTCCCGCTGGCGGAGCTTTGATCCCCGCGGTCCCTCCTCAGGCTGCCGCCATGGTCAGTAGCTGAACTTGCCCTTGCTAAGTTAATATGCTAACCGTCTGCGACAGTTCCGTGTCAGCATGGCTGCCATTGACCCCGATGAGGCTCCCGAGTACGAGGACGGCTTCGACTCCAACAAGCGCCCCCGTGCTACCCTGAAGCTCGTGCGCGCCCCTCCCGGTCTTGACCTCGAGGATGAGGAGGACGATGAGGACTGGGAAGACGACTCCGATGAGGAGGACTCCGATGAGGAGGAGGTCAACGGCGGTCCCAGCGACAAGGAGAAGGCCCGCAAGCTTAAGCTGGCTGCTGCTCGCAAGGAGCTTGAGGATGCTATGGACGAGGACGATGAGGACGACGAGGAGGGAAGCGAGTTCGACCTGAAGGCCGCCATCTCCAAGCTGATCAAGGGCAAGGGCCCCGCTACCGATGATGAGTCCGATGACGATTCCGAGGAGGGTCTGGAGCTCGACGAGACCGTCATCTGTACCCTGGATCCCGAGAAGGTACGTATCTACTGGATCCCCTCGGTGCCCGTCTGATATCTAACCCCATGTAGAACTGCCAGCAGCCTCTGGACATCACCGTTGCCGACGATGAGCGCGTGTTCTTCAAGGTGACCGGTACTCACACTATCTACTTGACCGGTAACTACGTCATGCCCATCGACGACCACGACCACGACCATGATGACGAGGAGTCGGACGAGGAGGACTACGACCTCTCTCCCGATGAGGATGAGCTGGACCTCGACGAGCTGATGGGCGAGGATGACGAGAGCGACGACCTGGACGACCTGGAGGACCCCCGCATCACCGAGGTCGACAGCGAGGAGGAGGAAGCCCCCAAGCTCGTGCAGACCAAGGCCAACAAGAAGCGTGCCGCCGAGCCCGAGGAGCCCAAGCCTGCCGCCAACGGTGAGCCGGCTCTGAGCAAGAAGCAGCAGAAGAAGCTCAAGAAGAACAACGGCGAGGCCGCCCCCGTCGAGGAGAAGAAGGAGGCCAAGGAAGCCAAGGAGGCCAAGGAGGGTAAGGAGGCCAAGAAGGTCCAGTTCGCCAAGAACCTCGAGCAGGGCCCTACTGGTTCCACCCAGAAGCCCGCTGAGAAGACCACCGGCACCCTCGGTGTCAAGGAGATCAAGGGCGTGAAGATCGACGACAAGAAGCTCGGCCAGGGTGTTGCTGCCAAGGCTGGCAACACCGTTGCCATGCGCTACATCGGTAAGCTCGAGGATGGCAAGGTTTTCGATGGTAAGTTCTGATCCGCTCCGCGATGTCCAAGAAGCTGCGCACTAACAGAGTCGTTGCAGCCAACAAGAAGGGCAAGCCTTTCACCTTCAAGCTCGGCAAGGGCGAGGTCATCAAGGGTTGGGACATCGGTGTCGCCGGCATGGCCGTCGGTGGTGAGCGCCGCATCAGCATCCCCCCTCACCTGGCCTACGGCAAGCGCGCTCTTCCCGGCATCCCCGCCAACTCGAAGCTGATCTTCGACGTCAAGCTCCTCGAGATTAAATAGATGGGTGTGCCGCGTCGCTCGTTGCCCGGACACATCCGCCATCTAATTGCATAGTTGCTCCATCTGGTTTTGTTTAAACGGTGTTCGGGGGTTTCCAATCTGACATGAGTCCTGTGATATCCGACTTGTTTTTCTCTTGCACAGCCTTCCGATGCATTGGCAGGGATGAGGATATTGCAAGCGATCCAAGTATCTTTGTCTAATGAAAAGTGGCTTTGGTTTGATCCCTTTAGTTTGGAGCCGTTCACCTTGTTTCCTTGTAGCCCACGTAGATGCCTCGTGAACATCCTGGGGGGAACAGCTGTTCCTGCCTTGGTTGCCTCGTGCTTGCCGCCGTGGGCAGTCCTTCCGCCCACCCTTTCTTTTCCTCCCTCGTCCATCCGTCAGTGCTCAATCTAGTAGTCGACAGACACCATGAAGCATATGGATCAGAGAGTGCTTTGTAGCCAATACCCCGCTCTTCTCGATCTTTCATTCATACCATTTCCTCGGTCGTTAACAAGTCCCCGTCAAGCGCATGGTTCACAGGGCCGGTTCGCCCTGTCTTTCCACCGTCAACCATCGCCGAGATGGTTGTCCATCCCCAGAATGAAACAAGGTCCATAACTCCCGCTGCATTACTACATGGCCCCAATACTCTAGCTGAGGACAGGCTTGGGCTGTCTGCCGGTGATTCAATTATGTCGGACGGGCTGGATGAGGAATTTCAAGCAGCCCAACACCGAAGCAACGGCATCCGAGAGCGCATCAGGCAAAGAAGCTCGCGGATCTTATCCTTACTGGGTCTTCGTGGTCCTAGCGGCGGTAGGGCTATGGCTGTCCTAAAAACCATATACCCTGCTGATTGGGACCTAGTGCTGAAGGCAGTGACAACTCGAGAGACCGCCGTCCCCCGGCAGCGCTCGAGCGAAAGCAATCCGTCGCAGTCATTCCATTCCTTTCGAACCGAAAACAGGGTCACCTCTAACAGTACGGCTCTCGAGCCAGATAAAGGACATACCGGCCCTCTGTCGACCTGCATCACCCATAGCAGCTTGAGGGTTGAGGCATCACAGGAATCAGAGGCTACCTCTAAGTCGCGAAGGTCCTATACTCGTGAACGACAGAGCAAGCCGGCAGCAGGGGTGAAAAGGAGCCAGTCCACGCCGGCAGCACTCACCAGCCTTGTTTCCACCAAGCTGTCCACGACATTCGGCAATCCAACTGTCATTCGTCGCTCGCACCTTCGTTCGCCGCCCAATATTCAGGCTGTTCAATTCCCGGTCCACTTGCACGGTTCTTCCGACAAGCAAGGCGAGAGTGCCAACGACAGCTCGGATCCCTCAACATCGCCAGGAGACAGCGGGTCTCCGTTAAGCACACAGTCGACCCCTCCCACATCGGAAGATCCCTCTATAAGTTCGAAGCAGGCTCTTGGCAGTTCAGTCAAAACCGAAAAGGATGTGTCTTTCCTGACCCAAGAGGCCGGAGAACATTGCGTATCGACTGAGGTGTCATCAGTAACATCGCCCTCCGTTATCACAGTGGAGGCCGCTACCAATGCCAAAGTCTTCTTCGAGACGTATTTTAACACGGTTTTCTGCGGTGCAGATCCCCGCTCCCAGCGTCGGCAGGAGCTTGAGCAGTATATGTATGGATTACCGCTGAGTTCCGAAGAGAGAGCCCGGATATGGGATAACTGGATCACTCAAGAGAGGCACTATCTGCGGCAATGCCGAGTTCTCAAGAGTCGATCTCATGGCGGTGGTACTCATCATGAGACCGTGTCTCTTGCTGGATTTGAAGTGATCAAGGTGCTAGGTAGGGGAAGTTTCGGGGTCGTGCGCCTAGTCAAGGAAAAGAGGGGAGGCGAAAATGATTATGATGGCTGCTCCGAAGACAAGCTCTTACGCTGGAAAAATGAGGCCACCAATGCAAAGGCGCATGCGCTGGATTCTCTGCGGTCTGCTATAGACGGGACGAAGAGCAGCCGTCGGAAGATAATGACCGGCGTGAAGAAGGATGTCTTCGCCATGAAAGTCATTCGCAAGTCGGCGATGATTCGCAACAGTCAGGAAGGCCATTTGCGGGCTGAGAGAGACTTTCTGGTTGCGTCGGCCAAATCTCGTTGGATTGTGCCCCTGATCGCAAGCTTCCAAGATAGTAACCACCTCTATCTTATTATGGATTATATGGTGGGTGGTGATTTTCTAGGCTTGCTGATGCGTCGAAATATCCTACCCGAGACGGTCGCAAGATGGTACATCGCTGAGATGATTCTCTGCGTCGAAGAGGCTCATCGACTATGTTGGATCCATCGCGACGTCAAGCCAGACAACTTCCTCATCTCGGCCTCTGGCCACTTGAAGATATCCGACTTTGGCCTGGCCTTCGATGGACACTGGGCACACGACCAAGTCTATTATAATGACCACCGTTATTCCCTCCTTAAGCGGCTAGGGATCCAAGTTGATGGCGATGCCCTGGACCAGAAAGAGGCAAAAAGGGCGGCAGAGGAGTCAGCCGACAGCGACAAGGTTAATCAGACCAGCTGGACGCCACCCGCAGTTGGTCTTCTTGGATGGCGTGACCGGACACAGAAACGGCGATTGGCAGGAAGTGTCGTTGGCACCAACCAATACATGGCCCCGGAGGTGGTTCGCGGCGAGCTGTATGACGGGCGATGCGACTGGTGGAGTGTGGGCATTATCCTGTACGAAGTAAGAAGCCCAGTCTGAGTCACACTGCAATCATTGACAGCAATTCCAGTGCCTCTATGGATTCACCCCTTTTGCATCGGATGATCGGCAGAAAACGAAGTTGAAGATCCATGTAAGTGTCCTCTGTCCTATTGTTCCAGTGCAGGTGCAGCTGACAAGGGCCAAGCATCACAGCCAGACGCTTCAATTTCCAACTAATAAGCCGTCCGACAAAGACGTCTCAGCCGAAGCAATCGACCTGATAAACTATCTTCTTCAGGAGAAGGAACACCGTTTGTCCTCCAGCAAATATCGAGTAAACGACTCCATCACCTTTCGGTTAGCGTCCAAGCACCCCTTCTACAACATGGACCCTCGCAATAGGAATTACCGCGGGTTCTACGTCTACCCCAACGATGCGACAGACATCAAGAATCATTCGTTCTTTCGCTGTATCAACTGGAGCGAGATCCACCAATCAATGCCCCCTTTTGTCCCCAAAGTCAAGAGCTGGGAGGATACCCGGTACTTTGATGACGCTGGATACGACCACGACCCCGAGGATTTCTCTGCAGCCTCAGATGCAGACCCCCTTGAGGAACACAGCGAGGCAGAAGAGCGAGGAGAGCGTGAACGAGAGAAGGGCGATCCACCCCGATATCAGGATATCAATCATGTGCTAAGTCCCGGAAGCAAACCCCTTGTGAAAAACCGTCGAAAAGGGAAGGACAAGAAGCGTCCGCGAGATAAACTGCTACGGGACCGGAAAGTGAGGATGACCGTGTTGGAGATGCGCAAAAAGGGGGCATTTCTGGGATACACCTATCGTCGGCCCCAGGCGGTTGCGATGGCCCTGGCTCCGGACCGGGGGCGAGCGCTGCTGGGGCGAGGACACCTGTCGGATTTATATGGATAGTGAGCCCTGTCTGGCTCTCCACTGATGTTCGTTCCTTTGTTCTGAGGCATACAGTATTCTTCATGATGTATCCTTGACTGTCATTCTTATGGTAGTCTTATCTGGGCCACTAGGTCCTATTGCTACCGAACACCGCTGCCTCCTAAACGATATTATTGATAATGTTGCTGGACAAATGCATGATATGATCTTTCTCGCTGCAACGCCTAGACTCATGGGCAAATGGAAAGAGGTCATATTCAAGGTTCATGACACAGGCTTCGTAGCACGCATTCCACCAACTCCTGCCTGTAACTCCAATAGTCATCCAGTCCAAGACTGCATGAGAAACAAATTATGGAACCTATAGACTGGAAGAAAAAGAAACTCTAATGCACACACCGATCAAAGCATCAAATTCAAGGTTAGGTAGGTGGGAGGAATAGGTAGATCGGTCGATCGGTCACGGTCACTCGGTCGGTAGGTAGATAGGTAAAGAGGCAAGCCGGTCGAAGAGAGAGGTAAGTAGGAGAGATGAGAAGAAGGGGGTATCACGACGAAGAAAGAAGTTAAGGGTGTGTAAGAGGATTGATTCCTGGGGGACAAGGATAGAATGCCACCGATATCGATGTCGATAGATATAGTTGAGATCGAGGCCACAGGCAAAATCACAGAGCCGGAGGGGCGCCCATGGCGAAGGCGGAATCGCTGACGCGGTCTTCGGGTTTCATGGTTCCGTTGAGAAGGGGACAGAGTCTGTGGGAGATGGGGTGGATGAATTAGCATCTTGTTTTGTGTGTATTTTTCTCTTTTCTTCTCTGTTTGCGTGGCTTGTTTTGTGTTGCTGGGTGCTGGGGTTTGGGGATTGGGGTGGGGTCCATGCAGTGGGGGGAGGGAATAATGGGGTTATTCCTCTTCGGATTCCTCTTCGGATTCATGGTTCTGGTCCGGTGCCTGGGTCATGGCCTGGGGGCCGGCCTGAGGGGCAGGTCCGGTGGGGGCTACGGGGGAGGAGGAAAAGAACGAGGGGGCGAATTCGGAGGGGTTGGAGGGGAATCCCAGAAAGTCTGAGTTGTAGTATACGCACTTTTTGTTGGTCTTGATGTGGCCCACCTGGCCACAGTTGGCACATTTGCGTTGCGTGCCGGCGGACTTGCCGCCGGGGCCGCCGTCGGCGGGCGAATCTCCGGCCGACGCGCGGGCGGCGCCTTTCTGCTTCTCGCGGGCGAAGCGGCGTTCCTTGTTTCGGTTGAGGCGGCTGAGTTCGGCTTCGAGGCTGTTGGGGGTTAGATGGGGGCTTGGTCTTTGGGGGCAAGGGGCGGTAGAGGTTAGTAGTGGGTGGGTTCGGGACATACAGCTTCTTGTTGCGGGCGTCGATTTCCTTGTCGCCAGTTGGTTGGAGACAGTCGAGTCTGGGGTGGTTAGTTTCGTATGAGCGAAGTTGGGATCATTGGGGCTTACTTGGTGGTGAGAGCCTCCACGCGATGGCGATGTTGGATGTAGTGGCGGATGACACGTGGGTCCCAGACCATAGATTCCTTCTGGTAAAGCTCGCCCTTCTCGTCTTTGAATGTGCGCACGATGCGCAAGACCTTACCTCTCTGATCAGGCATACTTATCTTGCTGAACTGACTGGTTGTCTCGTCGTCACGGCGGAAAGGCGCCGGCGTGGGAGCTTCAGATCTGGGGGTTGGCTTGCCGAACTCCTCCTCTTCTTCGCGGTCGATGTCACTCTCATCGTCGGAATGCTCAACGGTCGACGACAGACTGGCCTTCTGTGAATCCCAGATGCGTCGGATGGATGTTTCGTAGGACTTTTGCTGCCGGGCCACGTTGTAACTGTGGCCGCCAAGCTCCTTGAGCCGCTGGGCATCGAGTTTGTCTTCCACACTTTCGCCAACCGCCTTGAACCCACCCTTCATAGAGGTCTTGATGAAACTGAAACCCTCCCCGCGCCCCGTGGGGTCACCTTCTCCGTGCAGCTTGAGCATTGCCTTGCCCTGCGATGCCTGGAGGAAGTTGCGGGTCGCCTTCCAGGGCGCCATCTGCTGTTCAAAGCTCTCCCCTTCCTCGTCGGCGTCGTCGTCCCCTCCGGTCTCGGCATCGTTGCCGAAACCCGTGTCATGCAAGTGCTGCTGGCCGACTTGCATAGACTCCAATAGACAGACATCCTCGGGTTGGACCCAGGAGCGGATCACATCCTGCTCCGGCACGGGCTCCATCGGCACCCAGTACTTGGAGTCTTTGTCGTGTTGGAGGAAATCTTTAACCTTCTGTCGATTTTGCATATCGCTAGTGCCCGGGATGTGCGCGGTGACATCACTGATAGAGAGCCGAAGGTCCGGGCTCTTCTTCAATAGGCGGTATACCAGCATCTTCATGCGGTTTTTGGCCACCGTGGTGACCTTCCGGGAATGGGGGCCAGGAACATCCACGGATGGGAACTGTTGTCCGGCGACAAAAAGATTCTCGATGTTTCGAATGTAATAATCGCTGCCACCCGAGCCAGTACTGCTACGCACAATTAGGAAGTCGGTGCTTTTGGCTTCGTGTGGGAACAACGGGGCGCGATACATGGAGTTGGAGATCGCAGGGGTCACTTCGCCGGGGTCCACATGTCCGAAGATCGAGAAGGGACTCTTGTCCTGAGGGAGCAGAACGGCGGTTTCGCCAATTTCGGCCTTGGGGCGAGTGGGATCCTCCATGCTTTTTCTCCGGTAGTAGTTGATGATCCGGTTCGACATGCCAAAGTTGGATAGCATGAGCGGAACCTCCTCGGAGTATTCGACCAGCAGGACGTTGGAGTTGTCGGCCAGAGACAGGGATTTTGTAGAATCGTAGAGCGTTTTGACGTCCTTGCCTCTCTGGTGCTTGCGTTTGATGTACGTGGTATTTTTGAACCAGCACGTCTGTCCTGGCCTGAAGGAGAGAGCCGGACGGTGGAAAGAACGTGCTTCGGCCTTGGCCAGCTCGGTTCTGTAATAAGGCCATTGCAGACGCAGTGCGGGCATACTATGCTCGAGAGTAACATTGCCCAAAGTGCTCCGAACCTTGTTCTGGTGGTTTTGTTTGAGCATGTCGTACGCCTGGTCGTTCGAGATGTTGTAGCGCGATGTGAGGCGTTTCGTGACGCTGGCATCCAATTCGTCCCGGTTGAGAGCACCCAGTGCCTTGGGCTTCTGTGTAGCCGACTCCGGGCCCCGCTCGTCCAGCAGAATATGAGGATCGTTCATATCTACGGTGACCTTCTGAGCAATGCGCGACGTGGCCTGTTGAGGGTCGTCAATCACCGGCACATCAATATGCGACAGAGCAACAATCTCCAGCGGGTCTCTTCCGAGCTTCCGCTTCTTGGCCGGACGAGTGGTTTCCATGAGCCAGTCCTCTTCCACGGACTCTGCATCATTGACTTCCGGCTCGTCCATATCCATTATGGAAATGTCATCCTTCACATCCCAGTCGGCACAGACAACACGGAGGTCGTGATGGGTGATTCCCCCGGGGAGCACCTCATCCGTGTCGGTATCCTGGTCGAACTCTTCCTTGATCTCTTTTTCCTCTTCCTGGGAGGCCTCCAGGATGGTCACAACACCCGAATGCTCTTCTAGCGAGCGTTTAAACGCCTGGCCCCCAGACTTGAATGACCGCTCTTGGTCATGAGCGAGTTCAATATTCACCTTGCTCGGAATCACAGGCTTCGGGGGCTTGAGGGGCTGCTTCCCTAGGAAAAAGGCCTTCTTGTGTGGAATCAACTCGAGGAAGCGCGGCAGGGCGTTCTTGTCGAACATGGGGAACAACGACTGCAAGAGCTCCTCGGCATTCTCCGGTGGTGCGGGGACATTCTCGGGGCCGTAAGATGACATGGCAAACAAAGCTTGCTGAAGCTTCCAGGCGCGAAGAGATGCCGGGTCCATCTCCTCGGCCGTCTGGCTCATCGCTTCATCCTCCTGCATGGGTACGTCCTCCTCTTCGTCCATCGGCACGGGTTCGGGCTGCGTCGGCGGAGGTTCGACCGGCTCTGGGACCGCGGCGGGCTTCTCATCTTCCTCCTCAAAGAACAGGTCCCTTGTCGGGTCGGCTTGATCGGGTCCCGGCGACGAAGGTCCATCGCCAAATAGGTCGTCCAGGTCATCGCGCGGCGCTTGCTGGGTCTCCTCTTCCTGACCTCCTCCGAAAAGATCTTCCTCGTCCGCTTCAAACAAGCCTTGATCCGCATCGTCGGCTTCCTCCAGTCCATTTCGAGCAGGAGGTCCAGTTCTCTCCTCTTCTTCTGGTAATTCGTCATCGTCGAAATCTTCGTAATCCACCGCGTCGTCGGCCTTTTCTCCGGGCTCCAGGTCTCGTGACAAGAAGTCGAACGAAATGCCCCCCTCCCCTAAGGGGCCGTTCATCTGTCGCATCACATTCTCAAAGGCTGCGTCCTCGGCATCGGGCGCCGGGGGTTCTGTCGCGTGAGGCATTTTCGATGAGGTGAAAGTGAGCTCGGAAAGCGGATGGATATCAGGGTGTGAGGGAGACGGCGAAGAGGTGGGGTATCCGGTTGGGACGCGAGGTGAGAGAGAGGTGGTCACGCGTGAGAGCGCATCGAGACCATCAGCGTGTCTACCAGAGACTTGGACGGCCGAAGATGCAGACAAGCGTAGCTTGATGAGCTTGCGTCGAGATGGTCGACCTCCAGGCTCGCCCATCGCTGCGGGAGTCCGGGCGGCGGGACAGGCCAGATACGCAACACCGCGGAACCGTTCCCGCTAACTAGGATGGGTTAGTGGGATTGCTCTGCAGTCCACAGTCAGGCTGTCTATACCCAGTGTAATCTTATTTTTTAAGATAATGCTTCTGATTACAAACTTTCCTTGTCTGAATGCTTTCTCCGAGTAGATCGGTAGTGTTGTTGAGAATGCGGAAACTCCTCAAGTTGAGACCAGGGCGTGGATAGTATATATTTTCGGCAGTACATTTAGTAGTAGATATCCAAAAAGCAAAGTCTTGATCGCCAATATGCACGCGCATTTGGTAAAATCAACCATGTAGCTGAATTACAAACCTTCGGGCCTATTAAACGGCTCAAGCTATTTATACCGGCAGATACATGTCTCGGTCTTCGTAGGATCACTCCTAAACATCAGATGCAGGATCCTGCCGAGGGATCGGCATCTTCCACAACATACAGTGCTCGGAGCCTGGTAACTAGTCACTATGTGATTGATAGTACTATAGAGTAAGATTTAATGGCTGATCTCATTAGGTATTCCTGAAGCATGGTAACCATGTTATTATACACTAAAGGGCATGACATCTGGCGCTTCCAGATGAGGTTCAAATAAGCTCCCGGCAGAAAAAGAAAAGAACAAAAAGCAGTTATTGGAGATCAAATCCACCATAATAGACACACAATGCCTTGCTTGCACCTTCCATGCAGTAATGCATAACCGTTGCCTTCTGGCCATCCTTGACCACCTTGGCCATCTGCTTCACGTCCGATGTCCGTGGGAGAAAGAGTACCATGTGCTCCGTGAAGAGAGAATATTCGTTGTATAGGGTTGCGAGGGAGTACGGTTCCATGGTGCTCAGATTGAAGACAGTGTCAGAGCGATATCCGGGTCCTAATGTCATGTCAGTGAGACGACAGGATGCAAGGAGGGAAGGGCAAGTCCATACCGCCCCAGGGTGGGCTGGCGAACAGAACACTGTACGGAGCCAAGTCCTTGAGTTGACTCTTGATGATTTCGAAGCAATCCCCCTCAAACCAGGTAATCTTGTCTGCCACGCCGTAGATCTTGGCATTATGCTTTGCGCACTGCAACACGGCGGGATTCTTCTCGATAGCGTAGACGCGCTTCCACTTGCCAGACAGCGCAAAAGCAATGGAGTTTCCACCGGCGCCGGCGAATGCATCCACCAGGATGCTGCGTCCGGCGGGTGCGGAGTTGGCCATGTGTTCCGCTATCTTGCTGGATATTATGTTAAATGAGTTGCAGTTGATGGTATGCGAATCCTCTACTTACTTGGCGACGGGTTCTGGGGTGACACCAAACCAGGCATCATCTGTCAGCCACACTCCTTCGTCATATTTGGAGAAGATCTTGTATCGTTGCGCCCAGTAGCTGTTCCGGCGTTAGTCGTTCGGACTCCAACGGGGTGATGCAGAGCAAAGTACTTCTGAATATCCCAGGGCACTTCGCTGATATCGTCGTAGTGGTGCACCTCTGGAGGCGCAACCTCTGCGTTAGGATCTCGCGCCATGATGAAGTAAAGCAAAAAACCAAAAACCGATCGCTCTCCAGCTGCAGCTGCAGGTACTGTAAAGACGCGGCGATAAAAGCAATCGCGATAACGATAGCGGTGTTTGCCGTGTTTGCAGGCCCGCCGCCTGGGCATCTCCACGTTGCGATCTGCTTTACTCCGCAGTGCCCAACACCAACCCTCCAAATCACTCTCACGCGGCAGACATGTTCGGGGCCCTGAATCGCTTCATCGGCTTGGATGCCGAGCCCGTCCAGCAGACCCGGGCTCAGAACACCAGCGATAACTCGTTTGGCTTCCAGGTCCTCCGCAACAAGGATGCCGAGCTGCCGCTGGAGCCTTGGTTTGATTTCATCGTCGGCATTAATGGCCGGTTAATAGTAAGTGGATCACAGTGATGTCGAGGAGTCAGGAGACACGAGCGATGCTGACTATGTCAGGAGGACCCTGACCCGAACCTGTTCGCTACGGAAGTGCGCAATTGCGCGGGATCCAGCGTGACCTTTGAAGTCTGGAGTGCAAAGGTATGATTCCATCCCAGTGATCACGGAAGATGCTAATGCACTGCTCAGGGTCAAAAAACACACACTGTCTCCATCCCCGTCCCCGCATCCAACCCTAGTCTGAACCTGGCGCTACAACTGGCCCCCCTATCCTCCACCCAACACATCTGGCACGTCCTCACGATCCCCTCCCCGCTCAGTCCGGCTTACCGTGCCGGCTTGCTTCCACACTCGGACTACATTATTGGAACCCCCAGCGGGACGTTACGGGGTGAATCGGCGCTGGGAGAGCTCGTCGAGGACCACTTGAACCGCACGTTGGTTCTGTGGGTTTACAACAGCGAGTTTGACGTGGTGCGCGAGGTTGAGCTGGTGCCCACACGGGGCTGGGGAGGCGAGGGTGCTCTGGGAGCCGAGCTGGGATATGGAGCACTACACCGGTTACCGGTCGGGCTGGGTGAGGAAGTCGAAGGCCCTGGCGAGGTGGTCTTTGAGACCCGCGAGGACGGTACCTCCGCGCCTGTGATGGAAGCGATGGGTCAGGCACCTCCGCTGTCTGGGCACTTTCTCGTCCCGGCCAATATGGTCTCGCCTCCGCCCTTGTCCGGACCTCCACGGAACCTGGCGGCATCACCGGCGAGCCATTCGCCTGCAGGACGGCGGCATAAGGCCCGTCACACGGCGAGCGCCAACACTGCGTCGTTCGACGACTACTTCGCGGAGGGAGAGCAAAAGAGCAAAGAGCAGGATTATGCGCCGTCCCGGAGGGGAACGCCACTGCCGCCTCCGCCTAAAGCTGGGGTGCGGTCGCCGTCCAGCTCGGCGAGTCCGGCGCCGGGGACTGCGTAGGGCTGCATGATGAACCCTTAGTTGTACAGTATCATGAGATTCCGGAGTTACGACGGTTTAGTGGACTAGATGAGACTTCCCGTGTCAAGCATGCAGTGGTCGTTAGTGCGAGAGTAAGATGAAGGAGTGGATCATCTCCAACACGCTAGGCGCGGCTGATCGTTAGTCGCTTCTCCTCATAATCCACGGCTCACCATTGGTTTGGTAGCTACAGCATCTACCTTCTGTGATTGAGGTCCTCCACAATTCACATTGTATAGTGAGATCATGAATGATTTCCACATCTTCTGCTTCTCGGAGTATGCTGGTGGATGATGCGCCGACCGAATGTGTCTCTCGACCCCAATACAGCGGTGGAATGAGGATCGATCCTCAGCCTCGCAACAACAAAGGGCGCCAGGATTCGCACCCACCGGGCTGCCACGAGGCCCCTTGGCACGATTGGTTTTGACCTTTCATTGTCCACCTTCATAAGCCCTAGTTTAGCTCCAGGCTCGGCTGGGGCAATGCTAGCATGCGCTGACGATGCTTTATGACTGCTTCTCCCCTCTCCTGCTCGATCAATCAACCCAACATGGAGCTTACCCTGCGGACTGTCCTGGCCGCTCTGGTCGGGCTGTACTTCCTCTACAAAGTCCTGTCATTTGCCCGGTTTTACATCATTGGTCGTCGCAGCGGATTTCCCCTGTTTGTGACTCCTCTGTTTACCCAGCATATTGTCTGGCAGATCGTCGGACCGACCTTCGAGCCGCAGTTTAGGCGATATCTGCCCCGATGGCTCTATGAGCATCTCGATATCACCATCAACGGGTGGGAGTTCCGCCACAAGAATGAGGTGCATCGCCGGTTCGGCAAGACCTACGCCGTGGTCTCACCCGATGAATGCTCGCTTTGGTACGTGGCCAACCCGGTGTATGGTAGGCTCTAGTCTGATTCATGATGCAGGGTAGCCGACCCGACGGTCGCCAGCGTCGTCTTGCAACGACGCAAAGACTTTGTTATGCCCCCCATCGTGGCCCAATTCATGGGCTTCTTCGGGCCTACCCTCCTGCAATCGAACGGTGAGGATTGGACTCGCATGCGGCGAATCATTGCCCCCAATCTCAATGAAGCCATCATGGACACGGTGTGGAATGAGACGAGTCGCCAGGCGCATTCCATGCTCGACTACCTCCTGCAGCATCCCGGCGGCGAAACGCTGAACGGGTTCCGTAGCGTGGCCATCAATGTCCTGGGACAAGCAGGCTACGGGCAGAACCAGCCCTGGTCGCCGGACTTTGTGTCGACCTTGGGACAGGACTGGCAGGGTGCTCGAGTGTCGTACTTCAAGACGATCGCCATGGTGACGGATCGGTTCCTCGAGGCGGCTCTGATCCCGAGCAAGCTGAAAACGCTGCCCTTCATGCCGAAATCTCTGCGCCTGCTCGGTCGTCAGATGGCAAATGTGCCGCAGTATATCAAGGAGATTTTAGACGAGGAACGGAATGCCAAGTCCAGCGAGCCCCCCAAGAAGCGAAGTAATCTGATGGACTTGCTGGTCCAGTTCACGGACCCGGGCAAAGAGCGCACCTCCTCGACGTTGTTCCTGAGTGATTCCGAGATCAGCGGCAATCTGTGGGTGTTTACCGCTGCCGGGTTTGACACTACTGCCAACACCATGGGATATGCTGTGATGTTCCTGGCTATGTATCCGCAGTGGCAGGACTGGATGCGCGAAGAGCTGCGCAGTCTGGATGGTGATGTCTCGAACTGGGGATATGACGTGTTTCCCCGATGCCCGCGTGTGCTCGCGGTTATGGTAGGTGATCATCGAATTCCCAATCACAATCGGGTACTGACATGACCAGCTCGAAACCCTGCGCCTCGTCTCCCCCGTTTCGCACACCACGCGCTCCGTAGCCACGACCCAGCAGATCGCTGATAGTAACGGCACCCACGTGCTGTCGCCTCCGATGACCGTGTTTGTCTCGCAGCAGAGCATCCACGCCGACGCAGACATCTGGGGCGCTGATGTGGACGAATTCCGGCCCACGCGGTGGTTGGACGAGGCGGGCCAGACCGTGGTGCCGCCCAAGGGCACGTTCCTGCCGTGGTCCGGAGGGCCCCGTGTGTGCCCGGGGTTGAAGATGTCGCAGGTGGAGTTTGTTGCGACGATGGCGACGCTGTTCCGACATGCGCGGTGCGAGCCGTTGCCGCAGGAGGGGATGTCCACGGAGGCATTGGTGGCGCGGCTAAAGGAGCTGATGGATGATTCGGCGCCCAAGTTGACGATGCAGGTGAAGCAGCCGAATGAGGTGCAGCTGCAGTGGGTGCAATGCTGAGGTGCAGTGTTGAGTGAGCCATCTTCCACTAGTATATAAAAAAGTAGAATTGTACAACTGGGGAATTGACATAGCATCCAATCCTGACGATCCAACCTCCTCCGATTATGCATAACATGGACCCTGACCCTGACCCTGACCCTGACCCTGACCACCTGACCAACAAACTCTTCACGATACTCCGATACCACGATTGATAACAACCTCCGCGGAATCAGTCATTCCTCTTAATATCACGCCCTTATTGGCTTTTCAACGCGGAGTTAAGCATCCTCCTGCTGTTGATAGAGAATTGAGCCAATCACAAGCATCTCCATCTCGGGTCTCGCAAAGTCCCCCTCAAAACATCCTAGCGTATCCATCTCCGTATGTAGACCACCACGATCAGATACACAATGATTTCAATCTAATCAGCCCATAGCTGGTCTGCCCTACAGTACAGACTACTCAGTAAAGATTATCAATTCGATGAGTCTGAACTAGTGTGTTCGTACACCTCCACCTCATAGTCCCAAACAATCCTTTTAAATACTAGTATAAATCACCTCATAAATCCATTACCCTCCTCTATACCATCCTCCCTCTATCCAAAAGACCTGTACCAAAGAGTACCAACCCCCAAAATGACACCCAAACTCACCACCCCCCTCCTCTACATCACAACAATCCTCCTCCTCCTAACCTCCTTCATCCTAACAACCTACACCCTAACCACCTACCTCCACCAAGCCACGCACCTCACCACCCTCGTCGCAAAAGTCCACATCCATAACCATCCCATCCTCATCACCACGTCGTATCATATCTTCGCCACCATCTGTACGGTAGCTGCATACACTACCTCCTTATTCCACCTCTGGCGGTCTTCCTCCACCACTACCAACTCCACCAAATCCACCCGCCTATCCTGGATTTACAAAGCACTCACCATCCTAGGCCTGGTGTTTCTGACGACCAGCGTCATCGCTTACACCATCATCCTAGCAACCGGGGAAGTCACTTTCGGGGATTCGGTAGGGCCGAGAGTGACGGTGTATTTGGATGAAAATGAGGGAGAGGCGGATGTGGTGTATAAGGGGGATGGGGTTGCGGTGGCGGGGTGTGTGGTGGGGTGGGTGGGGTGGGGGGTTAGTATCGTGAGGTATGTTATTGTTTTTCTTTCTGTGAGGATTTGGCTAATGGGTTTAGTTGTGTGATGATGTTGCTTGGGGGGAAGGGGATGGGGTTGGGGAAGAGGGTCGATGGGGAGAGGGGAGAGGGCGTGGAGAAGAAGGTGGATGTGGAGGTGGAGAGTGAGGTTGGGTCGTTTGGGGGGAGACAGGTGTAGGTAGGTAGGTTTTTTGGGGGAGGGGTGGTGGGTGGATGGAGGTAGTGGTGATTGGGAGGGGATATGGGAGATAGTTGAATGGTGGATGATGTATCAGCTATCAGCTGCAGTAGACTCATCTACTAAAGTACATATGCAAGAACTTAATCACAGAATGGCCACCCGCTAATGACCCTTGCTCACCACCTCCTCCAGCTTCTTCCGTGCCTCTCCGATCTTCTCCTCCATCATGGCCCGCGCCATCCCGCTGTGCGCCACACCCGTGTACCACAGGTGCTCGGCCTGGCTGCGCACCTGCAGATGCGTGTCGGCCACCGCCGGCACCCGCTTCTCGTACTCCCACACCAGATCCGACACGTTGCGCATCGTCACCGGCAGCAGGGTCCACGCCGCAACCGTGCCCAGCGCCAGCGGCGACGCCGTGCGCAGAATCACGCCGCGGTTCCGGGCCACAATGGATCCGGCCATGGCGGCCACGACAACGTACACTCCGCCGGGGAGCAGACGTTCGCCGGACTCGGGCGACGGGGCCAGCGAGGCGACGGTGTTGGTGAAGGCGTTCTCGATGTGCAGCGCCCGGGACAGGAAGTTGTTGAAGCAGGTCTCGACCGCCAGGGAGTTCTGGTACAGGAACAGCCGGGCCTGGCGGACCTGGGCCGTCAGGATGTCGGTGGGAGTCGGGGACGAGGAAGACGAGGGCGCGGACACCGGCGTAGGGACCGAGCGGAGAACGGGCTTGGGAGCGGCGGCCGGGATCTCGGTGGGGAAGTCATCGTAGATGGGTTTTTTCTGCAGAGGAGATCATCGGGTTAGACGGAGCGGAAGGACAGAAGCGAGAGATCGAACATCGTACCGCGTCCTGGGGCTCCTCTGCAAAGGCCGTCCGCCGGGGATAGAGCGTGAGACCGCCAGCCAGAAGAGTGGCCGCGAGGGGGGCCACAGCCCGCTGGGAAAGTTAGCGGAATGCAACATACACAAACATCACGGGAGGCAAGGATTCACCTGCTGAAGCATTGGCCGGAAAGACATGATGGACGAGGCCAATGGGGGGAGAAAGTGACGGGAGAAGGGGAGAGGAGAGGTTGAAGGATGACGGAGACGAGGTCGGCGCCAAGCCTTTTTTTTCGTGACTTTGGCTTGTTTGCTGCGGAGCCTCCGTCATCGTCCGTCTTTCTTCTCTATCGTTCTCTTGCTCCTCTCGTCCGGTTTCGTCTCTTCTTCTTCTCCACCCTTGGTGGTTCTTCTTCTTCTTCTTCTTCTTTACTTCTCATCATAATATGACTCCCATGTCATCTCTCCTCTTCATTTGCCTCCCCTGAACGTCACCATGGGAGCTTTGTCGCTGCCGCTGCGGCGCCGTCCCTGGACCTGCCGGACTTGCCTGCTGCAAGCCCGCCGCTCGCTCGAAACCGCAGCCTCCCCCGCCCAGCGCTCCGCCTTTGACTACCTGCCGTCCAAGAACGATGCCCAAAAGCAGTCCGATGATGATACCCTGCGCCGAGTCTTCGACTCCCAGCCGTTCTGGCGCGAGTTCAGCCAGCGCAGTGCTGCCCAGCTCAAGCCCACCGGCCTCGTCCAGAATCAGTATCTGACCAGTCCGGACGGCTTTCGCACCTTTGCGACCACCACGCTGCAGAAATGCCAGGCCATCGTCGCCAAGGTGCTGGCCGGTTCGACGCTGGAGGATTACCGGAACATGGCTCGCGACCTGGACCGCCTCAGTGACCTGCTGTGTCGGGTCATCGACCTGTCCGACTTTATCCGTGTCATCCACCCCGATCCGCGCGTGCAGGAGGCTGCGACGCAGGCGTACGCCCTCATGTTCGAGTATATGAACGTGCTCAACACCACCACCGGCCTCAACGATCAGCTGAAGAAGGCCGCCGCCAATCCCGAGGTGACGGCCCGCTGGTCCGACGAGGAGAAGATCGTCGCCCAGATCTTGATCAAGGACTTTTCCAACTCCGCCATCCACATGCCCCCCCATGCGCGCCAGCGATTTGTCAACCTGTCCAATGACATCAGCCACCTGGGCAACAACTTTGTCAACGGGGCCGAACCGGCCAAGTCGCACGTGGTCGTGAGCGCTAACAGCCTGCGCGGACTCGACCCCCTTCTCGTGCAGCAGATCAAGCGGTGGAACCGGACGGCGTCCGTGCCGACCATGGGCCTGATCCCGCGCCTGGCGCTGCGGTCCGTTCACGACGAGTCCGTGCGGCGGGATGTCTACCTCGCGACCCGGACCTCCAGCGCGCGCCAGATCCAGCGGTTGGAGCAGCTGCTGGCGAAGCGCGCCGAGCTGGCCCAGCTGTCGGGCTACGCGAGCTTCGCGCACATGACGCTGAGCGACAAGATGGCCAAGACCCCCGAGGCGGTCGCCAACTTCCTGACGTCGCTGGTGGGCAGCAACCGGCCGTACGTGCAGGAGGAGCTGGCGCAGCTGCAGAGCATGAAGGGCTCTGCGGGCCCGTTGCAGCCCTGGGACCACGCCTACTACGTCCACCAACGGGTGATGCAGTACTCGCAGTCGCGCCGGTCGCGGGAGCTGAGCGCCGTCCCCGAATTCTTCTCACTAGGCACCGTCATGCAGGGCCTGTCGCGGCTCTTCGACCGGCTGTACGGGGTGCGCCTGGTGCCGCAGGAGACGGCGGCGGGCGAGACGTGGAATGCGGACGTCCGCCGATTGGACGTGGTGGATGAGGCGGACCGACACATTGCGGTCATCTACTGCGACCTGTTCTCGCGTCCCAACAAGCACCCCAACCCGGCCCACTACACGCTGCGGTGTGCCCGCGAGATCTCGGCGGAGGAGGTGGCCGAGTGCGCCACCACCTTGGACGCGTCGGCCCACCCCAACGACGGCATGGCGACGGCCATTGACCGGGCCTCGAAGACGCTGCGCCAGCTGCCGACGATCGCGCTGGTGTGCGACTTCCCCGAGCCGCCGGCGACGGGGGCGGGACGCCCGTCCCTACTGAGCGAGCACAGTGTGCGCACGCTGTTCCACGAAATGGGCCACGCGTTGCACTCGATCCTGGGGCAGACCCGGCTGCAGTCGATCTCGGGCACGCGGTGCGCGACAGACTTTGCGGAGCTGCCGTCGGTGCTGATGGAGCGATTCGCGACGGCGCCCGAGGTGCTGGCGCTGTATGCCCGGCACTGGCAGACGGACGCGCCGCTGTCGGAGAGCATGATGCGCAGCATGGAGCAGGACCGCACCGCGCACGGGTCGATCTACGGGGCGATGGAGAACGAGTCGCAGATCCTGATGGCGCTGGTGGACCAGGCGTACCACTCGCTGCCGGCGGAGAAGGCGGCGGTCGACAGCACGGCGCTCTACCACCAGGTGTCGTCGACGCACTCGACGCTGCCAGACCCGGTGGACAGCAAGCCGCCGACCTCGTGGCAGGGATTCTTCGGCCACCTGCACGGATACGGCGCGACCTACTACAGCTACATCTTCGACCGGGCGATCGCCAACAAGCTCTGGGAAGACGTCTTCCAGAGCGGACGGGCGGCGGTGGACCGAGAGGCGGGCGAGCGGTACAAGAACGAGGTGCTTCGCTGGGGCGGGGGACGCAACGGCTGGGGCTGCGTCGCCGGGGTTCTGGGCAGCTCCAACCCGTCCAATGCCGACGGCCGGCTGGTCGAGGGCGGCGACGAGGCCATGCGCGAGGTCGGACGCTGGGGATTGGGACGCGATGGCGGGTTGGAGTGATGGTTGTACATGTCTTTCATTTCTGATCAGATATCTACTACGATGTATACTATTCACCGTTAGATTAATGGCCCATAGCCATAGCCACAGCCATCGCCATAGTATATGAACCGCACATTCCGTCTCCCACTCACCGCACCCGTGCCACCGTGACCACCGCCCGCCACGAGGCCCGCCAGTGGGATCCGACTGTCCGACCGACCGTCCGCGCTGGTCCCACCTGGCCAGCCCGTTGATGTGCATGTGAGGGTGGCCGGCGTGCTACCTTGACATTGCACATACTCTGGAGTCCAGGGTGCGGATGTGCCTGGGAGGCGAGGAGGCAAGGGTGTCGCATGCCGGTTGGAGGAGTCTAAATTGGCGGCCCTGCAACATTCACATTGTTACTAGGCAAGGTCTCTGTGCCGATGCTGATGCCTATATGTAGTGGGATCCCTGCTGGCGATTTGTGTTTGCTTATTTGTTCTGTTGCTGTTGGTGTGGATTTATTCATTTGCACTTGATACTATTTAACTTACTCTAGGAGGTATTCTATCTCGTTATTGGATTCGGGCTCGGGGTATAATAACAAGACAAGAATTAGCTGTCACTCGTATTGTTACAGTACCTCTCCTCGTCATCACCATCATCTTCTCCACGAGCCACTCCCTCTAGCATCCACTATCACCATCTACTATCATCACCATCATCATCATGGTCACCAACCAATCCTCACCTCGCAACCGCTCCATCCTCACCCCCATCTCCATCCCCAATCCTACTATCAACACCACCGATAAAACCACCAAAACCAAGACCATCCACCTCCGCCACTGGCTATCCCTCAAATCCAAATCCAAAGCCAAATCCAAGTCCACCCCAAATCTACGCCAATCGATACTCTCCACTACAGATACAGCTACAGCTACAGCTACAGCTACAGCAAAACGAAGAGGATTATTCCGTTCCAAGACACCTGGTCCTACACCTACTCCTACAGCCTCAGCTCCATCTCCATCTCCATCTCCAGCTCCAGCTCCAGCAACAACTATAAACCCACCACCTACATACCCAACACCAACTCCAAACACCACTACCAATCCTCCACGCATCAATCCAATTCCAATTCCACCACCAGCATCAAACACAAACCCAACACCACCCTCAAAGTCAAATCCATCTCCATCTCCATGCCCACAGACCCGCACCCGCACCCTCACCCCCAATCCCCCCCTCCACCTAAACCTAAACCTCCACTTCAACTTCAACCTGCACTTCAACCTCACCCCCAACACGCACCCCAACCCCACCCCCCAAAACACCAAACCCAAACCCAAAGACAGCGACACCGACACCCTCTCCCTCTCCACAAACCGCAGCACCACACACCTGGCCCCCCAAAGCACCTCCGAAGAAGAACTCACGACCTCGTACGCAGCATACTGCGAGGCGTTTACGTCGGGCTTAACGGAGGAGAGTTATTTGCATGTGCGGACGGCGGTGGGGGAGGGGAGGTCTGTATGTCGAGATCGGGAGGGGAGAGAGAAGAGGAAAGAGGGGAGGGAAGTGAGGAAGGAGAAGGTGAAGGTGAAGGGGCCGATGTTGGAGGGTTTGAGGGGAGGGGCGAGGAGGGAGAGGCAGAGGGATAGGGAGATGGGGATGGAGGTGGAAGGGGAGGAAGGGGAAGGGGATGAGGATAGGGTGCTCCCGTCGAGGGATAATCAGAGGGAGATATTACATTGGTTGCGGACACCGGAGGATAACCTTCAGGATGATGATGATTGCTCGCTGGAGCGGCCCCGTCGCATCTCTCCGCCCCCCAGAATCCTCACCCCCGCTCGATATGAACAATCGCGACGGGCAGCTAGACTCCAGCAACGCCGTCAGGACCGGTGGAAGCGCGAGAAGAAGCAGGAGCAGCAGCAGCAGCAGCGACATGCGTGGTGGACGGCCATCCGGGCAGGGTGGGCGCGGATGCGCCGGGCGGGCGAGGTGGCCAACGAACAATAGACAGGGCTACGATTAGGCTCAGACAATGCGGCCCTGCATCACAGCAAGAAAATTCAATAAATTCGTGCAACGTCGCTAGCCCAATAGGATCCCCAGGAATGGCCGCAAGGGATGTCAATGCACCCGTCGGTTGCAATCACACGAAACGCGCAGACAGGGGTATCCCGAGCATCTTATTACATACAGCCTAGGCCGATACAACAACAAAAGAAAATGCCCCGGCGCAATCCTTCACGCGGGACCACTCAACAAAGGAAATCTCCATCCAACCATCACGAGGATCCCTCATCCGCACCCTGGTCCGAGCCGCTGCTCATTTTCTCCGGCTGCGGCGTCGTCGACTGACTAGGCGGGTTGGGCGTCGCCCGGCGCGACATTTCGGCCAGTTCGCCCAGGATTCTAAGACACTCGGTCAGCCGATGCGCGCGGTAAACAGCGGGGTCACTCACCGTCGGTGTTCGTCATACCAGTCATCGTTGGACGTCCGGATGTGCTTAAGCTGCTCCTGAATACTTGCCATCTGCAGAGACCGCCCAATCAGTTAACCATGCCGGGTCAGGGAACGGGCCATGTCAGGTCAAGGGATGAAAGTTGGGAAATAAACGGGGCAGTCCCACCGTTCCCTGGATGGATGAGCCAAGATCCTCACCTTCCGCGGCCTCTGCCTTCTCGCCGGCCCAGCGGCTGCCTTCCAGCCCCGTCGATCCATCCTTCTCGGCCTTCAACGCCGCCACTTCGGCCTCCAGCTCGCGCACCCGCTTGCGGTTGGCCGCGATCGACGAGTCCACCTCGCCCAACTGGTTGAGAAGCGACATGTTCTTATCGATCTGGCTGTTCAGGTCCCGCTCGCCCTGGTCGAGACGCTCCACCATCGCCCGGTTCTCCGTCTTGCACGCCTGCAGTTCGCCCGCGATCGCCTCGTGCTGGCTCTTCAGCTGCGACAATTCATCCTTGGACGCGGCCAGCTGATGCAGGACCGCTTCCAGCTCCGTCTTCGCGCTCTCCGAAGCAGCGAGGGACTTTTCGAGCTCTGCCACCCGGTTGGCTACGACCTGGTGCTGCTGCTCCAACTCGTTCTTCTCGGTCAGAATGGTAGAGAGATCCGCACTGTGCTTGCCCGCGAGCTCCTTGGACTCGACAGCAGACTGCTCGGCTTCGTTCAGTTTCTTCTCGAGGTCAGCGATGGTCAGCTTCAGACTCTCAAGGACGGAGACGTCCTGAGCGGCGGCGTGGGCCTCAGCCAGCTGTGCGTGCACCCCGGCGAGGGCTGCGTCGTGGGCCTTCTGGATCTCCTCGATCTTCGCCTGGTTGGTAGACTCGAGATTGGCCCGGAGATTTGAGAGCTTCTCTTCTTGAATGGTGAGGAGCTGCTCAATGGCATGGCTGTGCTCAGCATCCGTCTCGGCGGCCCGGGACGTCTGGCTGGCCTGCAACTCCGCCTGGAACCGAGCCTGGGTCTCCTCGTGCTGCTGGTGCAGTTCGGCAATTTCCTTGGCACGGGTCTCGGTGTGCTGCGCGATCTCCTCGGCATGGCGCTGGAGCGTCGCCCGGAGCTCGGCCTCAAGAGCCTCAATCTGCTCGCTGTGCTTGGACGAGAGATCGGCGTACTTGGCCTGGAGCTCACTGAGCGCCTGCTCGTGCGAGCCAGTCGCATTGGTCTTGGCCTGCTCGAGCTGGACGGCGTGCTCGGCCTTGAGGGATTCGAGGACCTGTGCGTGTTGCTCGGCCACCACGGCGGCTTCTTTGACCTTGTCCTCGAGCTCCTTGCCGGCGACGATGGCCTTCTCTTCCAAGGACTTGAGCTGGTTTTCCTGCTCAGCGTCCTTGGCCTTGGTCTTGTCCTCAAAAGCGACGAGGCTCTGCTGGAGCGCCTCGGCCTGTCCTTGCTTGCTCTGGATCTCATCCTGCAGAGACTTGATCTCACCCTGGCCCGTCGACAGCTGGGACTCCAGAGCACCGACCTTTTCCTTGAGCGACTCGATCTCTTGAATGGCGTGATCCTGGGCGGAGTTGTTGCCTTCTTCCAGAGCCTGTCGGGCCTCGGTCAGATTCTGCTCCGTGGCCTCCAGTCTCTGCTGGAGCGCATGCAGCTCCGCTTGGTGGGCGGCGTCGAGCTCAGCGATCAACTCCTCCTTGTCCTCTTCGGCGGCAGCTTCGGCCGACTCCAGCTTCGCACGGAGCTCCTCGAGCTGCTGGGAGTGACTCGAGCCAGCCGACTCGGCGGTCTCCTTGGCAGAAGCAAGTTCTTGTGCGTGAGTTGCAGCGGCGGCAGCCAGCGCCTCCTCATGGGCAGCTTTCAGCTGAGCGATCGCCGCCTCATGGGCAGCCTCCAGCTCCTTGACCTTTTCACCGAGCTTGTCCTCCCCAGCCGAAGAGAGTGCCTGCTCGTGCTCAGACTTGAGCTGGGCAATTACAGACTCATGAGCTGCCTCAAGCTCCTTTACCTTTTCGCCCAGGTCGTGCTCAGCAGCGGAAGAGAGTGCCTGTTCATGCTCGGCCTTGAGTTGAGCAATGGCGGTCTCGTGTGCTGCTCCAAGCTCCTTCACCTTCTCGTCAACCTTGCCATTAACGGCCAAAGCGAGTGCCTCTTCGTGTTCAGCCTTAAGCTGAGCGACAGTGGTAGAGACGGACTCTTCATACTCGGCCTTCAGCTGGGCAATGGTAGTCTCATGAGCTGCCTCAAGCTCCTTAACCTTCGCGTCAAGACCATGCTCAGCAGCCGAAGAAAGTGCTTGTTCATGTTCGGCCTTTAGTTGAGCAACCACGGCCTCGTGTGCAGACTCCAGCTCTTTAATCTTCTCATTGAGCTTATCTTCTCCAGCAAAAGACAGGGCCTCCTCATGTTCAGCCTTGAGCTGAGCGATCGTGGCAGAGACCGTTTCCTCATGCTCGGCCTTAAGCTGAGCAATGGTAGTCTCGTGCGCTGCCTTAAGTTCCTTGATCTTCTCGCCAAGCTCGTTCTCAACTGCCAGAGCAAGAGCTGCTTCGTGGTCGGTCTTGAGCTGAGCAACCGCAGCCTCATGTGCGGCCTCAAGTTCCTTGATTTTCTCTCCGAGCTCGTGCTCGGCGACCTCGCGAGCCTGCTCAAGTTCAGCCTGTGCTTTCTCCAACGCTTCCTTGAGCGCGGCGATCTCCGTGTCCTTCTCAGCCAGGCGTGCGGTCGTCTCCTCGTTGCCCTGAGTGGTGGCAGAACCGGCGTCGGCGAGTTGGGCTTCCAGCGATGCCACCTTCTCCTCCAGGGCCAGAATGGCATGCTTCGCGGCCTCCTCTGCGGCCCGGGTTTCCTGCTGCTTGGATTGGTTCAACCGATCCATTTCCATGTGCAGATTCTCCACCACCTGATCCCTGCCGTTCAGCTCGCGCTGGAGATCTTCCAACTTATTGACCGTCTTCTCCAAGTTGGTGGTAGCCTCGGTGAGCTGGTTCTTCTGTAGTTCAAGCTCTGCCTTCAGCGAGTCAATCTGCTCGGCATATCCAGCCGCCGCCGCCTTTTGCTCGGCAAGGTCTTTCTCGAGCGCTTCCAGTTGGGCTTGGTGCGACTGCTTCAGCTCTTCCAGAGTTGCAGCTGCCTGGTCATCTCCCTGGGCAGCGGCCGACTTGGCAGCCTCGTCCAGCTCCTTCAGAGTCTGTTCCTCCAGTTCCTTGTGCTTCAGCTTGGCATCCTCGAGTTGGACACGCAACGCCTGCAGCTGCTCCTCATGGCTGGCGGTCAGTTGCTCAAGCTCGGCCGCGTGCTGCTCCCGGAGCGCCTTGGTGGCCTCGTCCACGTCCTGCGAACCATCGTTCGGGGCGAGAGACAATTCGGTCAGTTTGAGATTGACGGTGTCCAAATCCTCCTTCAGCTTGGCCACAGTGGCCTCACTTTCCGAGAGCTTGTTCTGGAGCGCCTGCAGCTTCTCCGAGTCCTCTTCGGCACCTTTGGGGGCAGTGCTCAACCGTTTGGAAATGGTTGACGCCGGCCTAGTGACCGTGGAAGTAGGCCGGGTAGTTGTACGCGCGGTGGCGGAAGAAGAGGTCGTCGGGCGTGAAGTGGAGGTGCTGGTGGCGGGCTTGGTCAGCGGCCTGACCGTGGAGGCCGTGCTGGGCCGAGAAGTGGACGTCCTCTTCTCGGCCGTGGTTGAGCCAGCAATGCTGGAGCGCCGGTCCAGAGTGGAAGTAGCTGGCTTCACCGGGGCTCTGGTGGCAGGGGTACCGACCAGCGACATCCGCTTGGCTGCTGTGCTGGAGATGCCACGCTTCTCATCGCCGGAGCTAGCCACAGACCGGTGGGACTTCTCATCTGCGGAGCTGCTGACCGACGCGCGGGATCGATGAGTGGCAGTGGTCGTTGTAGTCCCCAGCGGCTTGCGCACAGTGGTCGTGGTTCCGGGTCTGGTGGGCGGCTTGTTGATGGTGCTGCCGTTAATCGTGGAGGTGCGTGTGGTAGAAGTCGTCTTGGACGGACCGGTCATGGAGGTGGGTCGCTTCGTGGTGGCTGTTCCCGACAATGGACGCCGAGTAGCCGTGGTTGAGGTCGGGCTCTTCTTGACCGGAGAGGTTTTGGCGTTCTCCTTGTCCTTGGAAGCATCCGGGCTGGTCAAGGGGTCCTCGCCCCCGGACATAATGGACGATTCAACCGGGGTAGCGGGAGGCGCAATTTCCGGCTCCACCTCAGGCGGAGCAATCGGGGTGACGGGTTCCTCCATGGACGCCATGGCTGTGGAAGGGTGAACTCGAGAGTGGTCGGCGTGTAAAAGGGGGAGGTCCAGAGCCTTTCGAGTGGTCAGGTCTTAGCGAGGCAGTCTAACGAATTGAGAGCGTCCACGTTAGCGGATCGGAAGAGCAAAAGCAAAGAAGCATGCGATATCACATAGACGAAGGAAGCGGTGGACAGTGGTCGCGAGAAAATCCAAAGCTACAGCAGGCGGAGGCCAGGGAAAGGGGCAAGAAGATGCAGTCCCACCCCAAAAAAGTGCCTCTGGTTGTTCCCCCGTTGAGGGAGCTGCGACGGATAGCCGAGGCGGGTCTCCTTTTTTTCTCCCAGCTCCGCGGACCACCGCGCAAAGGAGTTGATCACGCAACGCAGCCGTGGTTGGCGCCCTCAATGGCAGAGAAGAATGTAGGGATTGATTTCCGGAAGCTTTGGGGGATCCTATACAGGGGGGGGTGGGCAGGGTGGGAGGGTCTGAGGCACGGTGCATGGTTCTTCTCTTCCCCGGAGGTGCAGATCAAAACAGTTGGGGTCACTCACCAGGAACTGCCCGTGGGAACAAGGACAACAACGGACGGATTAAAAGAGGTACCAAGAGCGGAACAAGAAGGGATTAAAGAATTACAAAGTAAATAGAAGAAAGAGCAATATGAAACAATATAGGGATAAGGGAGTAAGAGAGACAGAGAGATGGGGGGAGGGAAAAAGAGGAGGGAGAAAGGTGAGGGAAGAGGAAGAACGGGGAGGAGGGGGAAAGGCGGAAAGGACAGTAGATACTATGGGAAAGTCTGTCTGGCGGGCGGCCGTCCGTGATTCGCCTGCCGCCCGGCGGCCGGTCGTCAGGAGGTCACCTGGCGCCCTCCTTGGGAAAGCCTCTGGCTCGTTAGTCCGGCGGGTCACTTTATTCGGCGCATCCCACCCACTACTGGCGATAATGTCTTGCGTTTAGACCACTCGGTCGTTCGCTGCGTGCGGTGGACGTGGTGTTGGCACTCTTTCCGCTCCCCCAGATGGATCCCATGGTTTGTTGTGGTCGTTCCGCGCGTGTCTTCCCCCCTATCAACAATGCCATTCATCGTTCCATGGTTCCGGCTCTATAGACTGCAAGCTCGTTGATTGGAACACTCATACGACAGTCTCTCAAAACAACAGGGTATCTGACATCCAGCCACATCGGCTGGCGCTGCGCTGAACACACAAAAATTGAAGCATCCGTCAATCTCTCACCTTCAGCAGCCATCCCCATTCCTGACGTCCCTTGTCCGTCCGCACCGATTCCCTGATCTGGGGTAAGATCCGGTGGTACAGTCGCTCACTCTCTTTGCGCACCTCCCTCATCCCACGTTTGCCAATCCCCTCGGAGTAGAAACTGCAAATTTGATAATACCGGTTGGGACCTAAGTACGGATTATGAGAATCGGAGCTTCCTCCATGGGGGTGCAAAACCTACCTTGGAACCGCTGTAACCCCTCTACTAGAGCATGTCCCTCCTCATCGGTCCATTCGCGCTGCCCCTTACTGAGTGTAGGAGAAACTGTGCGGTTTCTAACGTCAGACTCTGCGCTCTGAGAAAGGTGGCGTCTCTTCAAGCGCTGGTGCTCGAAAGATTTGATGAGCTGCCTCAAGGGCAGGCGGACCCCAAGGCTGAAGGCGCGACAGTGCACATAACTTCCTTTGATCAGACCGTGGATTTGATCGCAGCATCCTAGCAGCCCTTCCAGAGCTTGATGTAGGTGATTGTATGCCTCAGGAAAGAGTTTGCTTTTAGCGTAGTAGGCCTGGAAACAGACCAGAATAAGTTGCACGAGAAGCGGAATAACATGCCCCTCGAATCCCTCAACGAGATCTCCGCTTCTGTCCTTATTCCCTTCAGTAGACAAATTGTAGACGTCTTCCAAGTGACCACGTCCCTGCATCGCGATCTTCTTCAGAGAGACTGCGCATGCGCGCACGTCATGATTGGAAGGCCCAATTTCATCCCTCAAGTTATCAACAATATCCGTATAAGTTGCAATTAAGCAAGATATCTCACGCATTATACCCGCAAAGTCAGCAGCTCGGTTGCGACGAGATTGTTTTTCGAGATTGTGCACCGTTTGGATCAGCTTTTTCCAGTCGGGGCCCTGATCATCGAGTTCGGAAGCTTCCTTGAACCACGAGCTCTCCTCCAGACGTTCGGGTCTACGCCCCTGCTCTTGGACAGGAGGCTCTTCGGCAGCGGGTTCTCCTTGGCCGATTGGTTCTTGTGCAACAAGCTCTTCCTGGACAGATTGTGTAGCATGGTGGCTGGTGGGGTCCTCTTGGCTGTGGGAGCGCCGGCTCTTGAGTCGATTGTTCCTGAAAACCAGAGGGCTAGCTTCTTGAGGTGACCAGGGCGATTCCCGTTCAGGTTGTATGTTCACTTGACTGGTTGCTTCCTGATAACTGGTAACTGCGCGTTTCCGTTTGTTGGAATGCCTGGGTGGACTTGGGGCCTCTGGGCTCGTTCTAGCAGAGTGACGCTCAGAATCTGACTCGGATGAGCTAGGGTCAGGAGAGGGCACCGAAGACGAGGAATCTTCTGGAGGCTGAAATATTGAGTCCTCGTCTAGCGTAGCGTCTCCTATGTTGGCGCCCTGATCGGATATCCGCGCGTTATCAGCCATTGAATTCTTACTAGAGTGGTGGCCCTCCGTCATAACGGATATAGACGAAGAATATTCTTCTATCCTCGTGATCTCGACCGCAATCATTGGCGTCCGATTTGTAGGTGACAGGCCACTTGAGTGTGAGTGCTGCCTATCAGCCGGTTGTTCAGGTGTATCTTTCCCCTTCTTCCCGTTAACATCACCATTGGGTTGTACTGGTTCGGAGTTGATTCCTTTCTTGGCATCCTGCGGTCTCTCGGGTTGCATACGAGTAGGTGTCTCATGCCCGGAAGATGAGGGCGGCCTCGACTGGGCAAAGGTGGTTTGGTTATCATCGTCTGAAAAAAGCTCCACTTCCGATCGGAGGCCCTCCCCATCTAGCATTTCGTCATTTGCCGGTACGGCGCCTTCATCCTCACGGCCTAGTTCATCATCACTTGGTTCGTCGGATACGGCTTGATCCTTAGACTCTGTTTGTCCGCCATCCGTGTGAGCGACATTTCCGGCACTGGTCTCTTCCGGGACTACCTCTTCGTTTGGCTCCTCCAATTGCTCGCCAATTCCATGCCTAACCTCTGGGATTTCATGATGTCGCAATGTTCGCGTGCTTCCAGCCGGGGTAGGCCCTTCGATAAGTGGTGCCGAGATCCTGAATGACCGGCGAGGAGTGAGCAATTCGGTCGGGGGAGCGCGCCGGGGCTTCGTTGGTAGAGTCTTGGGGGATGGAAGCTGAGTGGCATGGTCAGGAGAATCTCGCTTGCCGGAGTACGTAAACCGACGCGAGGGATGCGGTGTCGATGCATGAGGTTTGGCGATTGGGACAGGGCGCTTTTGTGTGTTCATGAGGCCGTTCAAATGCTCCAATGCCTGCGTGGTTGAATCACGCTTTCTCCTTCGCTGGACAGGACGCGGAGAGCCCGACATTGTTGACAGCCATGAACTTCAGGGGTAATCAGCAACAGATGGCAATCGACTTGCATCATCCGGGGAACATACATGACCTGTCAACAGCAGCTATCAGCTGCGTGGCTGGATCAGGAGGGAGCTAGCGCTGCATGGCAAACAAAGCGAAGTTGATGGCCGCGCATTTCCCGTGATCGGCGGGCGTCATCGACTCGTTATCGATAACGCCCGCCTCCAATTCCGCACCTCAACATCCCACCACAGCTACTCATTCAGCTACCATCACAGCGATATTAACGACGGTCCATAGGATACAAAATAAGCTTTGGCTTTTACCGCAGACAGGTAATCTCCATCATGGCAGCGGACGGACCTCCAGTCCGTGTCTTGCCCACCATCGACGCCGCTGCGGGGCATACCTTCATCAAGCCCGCCAAACGCATTCACGAGCATGGCGATGTCTCCGAATTCCTGTGCTCTAAAGCTTATGTGGACATCATGACGTTTTTGCTACAGCTCAACCGTGCGATGTTTCCAGCAAAGCTGTCTGATGGGTCTATCCAGACCTGGCCCTTGAACTCCGACGCTGTGGAGTACTCCGCGCCAGTTCGTCAGCTTCAGCAGCTGCTCTCCAAGCTAGAGGCGATTCTCGAGGAAGCACCTCCTGACAAAGGGCCGCGTAGATTTGGAAACATCAGTTTCCGGAGGTGGTACGAGCTTGTAGAAAGTCGCGTGACGGAGCTCCTGGAGGAGTGTCTTTCAGCGGAGATTCTCCAGCGGAAGTCCTCTAACCCTGACGGACCGACGGCGGAGGCAGAACTCAAGGCATATTTCCTGGGGAGCTGGGGAAGCCCGCAACGCCTAGACTATGGCACAGGCCATGAGTTAAGCTTTCTGGCGTTCCTAGCTGGGATCTGGAAGCTCCATGGGTTTCCTCAGAGCACTTCGGGGGTGGAAGAAAGAGCTATTGTTCTAGGGGTGATTCAACCGTGCGTATACCTTTAAAATTCTGTGAGCTCAACACTGATTGTTGCCAGGTACCTTGAGCTAGTACGGACCATCATCAAAACGTACACATTGGAACCAGCTGGTTCCCATGGCGTATGGGGATTAGATGACCACTCATTCATCCCCTACATCTTCGGCTCCGCACAGTTTGCGCCCGCTCTGTCAGAAACGGACCGGGTGCCGGAAGAGGGCTCTTTGCCTGATGCGCCTGACCCAACTGGGGTTGCAAAAGCGACTGTTGTGGAGCGAGAACGAAGGGGGAACCTGTACTTCTCTGCCATTGGGTTCATCTATGATGTCAAGAAGGGACCTTTCTGGGAGCATAGCCCAATGCTCTACGACATTTCCGGAATCAAGACCGGGTGGGCGAAGATCAACAAGGTACTTGCAATGGAATACGTATACAAGGGTTTACACTAACAACTCTCAGGGAATGATCAAGATGTACAACGCAGAAGTGCTGTCCAAGTTCCCCGTGGTGCAACACTTTCCGTTCGGCTCCCTGTTTAGCTGGGATCGCGATCCGAATGCCGTACCGCCTCCTTCTACCGCCCACACGACATATGCACCCCAGTCTCGATCAAGTGAGATCCCTTCTGAAGTACCCGGACCGGGAACCAAAGCCCCGTGGGCAACGTTTCCACCCGGGCCCCCATCAGGAAGCGGAACGGCCGCTCCCTGGGCTACAGCAAGAGGCCCAATCAGTGGAGCAGGTCTGCCTGACACCTCCCGGTTACCGCCGGGTCCGATGGCGCCTACAAGAGCCCCATGGGCCAGGGCACCGCCAGGGCCGACAGCCGGTGATAACAGTCCCAAAGGGGACGTGATGACCAGGGCGCCTTGGGCTAAATGATGCTATGTTTAGCAGCACTATCTGTATATATACCCTTGCATGATATCAGTTGCATCCATCATGAATGAATCATAAAAGTATGACAGGCATTATGCCATAAAACTCCAAATCCGGGGTATCATCCGTATCATCAAATAACGCCTCGTAAACACAAACCGCACAACAGACATTCACTCCGAATCCGACGCATAGTCTACTAACCCAGCCGTCAGACGTGGTGTCTCTGTCGCTTCCCCGGTTGACTGGTCCTCAGAGCCATTCACAGACGATTCACCAGCATCCTTCGCATCACCCGATTTACTCCCCGGAGCCAGCTTCCTCCTCTTGACCTCCGGCCGCCACTCACTCCCATCACTGCTCAAGAAAGGATCCACGACCGCCCGAGTATTCCCCGTCAACTCACTGCGAAACATGGCCTTGCGCTGTTCCAGCAACGCCTCAGCCTTCGTCCTCTTCCCATCCTTCTTCCCACCAGCCCTAGTATGTGATTCCCCCATCCCAAACAAAGGCTTGATCCTAGCCTTCCTCAACCCTCCCTCCTCCGCTCCAAAATCCACCAACCCAGCCCGGACCCGATCACTCTCAATCTCATCCACGACCTCAATCCCCAGACTCAACTTATCCTTCAACGCCTCCCTCTCCGCCTCCTTCTTCTCCAACCCCTTCCTCTCCACCCGGAACGTCCTCCTCAACCTCCTCGACTTCTCATACGGATCCTCCCAATCCCTCGCCTGTCTCTCCTGCAATTCCAATATCCGATCCCGCTCCGAATCTCCCCGCTTCTTATCCTCCACTTTGCCCTCCAACTTCGCAAACGGGTCATCATTCCCCAGAGCACCACCACCAAGCCCCTCCCTCAACACAATCTCCCCCTCCCCAACCCCAGTCCCAACACCTGTATCCCTCCTCCGTCCCCCCTCCACAACCACATACTCTGTATTCTTCGGATCGGTCCGAATCTCAATCCAGCCCCCACACACCGCATGCTTCATTCGAAACGAGTAAATCGGCGTTGAATAGTAATTCCCCACTTTCTTCTTCTCAGCGTTAAATCGTACCCCTTGTCCGATTATCGTCTCGTGGGGTTTGCATGTCGTGCACCATACCGCGAAAGGCATTTCGAAACGGACGATCAAGGCGCCAGTCGTTTTGAGGTGGCGGGCGCGGGCACCCAGGGGGTGCTTTTTGTGTAGGGCATTGGCGGAGGTGAGACCTTCTTGGTCCGGGGGTATATACCGGCCCATGTCTGGAGCATGGTTAGAGATTGGTTATGGTTTGGAAGGAGGGGAGGGGAGGCGACGTACTAAAGCCCTGCATTTTGGCGGTTGTGGCGAGGATAGGATCGAGATGGTAGAGGTATTGTAGTGATAATGTGGTGACCGGCCGGTGCCTGTGAGCCGGCGCGGCGGGTGGTGGTGGATGTGATGGGCTGGATTGACGTGAGGATGAGGCGGCGATACGATGCGATGCGATGCGATGGGATTATGAAGCTCTAATCGGATGGAGGTTGTGCAGATGACTCAGCTGCATAGGACTGGCTGTGCATAACTCTATCCCCAGGCTCGTCTCGACAACGCACGGTCACTCTGTGGATCCAACAGAAGTAAATACTAGTAATCGTTGAATCTATATATACAGGAGATCCTCAAGTGATGTTGTGGTAATTCAATCGATGATTGATCTCATTGCCTCAACCGCAACTCCTGCCATACGCACGAGGCCTCAAGAGCCTTTTTATATCGAACTGCTTGGTCCTTGAGGATCAACTAATCCTGGGTTGTTTTGACCGGAAACAGAGCATATGAGAGAAAGCATGTTCCTATTTTAAGCTAGAGCTGAAGCTATGGTGCTTCCCAACCTATGTCTCTATATAGGAACACTCATGGGCACGATCAAGAGGCAGTGGGATGAAAGAAGGCAAAAGAAGCAAAGAAAGAATGATAGATACAAGCTAGAGACCAATCAGTGTAGACAAGAACTTCTAACCAAAACGACCAGTACTCAGCGAATGACTATCAGACTGTAAAACCTAGACGTCTTTCTTTCTTGAGCTCCTCCGACTTGACTATCAGTAGGATAGGACTTCTAGGGTCCCGGCCAAACTCCTACGTCGTGACATCCACTGTGCTCGCCGTAATTTGATTTCTCTCCCCCTCTGCTACTAATAACTGGTCCTTATCCCCGAGCATCAAGAGCATCACCACAGCATAACATGTCGTTCAATGGTCAGGTGATCAATCACCGTTTGCCTTGGCTTGTGTGACCTATATATACCCCTCTTGTCTGACTGACCTCTTCACCTTCCTCAAAAGTCCGGTCTACCAGTCAAAGTCATCAAGAAGTCATCAAAATGCATCATTGCTATATATAAAGAAACCAGTCGTTTGGCGTGTCCAACATCTCCTAAAGCCATGCCACACTTGCAATGCTATTTCATCCAAATGAACGAGCGAGCTCACAGCCCAGCCTTATCATTCACCTTTGCTGCCAAGCGAGCATAAACACTGTGTGACTGTGAGGCATTCCTGCGGTATCACTGCAGTATAAATATACACGCAACTCTCTTCGGCTCCAAGTAATCATCAAAATCTATGCATCTTGATGAAGGCGAATTCGGGACATCCCAGGAGCGACAGAACATGTCGTCTCCCAGAGGCCTGATACGACTTATATAGAGAGCCTTCCACACTAGGTAAGTCTAGATTGCCTCGAGGAAGACCAAATTTTACTAATGGGCCCGACTGCATGTGATAGGTCTGTCGGTACTTTAAATGGCCTCGCCTACATTATAAAAGCTCCACTTCGTCCAGCTGGGCGGTTTCGATCACTCAGAACCTCCAGAGCAACAGCAAACGGCGTGCATAACTGGGGATATGGATACATGCCGAGTAGTCTTGGGTGGATATTCCATTATAATATCCTCTCAGAAGCAGGCATGTGGCCTGTGACTGTTCCTATCAGGGATCATGCAGGGTCGCAGCCGGATGACATGGCAGTCTCACTGATCGCCGAGACAAGGGGTGATGATGAGAAGCACTGCAGCGCTCTGACAAATACGCGGAACATCAAATATCTCCATCCATTATCCACAACAAAGACATAGCATTCCTGCAATAATATGAGCCGAACCATATCTATAGCGCTATACCGGCCATCGGGCAACATGGTCATTCCACTAACACTAGAAGCTGTATGTCTTAATGTACACAGTCCCTCATCGCCCATGGCAAGGCATTGCTATCGAAGTTCTAGTTGGCTTTATGGAGTCTGCGAGTTGCAAGGCTGTCATGACCATGACAGACCGATTTACAACGGGGGTCAGCGATTCATCATCGAACCAGTACCAAGTATGGACACAAAGGATTCTGTCGAATCTCCTCTTCGGGTACTGTACGGTCACCACGGATTCTTCAATCTATTGCCTCCAACAGAGGGTCAGTTCGCCAGTGATTCGAGGGCTATCCCCTGTGAAGCTCTTGGTTTCGACAACGGCCTTCAACCGCACGTCACCCCCAGACAGAAGAAAGCACTGAACGAATGAGTGCAGTGGTTGAAACCTTTCTACGACAATGCTTCGACACACCCCAAAACATGTCGAAAGAGTTGCTACCTTTGGCCCAACTTCGAACAATCGAGACTCAATATCAACTAGGGGATCAACTTAAATTTCACGCCCCGGAACTCTAAGCCAACACTGAGGCAGCTATCAAGCAGGGCAGAAGACAAAGCTATTCGGTGCGATGATGCATTCAGACTAAATCCTCTGCTCTTCATCTATGCGAGAGGAAGATTCCAATGGTGTGTCTAATTCTATAATAACGACTCCATGTTGTTGTGAGGTATATCTACAAGAGACTCCTCATCAGGGGTCTAGAAGAGACTTGATTTTGCAACATTCAGATATCTACAAACAGCAATATTTAGATACATTTTGATATCATGTCACCCGAGCTTATATTGAGAGTAGTTCCCAGTAAGTTTTGATGTGAAATAAACTCTCATATCAGATCTCCCAACATTGAGTCGACGCCTTTGGTACCATCAACACCAAGAAGATTAGCCACAGACAACGGTGATATTTCATACATGATAGTGTACAGCCAACCGTGCGTGGGTTGCAGCCTGTCTTCATTGGGATAGCTGGCGACACAAAACCTTCAATTAGCCATTCACTCTGCGGAGTTAAAGCTGGCTACGGCAAGTTGAGACTTCAAGCCCGCCTAGGTAGGCTGCACATGTCATGCACCAGCAGCAACCACTCGATTTAGGACGGTTGGTAAATGGTACTATATGTATATCAGAAATGACACTGCATACAGCCTCTACCACGATCTCCATGGAATCGCACGTACTCGTAATAGCACTCCCACGTACGGTGAATTTTGCCTTCTTTATAGTCTGCCGCCTACACTTGGTCAGTGACACAGATCAATACATCGTGAGATCTTTCTCACCAAAGCATCAACAAAATAATCTACCAACTCATTTTCCTCATCCAGTAGCTGCTGTAGAGGCGGTGTGATGGAATCATAAGTCTGGGCACGATCGAAGTCAATCCAAAGCACCCTGTCCGAGCCTTCTTGGACCACCATATTTCGCGGATATGGATCTCCATGGTAGACTCCGGCTGCGTGGATCTCTGTTAGGATTTGACGGAGCTTATTGACTCTGTCTTGTGAGAAAGTAGACAGATCTATCTGTTTGATATTATGTATAAACTCAAGCAAGACGCCTTTAGGAGATGCACGGTCTTTGATAAAGTCCTTTAGATGTGGTATCTGTTCTAAGGGATTGATCTCTTCAACTACGCCGTAGAAGTCGGGGACGATTCCTCGGGCACAGAGACCATGTGATTTCAGTCGTGTATATGCACGGTTTTCGCACGTAAATGTATCCACTTCCAGGCTTTTGGGACTGGTATGAAATGTTTCGATATGGTGATACTAGTGACTGGTAAGTTTATGATGTTGAAGGCGCTGCCTAATGCATACCACTTTGAGAATACACTCTTTGTCACGCCAACGAGTGTGAAAGACGCATGATGAGTGTGATCGTTCAATCAGTCTGAGGAACTCTATCTCGGATAAGCTGATATTCATGATGGTCTGCAGATGTATAGCAGGTGGTTAAAGAAGGTCTTGCCAAATGCGAGGTCCGCCAACCCTGCCTCAGGCTGAACACGCTGACTAAGTGCATACCCCAGGATTGTTATCAATTGCTCCTTTTGGCAGTATCCCCGTCGCGCTTCTCACATCCGCAAGATGAAGGTATCAACCAGGTTCCCTCGTTGGGCATCTAGGCTACCCAGTTCATCAAGGCGCCCACCAAAGTGTCATTATCATGGCTCCAGATCATCGTTATCAACCTCCAAAACCCCCTTGGATCACTGTTTCTCTCCCAAGTCCCCCTCGTTTACCCGTGCAATGAGCTCGGCGAATCTGCCGTCGTCAAACACTGATTTCTACCGGTACACCAGTGGTCGCTGGCTCTGGGAGGAGGAAGAGCGGCTTCGGGAACGACACACTCCCTTCAATGTGTCTGAACTCCAGAAGATTGCGGCCGACAGCGTTGGCGCAACAAAATGCATTGCGATGGCGAAACTGGCAGAAGGCTCCTGCAACAAGGCCTTCAGGCTGGAGATGAATAACGGATCAGTCGTGATTGCAAGGATCCCATGCCCGATTGCAGGGCCGAAGTACTATACGACTGCGTCTGAAGTCGCAACTATGGAATTTGTATGATTCTTTCTTCGCCAGGCCAGAGGCCTTCTCGTGCGTGCTGATCGATTTATAATGCGTGAGAATAGGCCCGCAGCGTTCTAGAAATCCCAACTCCCCAGGTGTATGCCTGGAGCGCCGACGCTAATAATTCCGTCGGTTCTGAATACATCATCATGGAGGAAGCCCCCGGGACGAAGTTGGACGATATATGGCACGATATACCCCTCGAACAGAAGGTAGATATCGTAGAGAATCTTATCTCACTCGTGAAGAAGATGGCTTCGCTTTCATTCAACCGGTATGCTCTTATGTCTGCTCTGTTGTGGTTCGATATGTTAACGATGGCGTAGCTACGGGAACCTGTACTATGCTAGTGAGGACATTCCCGGCGCAGTCGCAGCTGAAATTATGGGGGATGTTCCCGCAGAAGTTAAAGATCGAGTGAAAAGCCGCTTCGTTATCGGTCCGGTCGTGAGACGAGACTATTGGCGGAAAGAACGCGCAAAGATGCCTTTGGACCGTGGGCCATGTTTGTCCTTCCCGTCTGACTCTAATCATTCTTTCTAACTATCCAAGGGACACGACCACAGGATTTTGTCACCTCTCTAGCTCGTCGGGAGATAGCATGGATTCAGCAATACGCGGTTCCGATACCACCGGATGATCCGTTCGCGACTTCAGAAACACAAAACTCTCCGAGCAGCCATATTGCATTACTGAAGAAATACCTAAAGGTTGCCCCATATCTCCTTCCAGATGACCCTTCCATCATTGCACCTCGTATCTGGCATGCCGATCTCCACGCTGGAAACCTCTTCGTCCAGAACAGCAACATCACCAGCGTGATCGACTGGCAAGAGATCTGGGCAGCCCCTTTAATCCTACAATCGCGCCACCCACAATTAGTCGACTACGATGGGCCCATCATCCTCAAAGCCCCCGCCAACTTCAAAGATCTTAATCCCGAGGAAAAGAACAATATCCGAGACCAAATGAGTAGATCCATCGTACTCTATCTCTACGAAAAGAAGATCGCCAAAGAGGTTCCCCTGCTCCACAAAGTCCTCCGTTTCAATCACGGTCGAACAAGATGCGAACCGATCCTATTCGTTAGCAATACATGGGAGAACAGTATCATAAACCTGAGAGAATGTTTGATTCGATTGGAGAGGTATGTTGACAGTCTATCCTATCTCTATCAAACCCAGTGATATCTGAATTAACCAACATGGCTGTATGAACATAGATCCTGGGACGAACTCAAACTCAACATCCCCTGCCCAATCCATTTCACCCCCGAGGAACACCGCCTCCACGCCGAGGAAGGCGAGGGATGGAACAAAGTGCAGGATTTCTGGGACTTCGTATCCGGTTTCCTCGCGAGGGATGGATGGACCCCGACCGATCGGTATGATGACGCGGTGGCTTTTTTTACTGACCTGAGGGATATCGGCCTCAAGGGGATGGTCGGTAAGGAGAGGGAGGAGTTCCGGAGGCAGACTGAGTGGGTGGAAAAACATAGTCATAGTCATAGCCATAGTCATAGTTCATAGTTCATAGTTCGTAGTCCGTAGTCTTCATATCCACTCTACTCCCTATGTACAATAATACAATTTCTCCTCTCCGAGCCATATTCGACTCACTCTTGTGCCCACGAGACATCTACCTCTTTTGATTTACTTAGGTGCTTCTGACATAGTATCTCCTTTCAAATAAACCATCTTCCCATGGGCATCACACAACGAATATAATCATCCCGGTCTGTAGTCTTACGCTCCGTCGTCTGAAATAATATCTACAGGGATGTATAGTGACGGACGTTTTGGTACTTGAGAGTCCGAGGAATGGGAATGACGTGATGAGTACATACATACACCTCGCGGAGTCCTAGATTCCTTGTCTGATTATTTCATGTATAGAAACTGGAAGATCTCATACATGAGTAAGTACTAGTACTCAGTTGCCTGGCAGGATCCTACCCTCAATATGAGAGAACTCACCCCAGTTGAAGAGATAGGATATGCCCCACTATGCAAGTCATTTCATCCTTTCGATAGTAGAAAGGTATATTCTGTACTACTACTCTTGTAAGTGACAACCATCATATCCCCCTCCCCCACTTCTTCCAATCCATCCAACTACAACCTACTTACGAGACACTATCAACCACCGCACACGTCCCCCCCACCGCACACTCAACCCTCAAATCACCCAGTCCCTCCCCAACCCAAAAGGTAACTCCATCGCCATCCACTGGAACCTTCCAATCCTGCACCACCACATCCCAAATACTCAGATCCTTTCTCGTGACATTCAACTCCACCGTCTGACTCTCCCCGGGCGTCAACGTCCCCGTTTTTTCGAACTGTCGGAGTTGTTTCGCTGGTGTATCGACGCCTAGCACGTCACTGCTGGGTAACTCGACGTAGAGCTGTGCGACGGCGCGACCGCTGTAATTCCCGGTGTTGGTGATGGTGACTTGCACCGAGAAGGCAATGTCCCAGAGGGCGGGGTTGCCACCTTGGGCGCCGCCGGCGCGCGGGGCGGGTTTGGGGGTCGTGCTGTAGCCGGAGGGGTAGGGGTAAGAGGCAGTGGTGGAGTTGGAGGTGATGGAGGAGGGGTCGTCGAGGTAGGGGTAGAGGTAGCGCCAGATGCGGGTGAGGGTGGAGGGCCAGGCGACTTCGGAGGGGTTGGGGAGGGTGGTGGGGTAGGATGGGGTTGAGCCTTTGGTGGCGCGGGCGGGCGGGTAGGCCGTGTCGAGGGGGGTGATGGTGGTGAGGACGGGGGCGGAGTAGGTGAAGGTGGTGTAGGAGAGGCCGTGGCCGAAGGGGTAGCGGGGGGTGATGTTGGCGTTAAGGAAGTGGCGGTAGTCGATGTAGAGGGTTTCGGTGAAGGGATCTTGGATTTGGCCGAAGACTTGGTCGAGGAGGCCGACGCTGGAGGGGTAGTCGGATTCTTGGTAGGGGATGGTGTAGGGGAGGTGGCCGCTGGGGGAGTACGTGCCGAAAAGGACGTCCGTGAGGGAGTAGCCGGCTTCTTGGCCGGGGAGGTGGGCGATCAGTACGGCTTGGACGGAGGGGAGGTCGATCCAGGATTCGAGGATGAGGGGGCCGACGGTGTGGATGATGACGACCACGCGGGAGTATTTGGCCGCGGCGGCTGTGACGAGGTCGTCGCCGTTGTGCCAGGCGTAGAGATCGGCAGTGGTGCGGTCGCCGGGGTTGCTTTCGACGGTGATGTAGTTTTCGCCGGAGTCGGCGTTGATGAAGACGAGCGCGATGTCGGAGGAGTTGGGGGTAACAGAGGGAAAGGTGTCGGTGATGTAGAATTGAGCGTTGGAGGAGAGGTTGGCGATGGCCTCCTGGGGGGTGACGAGGTAGGGCAAGCGCGAGGTGCCGCTGCCCCAGCCCATGGTGAGGACGCCGTTGTCGCAGCCCTGGTCGGTGCAGGAGTTGAGACCGTTGGAGTTGGGGCCGGCATCGGTGCCGAAGATGTGCAGAGAGTCGCTGGTGGAGAGAGGGAGGGTGTGATTGTTGTTCTTGAGGAGCGTAATGGCGTCTCGGGCGATGGCGTGAGCCGTGATATTGTGGTCGCCTTGGACGTTCACGTACTGGTTGACGACGCCCGTGGGGGAGATGAGGGCCCCGGGATAGAGAGGCCCGGTCTCGTCGAGAGTGTTGCTGGAGAAATTGGGGAGAGGGTAGTCTTGGTCCTGGCCCATCTGATACCATGTGGCAACAATTCGGGTGACCTGGCGAGAGTTAGGGCTGTCTAGGAAAGGAGGACAGGGAGGTACGGACCATGTCATTGAGACGCTCCATAGGAACGGTGCCGTTGAGAACCGAGCGAGAGAGCTCCGAGCCCCAGTAGCTGTCTCCCAGCAGAGGAATCGCCCCATCGCCGGGCATGCTCATGTCAAGGCCGGCCAATGCAGACGACACGCCGCCGAGTTGGGCGAGCCAGTCGGTGACGACAAAGCCCTGAAAGCCCAGTTCATCCTTGAGAATGCCGTTGATGAGAAGACTGTTCTGGCTACAGGTGGAACGATTGACCTAGGACGGTTAGCTAGTCGCAGACGAGGGTATAATTCACTCACATCGTTATAAGCCATCATCACGGAGCCCGTCCCCGCTCGAACCCCCTCTGCAAACGGCCAGAGGTAAATCTCATGAAGGGTCCGATCATCAATATTCGACGAGTACCCTTGAGTGATGACACTACTCTCGCGGTGCATTTCCTGCTCATTGCCAATAAAATGCTTCAGACAAGCAATCGCCCCCGTACTCTGCATACCTTTAATAGTCAACGACCCCCCAATAGCCTGCAAACTCGGATCCGCGCCAAAGCCCTCCCAATTGCGACCTCCTCTCGGCTTGCGAAAAGTCGGACCGACAACCGGGCCCAAGAGAACATTAACACCCTTACCACGGGCCTCCTCTCCGAGCTCCACACCGCGCTGATACATGAGGTCCTTATCAAACGTCGCACCCACCGTGACACCGGGAGGAAAGGCCGTGTTATGGTCCGAATTGCGAATACCCAGAGGCGAATCATGAAGACACAGATTCGGGATGCCAAAGCGAAGCGCACTCCCGGTTTGGCCAGCACAGGGACCCATGAACATGCCGGTTCCGGTCGTGAGGTTGACTTTCTCTGCCAGCGTCATGTTGCTGACGACTCGGTAGGCCTTTTCGTATGCATCGGCCCAGTCGGAGAGCCAGCCCCCAGCGGGGGCGGGGTAGTAGGGCGGCGAGAAGGCTTCATCGTCGCGGGGGTGGAGAGTCTCTGCTGGGGAAGATGCCCAAGACCATGGGAGCAAGCCTGACAGCAGAGCCAGGTGGAGAAGACGGGTGGTGCTCATGGTTGACGGGGGCTGTGACGGCGCTGGACCGGGAAGAGCGACACTGCAAAACGTCAGGGATGGCCGTCAGGCTGCAAATATAGGCCGGTCAGCTTTAGACCCGGTTCCTTGCCCGGCGTTCACTCCATCATCCATGGATCAGGCGATCACTAGCTGGATAAATGTGAAGGTAGTGGTCATGCTGGGTGGAAAGCCAATGAAAAGACGGCAATGTGCCAGGATGCCATGCCAGGGGGCATGCCAAGGACCTCGAATCCCTCAGTTGAGCCCGTCATTGCTGGAAAATCGGCAGGTACCGAGGGATGGATAAGCAGGGACTGGGGGGAGGGGGCAAGTGATCAGCGAGGATGGAGAGATGGAGGTCATCCCCGGGATGGCCGCGAGGAGGAGAAACGGCTCATTTCGCCGCGGGCGGGTGAATGGCTCGTCATTCAGCCGGGGGCCTTCGGGGAATATGCTGCTGGCCCGTGGCTCGTGACAGGGCCTGCCGAGGCACTTTGCAGGCCCCTTGGATCATCAGGGGTCAGGTAGTAGGCAGCACCCTTTTATGGTTGGTCCAACTGTCGGCATTTGTAGTCTTTCATCGAAGTTACTAGCCGAAGTTTTGTTCCATGAGACCCGCTAAAGAAGCAAGCATAGACAGACCCGATACCACCATCTAAATATAGTATACAGACAGCCACTTCAGTCAGACTGGGCACCATTGGCAGCGACAGGTAACGAAGCCCTTCGAAATCCCACCCAGTTCACCCAACTCAACTTGGCGAACCCCAAAACACCACCCCCCACCAGGGTGAAAACACCCCCATACACCCAAAGCGACCTCGCTCCGTCCTGATCCATAATCGCCCCGGCAATCGGCGTCCCAATCAACAACGCGATCCCCATGAACGTAAAACACATCCCCATTCTCGTTCCCACCGCTCCCTTGTCGGGAGTCAGAAGAACCAGGATCGGGGCTGATAAGGAAACCAGCGAGCCCGAGAAGAAGCCATACAGGATACAGATCACGAGAAGAGGCCCCTCGGAGTGGACGGCGATCAAACATAACACCAGGACCCCGGAGAGGATAGCACCCGGAATCAGGATGTTGAATGTTCCGGTGATTTGAGAGATGTATCCCGGAAGAAGACGGCCAAAGGTCGAGGCGGCATTGATAATCGGGAGAAGGTAGAAGACGAGATTGGAGGGAACGAGGTTCTCGTCGCTGGCCACGGACTGGACGTAGTAAAAAGGGGTGTACAGCCCCATAAAGCAGAGAAACATCCCAAACACAAAGGATGCATATGGGACTTCACGAAAGGCCGCCAAATCGACCATTTTCCGGCGGGTCGCGGGGAGGACACGGACTTTCATCGAGATACACGATATGGATAGGCCAAATAACGCGATAAACCCGGTGATCCGGACGGACCAGCCGAACCCGACTTCTGATTGCAGGTTTCGGAGCATGATGGGGTAGATGACGCCGCCGACGCTGGAGCCCGAGGCGGCGATCCCGACGGCGAACGGTAGTTTGGTGGTAAAGTACGTCGAGAGAATGGCAACGCTGGGGACAAAGAGGAGACCGGCTCCAATGCCGATGCAGAAGGACTGGGCTAGGAGGATTTGCCAGAACTCGTGGCAGAGACTGAGCATCATGTGCCCGAAGACGACCAGAAACGAGCCGGTGTATAACAGGGGGAAGAGGTAGCCCGCGTCGTATACGGGGCCGGACAGGACGCCGAGAAACATGATGAGGAACGATTGTAGAGAGCCGATCCAGGAGATGGTGGAGGCGGTGGTGGTGGGGAGGAGCGTCTCTTCATAGAAGGTTTGATAGGCTCCATAGGCATTGATGATTCCCCTGGTGACGATCAGACGGTTAGAGACGTGCTGTGGCTTGCGTTGAACGAGGAAACCAACCATGTGTTGAAGAAGAGGAAGAACGAGGCCAAGACCTGTAACCAGGCTCGGAGTCCCCCATTTGGCGGCGTACTTCCACAGTCACTCAAGGCCTGCGGCCTGCTTTGGCCGTCACTCCCCTCGGAGTCGGTTGGGAGGATGTGATCCTGTTGCGCAATCGTCATGGTTGGTTCTCCAACCATCAGGATGCCTTGAAAAGAAGTGGTGGGAAGACCCCGACAGCAGCATTTCTTGGAGCATTTTGTACTTGTCGGACATTCGGGTTTATTGCAACCTTCGAGTTCAACCCAGGAGGTAAACGGACTTAAGCAACAGGAGGCAGTTCGAGGATGACATGCTCGCTGACGGGATTCCATAGATCTTAATGGTCCCGAATAGTCGCTCGATGACAGTCTAGCCACAACGGGTAAGCGCGTAATCAACCCGCCGGGGGGATCCATGGCACTAACCCTAACCAGACTAGTGCCAACTGGCCAGGCCCGAGTATATCAACCAGAAGAATCTCTGGCCATGAGGGATTACATTCAGAAACTTCAGACTTGCTTTTGAACGCCCTTTAACGCCCCTTAACAAACCGGAACAAACCACGACATCATGCTTCCAACCAGACAGCTCGGCCGAGATGGACCCCTAGTCCCTGCCCAAGGTGTGAACCCCCGCCCTAATGGGTCCCACTGAACGCTAATAGTGTCTCATACAGGACTCGGACTCATGGGTCTGTCCATGTTCTACAACACACGTCGCCCAGATGCAGAGCGTCTGGCATTCCTCGACTACGCCCATGCCAAGGGCGCGACGTTCTGGGACTCAGCTGACGTGTATGCTGACAATGAGGATATCATGGCAAAGTATGTCACGACCCGCCTTGATTGTTCCCCCAATAGCTAACAGTACCGGCAAGATGGTTCAAAGCAAGCAACAAACGAAAAGACATCTTTCTTGCCACCAAATTCGGCATCAAACAACACCCCGGCAAGCCCGCCAGCATCCACAACAGTCCGGAATATGTGCGAGAGGCATGCCTCAAAAGCCGCGAACGACTAGGTCTGGCGGCCAATGACCCCATTGATCTCTACTACTGCCACCGCATCGACCCCCAGCAACCGATCGAAATCACCGTGGCAGCCATGGCCGAGCTCGTAAAGGACGGCCTCGTCAAATACCTCGGTCTCAGTGAGTGTTCCGCCGAGACGTTGAGACGTGCCCATAAAGTGCACCCAATCACGGCTGTCCAGGTCGAAGTGTCACCGTTTGCAACGGAGGCATTGCATAATGGGTTGCTGGATGCGTGTCAGGAGCTGGGCGTGGCTCTGATTGCGTATTCCCCGTTGAGTCGCGGGTTCTTGTCTGGGCAGCTTACATCTTGGGATGATTTTGATGAGAATGATCGGCGCCGTGTGTTGCCGAGGTTTTCCAAGGAGAACTTCCATAAGAATGTTGACATTGTGAGGCGGTTGGAAGAGATTGCCCGGAACAAAGGTTGTTCGGTGGCACAGCTGACCTTGGCGTGGGTGTCGGAGTTGTCGGAGCTTTCGTTTCCTATCCCGGGTACGACGAAGGAGGCGAACCTGGATGAGAATTTGGGTAGTCTTGCGATTGAACTGACGGATAAGGAGCGGGCGGCTATTCAAGCGGTCGTTGATGAGGCTGAGGTGCATGGGGATCGGCATCCGAGTAGCATGATGCCTTTTCTTTATGTCGACACGGTTCCTTTGTCGGAATGAGCGAGGGTATATAGATTATGAATATGAGGGAGCGTTCATCTTTGGAGGATGTGCTTTGCAGTAACGACTTCCCTCCTCTAGCTAGCTGAGTGACCAATGGACACGCCAAAGTTCTGCACATAATATATCCCACATGGTCGAGTCATTCGATATCCTCAGTGAAGTTGCCACCTTCGTGCACTTTCGTACTTTGGCGTCACATTTTTCTCCGGATATCCTCTGCTATGGGCATGTTGATTGGAAATCTTTTTCCAATCGCTGGGGTGGAGCAGCATATCAGGGGGGGTAGGCCTATTGCCCGAAGAATATCCGTAAAGATAATGTGACTGCGAATACAAGCGAATCGAGAATCTGCATTAATGTGGTATAGGATGAATGTGGAGTTATCCATAACTCGGACCTCGGGTCCACGATGTGCACGCACCTGCTGCAATGTCATCTATCAGTGATCGCCTCGGGGTCTATTGTCATCACCGAATGGACTTAGAACACAAAATCCGTAGAATCCGGCGATGACCCCTCAGTAGCCAGATGTAGTTAGAGCGTCATCCAACAATGCATCTACCATGTCACCGGTGTGGCAAGAATCGGCAGCCCTGATCCGTTTGACCGGCGGTGTAATTGTTTATAAAAGACAGCGTTACTCCTAGGTCTTATCCACCACACGCAGAATAATCCTCAGCTGTCAACATGTCAACACCCTCCTATACCTTCTCAGGCTGGATGGGCCTCGACAAAGACGCCGCAAATGGCCATATGGTCTGGCAATCCTACACCCCCAAGCCCTGGGAAGAGACCGATATCGATATCAAGATCAGCCATTGTGGGGTGTGCGCTTCCGATTTGTGTGTTCTTCGAAGTGGATGGGTAAGTCAGCCTGAGTTATTTGATTCCCCATCACCGGAAACCCCTTGACTCCCTACCTCCAAACCATGAGAACATTGTCTGACGTGATTCAGAGACCCACCCCCTACCCCTGCCTGGTGGGCCATGAAATCATCGGGCACATCACGCGCATCGGCACGCAAGTCAAAGGTCTCCAGCTGGGCGACCGAGTCGGCGTCGGTCCGCAAAGCGACTCATGTCGGGGCCGAGTGAACGGCCCTTGTATCGAATGTTCCACGGGGAACGAGAAATACTGCCCCAATCTCTGGACGGGCACGTATGCCGGTAAGTACATGGACGGGAGTCCTTCATATGGTGGATACGCGCTGTATAACCGTGTTCCGGCGCATTTTGCAGTGAAGATTCCGGAAGGGATTGAATCATCGGCGGCGGCGCCAATGTTGTGTGCTGGTGCGACGGTGTATGCGCCTCTCAAGCAATATGGGTGTGGACCGGGCAAGAGAGTAGGGATTCTCGGGGTAGGCGGACTGGGACATTTTGGAATATTGTTTGCCAAGGCGTTGGGAGCGGAGAGAGTTGTTGCCTTGTCGCGCAGTCAGGCAAAGAGAGAGGATGCGTTGGCGCTTGGTGCGGACGGGTATATTGCCTATGAGGAAGGAGGCTATTGGGTCAAGGAACATGCCGGGACCCTGGACGTGATCATTTCGACAGTGTCGTCGAATAAAATCCCCATTTTGGATGCCTTGAAGCTCCTCCGCGCCAACGGGACTTTTGTTCAGGTAGGAAATCCGGAAAATGGGCCGTTTACTATTCCTGCGGGGGCGTTGATTGGCATGGGGTTGAGGTTTGCCGGGTCGAAGATTGGCAGTCCGAGTGAGATTCGGGACATGCTGGAGCTGGCTGTGAAGAAGGGGGTGACGCCGTGGATTGAGGAGAGGCCGATGGGCGATGCGAATGAGGTGCTTGTTGATATGGATAGCGGGAAGGCCCGGTATCGGTATGTTTTGGTGAATCGCTCAGAATAGTCATGGTGGCGCATATCCGGAGACGCAGATATCCTCATGTCACATCACGCATCGATAATGATTTCTCCCCCCTCATCGCCCGCCAATGATTCGTTGACTTGATCAACTCCGGACATCCTCTAACCGCCCACCCCCATTTCCTCAAAAACCCCTCCGACAACTCCCAATTGCCCACCTCCCAGGGATTCCCCCAAATCATCAACCCTGGGTTATCCTTGTTGTCACTCCAGAACCCCATAATATCCGTACAGAGCTGTTCATCATCAAACCAATTCCCAGCCGCGATCAACTGGTCACGCATCCTCGGATGCGGAAAGAAGTCCAGCCATGGGTGATGCGGTATAGTACACTGAATGTTCGTCGGTTGAAGGTGCACCGGGATTACTCTGCCGATGGTGGCGGCCCATGGCTTCGAAGTGCAAAATGGAGATATCGCATCAGGATTCATCCAGGTCATATCCATGCCTAGGGCCGCCATGTTCTCGGCCAAGGCGCGATGAACGTTAAGTTTGATGAGGGTCAGAAGATGATCAGCCTTGGGAGAACCCATCATGTAACTCTGGTAAGCAGCTTTTTTGAATGCATTTGCTCGTTCATAGGCACCTCTTGGCGCTAGACTGCATGCAGTAATGGTGAAAGAATCCGTTGGAGAATGTATTAACGCTTTATCTGGTGAAACGCTCGATGGGGTATGGATAGGAATGATGTCCGCGACGCCATATCCATCCTCCTGGTCAGCAAGGGAGCCAATGAGTTGCCACTGTGTTGGAGCAGATGGTTTGCCAGATTGGATCTTTCTACGTAGACCTGGGTCGGTCAATACGGAAGCAGTGAGAAGCTTGGCAGTGGCTTGCTTACGGTACGTTCTTTGATTTATACGGTTTTGCCTTTTGCGGCGTTCAATTTGTTCAGGACTTTGTTTGGCTGACATATTGTGTTGTAAGTCTTGGCCCCTGGAAGATAATGGCAAGTCTGTCATGGCGAGGGATCCAGAGAATGAAGGACGGGAGTCGGCTCGTCTTTAAGCGGCGTGGGGAAGTTCGGCTGCGCTGGTTCTCGACGCTAGCCGAAGGCAGTTAGTTAGCCGATTCTCTAGTAGAATCGGGCTCCACATCTTAGTTACTCCGTAGTCTCAGCTACTTTGTAGGTCTGGTTTCTCAATCAGGTTTCTAGATTACATAGGTGTCAATTTGCATGATCGTTCAAATTCATATTACATCCAAGGTCAATCCCTATCGGGTGAGATATCAAAGCCAATATGGACCACATCCGAACACCAAGCGATCATCCATCCTAAAACACCGGATCAAAGCCACAGGACAGTTCAACCGGAGAGAAACGAATCCAATTCCAACCCAGTCGATTCGTGATCCACCCGTCGCAGGAGAAGGCGTGTCGTCGGCATCAAGGAACAGCCAATCGCGGGACATCCCGTCTGCTCATGAAATAACTCCATGCATCGGGGCTCCTGCATGCCTGAGACAATGCGCAGCAAATGCTCCACGCTCAAGCCCTCATACGGCGCCTGAGGCGGAGGGAAGAGCTCGCGCGGCTTCAGCTGAAGCATCATCGAGCCAATGATCATGGTATCGCACGAGCGACAGCAGCCGCCATGGTCCAAAAGATATTCCATCCGTTCGTAGAGCGAGATGACGATGGAGTCTACTTTGTGCTGACGCAGGTGTTCAATGTGGCCTGTAAATCTGATCAGTTATGTCCGCAACTCACACCTCAGAAAAAAAAAAAACTTACCAATCAAGCTATTAGGAACGGGAAGGCCAAAGGTGGGAACGGGTCCGGGACTTTCACGGATCGCAATGCGAGTCATATGATGGAAGAGTACATTGTTACGGAAGGCCAAAGCGATGTACAGCCATCGACCAGCGTCCTTATTGAACATCTTCGGAACGCCCTCCGAGAGGTTCATAATCCACGTCTCAGCAAAGACTTCCACTGCCTCGAGACACTCGTACTCCTCGATCAATATAGCCAGCATGCACAGAGTGTCAAGAGTGATGTGACGCGGGACATTCCGGGCCCGGCAATGCATGGCGTTTAGCAGAACGTACAATGCGCCAAGGTTGTTGAAGCAAGGCGGCAGGATGTCTTCTTGATTCAGTCTCTCCTCGCTACTGAACTTTTCTTGGAAGAAGCGGGATGAAAAGGCCAGGTGCTTTGACGAAACCCGGATTCTCGCCTGAGTGATGTCGGGACTGGGAAGATTGTTTTTGGTGGCACGGACAAGCTCGCCCGATGACTGCTCGGGGCCCTCATTTGCCAGAGTGGAGCTAGCAGACACGGTCAACTCCAGTCGAGATGTATTCGAAGCTCTGGCGGGCTGTATGGTACCATCATCAACGCTTTCAGTGTCTCCATGTGACTTGGCGACCAGATACAGCGGGTGATTGTGCTCTAAATTGGGAGTAAGTTAGCATTGCGCCATCATGCATCAAGAGCAGCATGCAAGAAGTATGTGAACGGATTCAAATTCACCTATCTTGACCAAGCGAGTGTGGAACTGGCCTGCATGCTTCTCGACGAGCAGGAGCATGTCCCCTCGTGGGTCGATTATGTCATACTCAGAGGCCATCGCTGTCCGGGCTTCTGCGCAGGGCACTGTGATTGCAGTGGTTGATGGTGTAAGACTAGACAAGGAAATCGCAGGGCCAACGAGAACGAAACACACAGGAAACAAGAAAGGTGTGCTCAGTGAATTTTCACAACCATTTCCTGGGCAACATGCTGTGCTATAGGAAATTGGCAGTCATGCAGTGAATGAGAGCACTCAACGATCAACATGCGGTCTACTGTTGTTACAAACACACCACCCCGATACAATAAAGCCACACACTCTAATACAAATAGTATTGTCTATATACCATTCGGCATAATGCACTTCGTAAGTTCATGAGTGACCATGGTCATCTATTCTAAGTTTCATAATATCAACTCTCATGTCAGCCGGTCATTGGGGCACCCTAGTTGAAGTAGCCAGGGAACAGCCAGTTCATCTTCTCCCGAGCCTCGGGGCTCCAGTTCGGCTGAGCAGTGCTGAGGCCGAACTTGATGGACCCTTCGATGTGCTTGGCCTGGACCAGCTCCGAGTTCTGGCTGGCAGCCAGCTCGTCCAGGACGGCAGTCACGAACCGCTTGGCGTTGACGGCGTTGGCCTTCATGTTGCCCATAACCATCTCCACGGTCACATCGGCGGTCGACTCGTGCCAGCAGTCATAGTCGGTGGACATGCAGATCATCTGGTAGGCGATCTCAGCCTCCCGAGCCAGCTTGGCCTCGGGCAGGCACGACATGTTGATGACGCTACCACCCCAGGAGCGGTAGAGCTTGCTCTCGGCGCGGGTGGAGAACTGAGGTCCCTCTGTAGGAGTCAACGGTCAGTAAACGCCGAGGAGACTGAGGCTGATAGTCCGCAAGTCACATACCCATGCAGATCAAAGTGCCGCGGTCGTGCAGCACCACACCATCACCCTCCAAGCTGTGTCCACAGGCCCTAACCACCTTGGCGACACCCTCATCGAAGGGGTCTCCGAAAGGAACATGGGCAACAACGCCTCCCTCGAAGAAGGTGAAAGGACGGATGCCCTTGGTACGATCGATGACCTGGTCAGGGATGACGAAATCGCGGGGCTTGATCTCCTCCTGCAGACTGCCGACGGCGGAGAAAGCGATGATGGTGCGGACACCGATGGAGCGCAGAGCGGCGATGTTGGCGCGGGCGGGAACCTCGTGGGGAGCGATCTGGTGGTGCAGACCGTGGCGGCTCAGGAAAGCAACGGCAACAGTCTGCTGGTTGTGGGAGCACTGGTGGTGCAAGATCGTGATGGGGGAGGAGGGGTTGCCCCAGGGAGTCGAGACGGACAACGAGGCCACCTTGGTGAAGCCCGGAAGCTCACTCAGGCCAGTACCGCCAATGACGGCGATACGGACGGGCTCTACACCAGGGGAAGACGGCGATCAGCATGAGACCGAACCACCCTTCGGGGATTTGGCGGACTTACCGTCGTAGGTGGAGGGAAGGGCAGCCATTCTTTGAGCTAGTTGCTTAGCAGACTCGATTCTCCGGAGGGGCCTGGAAGGGAGGGTGGACAGAAGACGACGCAGGGGAGACGATGAGAGGGACAGCATGCGCGGAGGGGAAAAGCGAGAATCATCGCTTTGCTGACCCTCTCGGAAATCTTCCAGCTGGTGGCGGGGTCGTTGCCCAATCGGGCAATCCGCGTCTTATCGGCCCCACGTGCCGTGTCCTCAGGCATCCACACGTTGTTCCCCTCCTTTCAATTCACTTTCCATTCACTTTCATTTCACTTTCATCTTCATCTTCACCTTTCCCCTCATTTCTCTTCTTTGCATCCCCTGATCACCATCACCACCACCGTCCCTGCATCATTAACCCCATCAGACCAGAAGCCATATCCACTACGATTCAAATATTGGCAGGCACAAGGGTTGTTATGAAAGTCTCCGATTAGAGCAGCATCCAATGCTACCATAGCATGCTGAACATGTGAAACTCCTAATCCCTCACAAGCTTCTTTAAACATTATGACTATAATACACTCCCCTCTAGGCCGGACGCCACTCATAGTGGTGCGGCCCCTTCTTCACCGGCCCAGGATCCTCCCCAGGAACTCCCGGTTTGTAGTAAGCATGGGCTCCAAATAGGTCCATCTGCGCCTCCATAAACTTGGTGGGCAGCATCTTCCCTCCTTCATACTTCAAATACTCTAATGTGGCAGACAAGGCGGGTATGTACTGGTCAGCCACCGTCGCTGCGAGTACAACCTCCTTCAATGCATCCCACTGCTGATGCAGCTCCCGGGCAATCTCATCCACGAATTTCATGTTGGTCAGATCCGCTCTCATTGCCGGTTGTAGAAGGTCAGCGATGGCTTCGGACTGGATGATACATCCCCCGCGCCAGATCTGGATGCACTTGCTGAGATCAACGTTCCAGCCCTCATCCTTGGAAGCGCGGGCGATCAGTTCCAAGCCTTGGCAGAAAGAAGCCAAGAAGGAGCAGTAAACGGCGCGACGCAGTTTCTCAATAAATCCCTGGCGGTCCTTGACTTCAATCGGCTTGGGCTCGGGAATGTTGAGCTTCTCGGCAACCTTCAGTCGTTCCGCACGGTTTCCGCTGGCAATGCGCATATAATGAGCTGTGGCGAGAGTAGGCCCAGCAACATGCCGGTTGGCGGTCTCCATGATCGACCAGTACGGCGTGCCTTCGGTGTCATCATCGTCCTGTACCACTTTGTCAAGCACGTCATCTAGCACGTAACCGTCGTTTTGGCTAGTGCCTTCCCCTTTGTGGTCACCCTGAGGGGTCTTTTTCGTGCGCAGGATTTGCACGCCGATGTCAAGAAGGAAGTTCTTTCGCAACTCGCCCTTGTTGTTCCAGTCTTCAAAGACATCCGCGATTTCTTCGTATCTTAATCCCAGCCCGTAATGGAGGATGGCCCAGGCCTCGGCAGTCGTGGATAGCATCCCACCCTCAATGCCGTTATGGACCATCTTGACAAAATGACCCGAACCTGCGGGTCCAACGTTGGTCACACACGGGAGGCCGGTCTTTTCGTCTTTGGCCGCATATTGCTCCAGTAACGGTAGGACGAGCTCCAATGCCTCGGGGTCCCCTCCTGGCGATAAGCTCGGTCCACGCCGTGCCGACTGATAACCACCAGACACGCCCATGCCGATCCAGCTGACCCCTAGTTCTTTGCATCTTCGTTGCCGTTGCTCTGTTCGTCGGTAGTTCTCGTTTCCGCCATCGAGAATTATGTCGCCTTCTTTTAGGTCGCTTTCGATCATGTCTAGGACGGAATCGGCCGGATCGCCATGGGTGATGGAAAAGATGAACAGTTTCCGCTCTCCCTGGCCCTCCAAACTCTTGGTGAATTTGTCGATGTCGTAGAAGCCTTCAACCTTGCCCTTGCCTGTGAACTTTCCTTCGTCGCACCATTGCTGTATCCCGTCGATGTTTTCTCGTTTTGCGTCCCAGATGGACACGTCAAGGCCGAGTTCCGTAAAGGCAAAGCTCATCATGGAGCCCATGTTGCCGGCCCCCACGATGCCGATGCGCTTAAAGGAGTGGGAACGCTCATTATTGGACGGCATGGTGTCCTACTGCGGTCGCTAACTCTATCGCTATTTGTGTCAAAAGCGAAAATACTAATGAACTCAGATGAGGATGCCATCAGCAATCCGCCAACGTTGAGCTTCTTAAACGGAGGCTGTGGCGAGGATGCGGCCAGGAACAAATACGCAGCGGTTACATCATGGGGGTTACCCAGTCGGACGTCATGCCAGACCATCTGTTGTTCTCCTTTCACAACTCCCAGTGCTATATAGCCATGACGATGTGTATTATCATTTAGAGTGTCCGCAGAGACACTCTTATCGTGGATGCGCCGGAAGCCCTAACCTACAACAACCCGCGGTTACATCATCCTGAACGAAGCATACAAACTCAATTCCTTGACATCAATCCAGAGTACCTCGGATCCAGACTATTTTTATCTTCATCCAATCTGCTGGTATTAACCTCCATCAGCTTCCTGCAACTCAACTGCTTCTGAATTGTCACGCCCACGACACCCAACTACCTACTATCACAACCGCAACAATGTCTACCTCCGGGACCGATCAAGTTTCCCTTTCCTACGCAACCTGTTCCATCGGCTCTCCGTCATCTCCTCTCCCAGAGAAGCTCTCTGCTCTCAGCAGCGCAGGGTTCACCGCAGTCGAACTCGCCTTCCCTGACATCCTCTCATACGCCGCCAGCCTCAATGGCCACGATGTCGCCCCAGACAACTACCCCGAACTCGTCAAAGTCGCAAAGAACATTCGACAACTCTGTGACAAGCACAACCTCAAAGTAATGATGCTGCAACCCTTCGCCAACTTCGAGGGCTGGCCCCGAGGATCCAAGGAGCGCGAAGACGCTTTCAAGCGAGCCAACGGGTGGAGCGAAATCATGACCGCAGTAGGAACCGACCTCCTCCAAGTCGGCTCAACCGATACCCCCAACGACAAACTCACCACCTCCCACGAAGACATCGTAGCCGATCTCCGCGAACTGGCCGACCTCCTCGGCACCCGCAACCAACGCATTGCCTACGAAAATTGGTGCTGGTCCTCGCACGCCCCCACCTGGAAACAAGTCTGGGAGATCGTCCACGCCGTCGACCGTCCCAACATCGGTCTCTGTCTGGATACATTCCAAACCGCCGGCTCCGAATACGGCGATCCCACCACCTCATCCGGCCACATCGAGGAATCTACCGCTCCGACCACCGAACTGCTCACTCAACAATACATCGCCAGTCTAGACGAACTAGCTCGCACCGTCCCCGCAGATAAGATCTACCTCCTCCAAGTCTCAGACGCATATAAACCCCTCTCCCCCTTCGAAAACATGACCATCGACGGCGCGAGACCCCGCGCACTATGGAGCCATAATTTCCGACCCATGCCGTACCGCGGTGGGTATCTCCCCATCGAAGAGATGGGCCGTGCGGTCCTGAAAACGGGGTTCCGGGGCTGGTTCTCGATGGAGATTTTCGATGGAGGGAAGACGGGCAAGGAACAGCCGGCTGATATGGGACCATATGCGAAGGACGCAATGGCCAGCGCGAAGAAGTTTTTGGAGAGGTGTGCAGCTGCGTGAGTTGATTAACTTTGTTGTATAATGGCATTGCGGCTGTTTGGGCAATCTGGGTATATAGATAAGCTTATGGTTAATACCCATTGAATCAATTTGCCCATTTCTTGGAGCTTTGGCCATCTTGTTAAGGGGTTAAGCATGGGGCCTTGATTCGGGCGTAGCATTCTTCCCCTAAGTGTTCAGACGTCGTTCGGGCTGTGCGAGAGGTTTACTCGTGCAGGGAGTGAAGTAGCTTCCGGTGGACAACATGGATATATCTAAACTAATCATACAAAGAACAAGCCAAGGCGCGAACTTTTCGCCGAAACCTCAAACGCCGGATATGCATCATGATACGAAAGCAGATGGGGAATAATGCCAAATCGAAAAGAAACATCTCTCATCAGCGATGTGGGCTGACACGCTTAGGCGTCGTTGCTGGGGTAGGGGACCTTGTAGGTCGGGACAAATTCCTCCTTGATGGAACGCAGGCTGACGAAGCGGGACAGCAGGTTGCCGCTGCCGGCCTTGTCGTTGGTGCCGCTGGCACGGGCACCACCGAAGGGCTGCTGGCCAACTACGGCGCCAGTGCTCTTGCAGTTGATATAGAAGTTACCGGCGGTGTTGCGGAGGGCGTCGTCGGCAGTGCGGAGGACCTCGCGGTCCTGAGCGAAGATGGAACCGGTCAGACCGTAGTCACCGGTCTGGTCGATCTTCTCGCAGATCTTGGCGAAGTCGGCCTCGGTGGCGTCGTTGTAGGAGTGGATGACCAGGACGGGTCCGAACAGTTCACGGGAGAGAAGAGGGTGGTCGGGGTTGCTGGTGCGGTAGATGGTCGGCTGGATGTACCAGCCCTTGGAGGAGTCGTAGGTACCACCGACCAGAAGCTCCAGCTCGGGGTCGTTCTTGGCCTCGTCGATCACATTGGCCAGCTTGCTGAAGGAGCCCTCGTGGATGACGGGACCGCAGAAGTTGGTGAAGTCGGTGGGCTCGCCAACCTTGATGTTCTTGGTCTCGGCCACGATCTGCTCGACAAACTCGTCGGCAATGGAGGCGGCCACGTAGGCGCGAGAGGTGGCACTGCACTTCTGGCCCTGGAACTCAAAGGCACCGCGAACGGTCTGGACGGCGGCGTTGCGGACATCGGCCGACTTGTGGATCAGGTGGAAGTTCTTGCCACCAGTCTCACCGACGATGCGGGGGTAGCTGCGGTACTTGCCCTCGGCGACGCCGTTGGCGATCTGACCGTAGAGGCTGCGGAACACGGCAGTGCTACCGGTGAAGTGGAGAGCAGCGAAGTCGGGGTGGTTGAGCACGGTGTTGGTCACCTCGGCGGCGTCTCCGGGAACGAACTGGATGACGTTCTTGGGCAGGCCAGCCTCGAGGAGGATCTGGTGGACGAGCCAGTTGGAGGCAATGGCGGAAGGAGAAGGCTTCCAGACAACCACGTTACCCATCAGAGCAGGGGCCCCAGCCAGGTTACCACCAATGGCAGTGAAGTTGAAGGGACTGATGGCGTAGACGAAACCTTCCAGGGGACGGTATTCCACACGGCTGTCTCGATTAGTACTGGGCCGGTCGATGGGGGTTTGGCTGTCACTCACTTCCACACGCCAGGGGCATGGTGAACGGGCTGCTGAGCATACAGCTCCTCGGCGTACTTGACACCGAAGCGGAAGAAGTCGCACAGCTCGGCAGCCGAGTCAATCTCGGCCTGCCAGGCATTCTTGCCCTGGCCGTGCATGGTCAGCGCCATGACGTCATAGCGGTATTTGGTCGAGATCAGGTCGGCCGCCTTGAGGAAGATACTGGCACGGTCGGCGAAGGAGGTGGAAGCCCACGACTTGCGAGCCTCAAGGGCGGCATCGATGGCGGCCTGGACGTCAGCGGTGGAGGCGTTGGAGTAGGTGGCCACGGGGGCGTGGGAGGCGGGGTTGCTCTGGGTCTCGGACTGGGAGCTCTTGATCTGGGAGGAGTTAGAGCTGTTCAATTGCCAATGGCGTAGCTGTCTGTTACTGACCTCCTTGCCAGCAATCACCAAGGGCACCGTGAGGGGAGAGCTCTGCTGGGTTCTGGCGAGGGCCTCCTCGAGGGCGCGGCGATCAGGCGATCCGGGTGCGTAGTGTTTCTGCTAATGTGTTAGCCATCACCGTCCCCCATGAAACGCTACTTGAGAGCGTTACTCACGTTCGGCTCGTTGTCAATGCGAGGAACCTTGAAAGTGGCGTACGAGCCCATGGCACGAGCGCTCGTGCGGGCAATGTTGAGGGAGGGGCATTTGGCCAGAGAGAGGCCCCGAGAACGCAGGAGCAAAGAGGACTGCATGATGGATTGTGCTCTTCCGAGTTCTAGCAACTGGACGAGGACGGAATCCGAAGGAGAGAGGTAAAAGACAAGGTGAGGAGAAAGCAAGGCGGGCGCGGGGAACCTCGGAGGATATAAGAGACCCGGTTACTGCCGGCCCCGGGTCGATGGCGGTCAGGATCCCTGGATGCAGGTTGGTTACCACCGGGCCCCAGCACGGGATTCCAATCAAGGGGCGGCTTATCGACGAGAGCCAGAAAATGGCAAATGCATCGCTGCTCCGCCAGCTTGGGAGGCTCCTCCGCTATCTGTGCCGCCGGCAGGATTCCCGGGTGGGCCCGCTGCCAACCGGGCCGGACTCGTCCACCCGGCCTTCATTCCATTAGGGAGGCGATACCAGCGGGCGCTGGTTCGGTGATTTTGTGACTAACAAGATCGGATTTTCTTGTGTACTATCGAGTAACTATTTCTTGATAGTGAGATTGTCATAACTTAAATGCTTAAGTAGGTTTACTACGTGGTGAATTGGCCTCCCCGCATCCTCGCAGATCCCCCGCATTTCGCCCAATCGCCGTCGAAATGGGGCCGTACGCCAAATCTTCCAGTTCCACACGGTCGCGCTTCATCCCAGACAGCTCTCACAGGCTATCAACAAGGCTACCTCCAGCTCTGATTCGCAAAGGCCATCGTCCAGCCCACAAGCCATGTTCTTGCCATTATTGTAATCCCAGTAGCCTGCCTCGATAATCTTCCGGTTTGAATTCTCCTAGATATGTCTTCTCCGAGGATACCTGAGACGTGCCATCTATGCAGCTGGCCAGAGCTTCCACCCCTGACCCAGTCCGTTACACCGGCTCGTGCCCCGGAGATTGATTTGTAACAGACTTGGGCATTTCCTCGGTCACCTCCATCTTCTCTGGTTCCTGACCCTGGTGTCTCATGACTCAGCGTTGAGCAGGATTATCGACGTTTTCCCGCTGTCGAATCTCGATCGGTCAGCGTGATGCTAGCGACACGGGTAGGGAAGAGAACTAGGAAGCGATGGCTCCTGTATTCAAAGCGAAGACTCTTACCTTGGGATCTCATGTCGTCTTTCCTTTATTCTGGGTTCTGGGTTGAGAGTCACCTGTCATTGGGAATTTGAGTGTAGGAAATAGTAAAAGGGAAGAGAAAACTTGGAAGAATGGCTGAAGCTTGCCTTCGCTTGGAAAAGGTGGAGATTCTCCAATCTATGAGCATATACACTGAAGATAGGCTAGGATACCTCAGTAACCCCATAGATTATGGACAAGTGCATCTTGAACTGGGGTCGATTAATCACGAACTGGCCGGTGGGTTGCAGAGTGCAAACAGGACGAAGAGGAGGAGATGGTGACCCCAGCATATGAATCGAACACCTGACCTAAGGCAAGCGAAACTAGTGCCACCAGTATAGCAATGTGCAAAGCTATTACAAGCCAGTTTGGTTCTATTTGTGGGTGTTTAAAATAATTATGTACATATGTGTCGCCCAAATCTTCTGTATACTACTGCACTAGCAATTTGTCTGGAAGGCTGCTCACGCAACCCACCACCACACACGTTCCAGCCAATTCCGGGGCTGCCGCTCAAAGTCGTTCTCGCAGAGCCGGTCAATCTCCTCCTTACCCGTAAAGACATCGATCTCCGACACCTTGGTGAGCCAAGGTGTTCGGTACCAGATCTTGTGGCCCACGTAGAGGGCCAAGAAAATGGCCACCACAATGTACGACACCAGGAAACCGGCGGCCGTAAACTGGCCAGGGAAGAAAATCGCGTACCCATTTGTGATGGTCAGAAGGCTCACGATGACAATAACGTAGTACGTTCCATAGGGTTGCAGAGGGGTCCTGAAAGGCAGGCTGTCCAGTAGGCCGTGGTAGTTCATTGCTTTTCGGAATCGCTGGGTTTGAGTTAGTCTCTGTCTCCACAAGACGGACGAATAATATTGAAAGACTTACAAGATAGGCAATGCCAACCAGGACCCAGTTGATGAAACCCCCCACCGTGGTGATGTTGGTGAACCAGTAGAAGACATTCGCACCAGAGTCGGATAGGTTCAAGAAGGATAGCAGACCAACTGCCCAGGTGATCAGCACAGCGTAATAAGGTACACCGTTCCTGTTGCATCGGCTGAAGATTTTGGGAGCATGGCCGCCACAGGCGAGCGAGTACAGCGTCCGAGAACCAGCGAACAACCAGGCGTTACCCGACGACCAGGCGGAGATCAGGATAGCGGCATTGACCACATGATTCAGTCCAGAGATACCAGCGTTTTGGATAGCGATGACGAAAGGACTGGCACTAGCGGTGGAGCTTCCGCTGGCAACGGCAGACAAGAGATGCGGGTCGTTGTAGGCCACGGTAACACCAATGACAAGAGTCCCCAGGATGTAAAAGGTAAACACTCGGTAGATGAAACGATTGGTAGCTTTGGGGATATTGCGGCGGGGAGCTTCGACTTCACCAGCAGCAGTGGTGATAAGTTCGGGAGAGAAAATGAAGGAGAAGCCGGACTTGATAAACGCCGTCCAGAAGTCAAGGAACCGGCCGGTGCTTCCAGCGACCAGGTAAGGGTTGAATGCGCCGGGGTTGTCCCAGTAGCGGAAACCCAGACGATCATGGTTAGGACCTCCACCAAAGAAGAGCACAATTCCCAGGATGATAAGACCAATAATGGCGAGGATTTTCAATGTTGCAAACCAGAACTCGGCTTCTCCGTACCATGACACTGCGACAACATTAAGGAGCAAGATCACTGTGGCAGTCAGACTCCGTCCCATGTAGTTTTGAGAGATTGCACGGGAAAACAGAGCCGAGAAATACATACCGAGGAGGATGATCGTTATCCAGACCCCCACATTGATGGAGGTGGTCCAGTACTGGATGATGATGCCGGCAGCCGTCACTTCACTTGCGAGTAACATGGCGAACGAATACCTACGGGGCATCAATATCTGGATACGATATTGAACGAGGCTAGTAAAACTTACCAGTAGTTATATCCTGCGAATAATCAGTATGGGGACATGGAGCGGGCTGAAAGCATGGAGCGGAACATACCAGCAGCGAAGCCAATGCTGGGCTCCGTGTAGCGGCCAATAATATAAGGCACCGAGATACCCTTGATGGGCAGATATGTGGTCATCTCGCCCAGGACATTCATCACGAACCAGACCACCGACGACATGGCAAAGTAGCCCATGAACAGCGGTGCCGGGCCCACAGTGGCCAAAGTAGATCCTGAGCCTACAAAGAGACCCGTTCCTATACAACCACCGATGGCAATCAGCTGCAATTGTCGGGAGGACAAACCACGGTGAGTGTCCGTGTTAGGGCCTTCATGGATTTCTCCCTTCAGCGCTTGTGGGTCCTCATAGTCATACACCTCCGGCGCTTTCACTTCGGTCTTGGCCTCCTCGAGGTCCTTCAACGATGGAGCACCCATAGTGATTGTGGGCGACAAACACACGGATAAAGTATAGTAGCACAGGCAAAGAGGAATACTGGCGCAGGGCGCATTATATGCTTGCCGTGGGGGCAATTGAGCTCTCGCAACTCAGACAGCATGCTTATCAGGTCCAACGCGAGTTGAGTTGCAGCTACGGGCCGATGGCGTAAAGTTCCCCAGAAGGGCATCACCATTGGTCCAGAAATGCTGCGAAAGCAGATTTGTGGGGTTGGACATCTTATCTCTGGGTTGAGTTTACATACGAGCGACCTATCTGCTTAGGACATGAAAAAAAGTTTGGTGACTGGCGCGCTGCTTATCTGTCTGCCTTACGGGCGGAGACCGTCCGACGCGGCAGGGGCAATGGCGCGATAGCATGTTATCAAGCTTGCCAGTACTCTAGAAGTCGCTTTCCAGGGACGAATATGGACTTTCTGGCCTGTCAGATAGGTTGGCGCCGTTCCTCGTGGCATTAGACTGTAAATCCGGGGTCGTTCTCCGCAAAAACGTGGGCATTCTAGACTTGAAGGGCGCGTCCAGAGCAGTGTTATCCACCTGGAGGTTCCTGTGACTAAGAGAAACTGCGACAGCTCCAGTTACCTAATGGCTTGGTTTCATCTATGCTAGTTTCAAAAGCTTGACCCATCGGGACCGGCAAATGCACCGCGTTGATTGAGTCCCCGGCTGCAGCACAGTGGAGTCTGGCCAGCGCTAGCCCGGATCAAGTCTAGCCGTTACTTAAAGCCTGAATCCTCAGGCATTAACTAGGTTCGTGCCTGGCAGCTTTGGTTCGCGTTGGGTTGCCGGTGGCCAGTTGCCACGTCTGTCGATGATGTCATGGAGGACCAGCGACTTTAATCATCATTGTGAAAATCATGAACCCGTGCGACTTGAACTGTGGGCTTTCAGCAACTCCACGTTGACAATATCTTCTACTATGAGGTCCGAAGTATGAGCATCTCATCCAGTCGGATCTTTCCAAATGGCAGGTAAGGAAGTACTACGGCAGAGATAGTGGCCAGTAGTGCAGCACCACCGGGCCGGTCAAGTGGCAACAGCTCCGGTGGGGGAAACCTACCGGCCCGCCACCCGGTTGTTGGCCAAAGATCTTGTTGGTTGTTATCAGGGTTATCGCCAGATCGATAGCGCGGAGCCGGACAGGACATGCTGACTGAGAAGAACAGAGACAAAGGCACGGTTCCTCGCACGGGACTGCCGGTTCTCTTGTCTTGATCGTTTTTTGCCAGGGACCAGGCAGTAGTCAAGGATCAGTCAACACCCTGTATCTCCAAATTACAGTTTGGACGCCATCCCAGTCCCGGTTGCCTGGTAGCTCAGGCGAAGCGTACAGTAGCGGGCGATCAAGTGTAGATCGACATTGTACATGAGTGGTACATGCTGCTGAGCAGGTCAGCTGCTACTGGGTTTAAACTTGGCAACCTTCAACTGGAAAGGCAATAGCGCCACCGGCATAGTTAATCTCCATTCCATTATCTAACGTCACGGGACAGTCACCCAGAGCTCCTCCCAAGAGAGAAAAGTCCCGACCGACCGGCTTCGAGGCCAGGCCTGCCCGGTTTCCACCGGCTCCGGCCATCCCCATCCATCCTCCACTCTCCATATAGCCAACCCATCGTGATGCATTTTATACCTCGACACAGTCCCTTCCTCTGTCTTCTCACGGAGGTGCTTGTTTGTACTGTCTCTACGTGAATCCGTTCCTTGTCTACACTCCACGGAGATTCTCTTTAGCCGTCCTTGTCTCCACGATCTATCTCCTTTCGCTACTATCTCACTATCACCATGAAGGCCGCCCGCCGTCCGATGCGGGCGCTGTCGAGCGCTCCCTCCTCATACTCCTCGGCCAGATACGTCAGTCGCACCAGCAACCCCAAATCCTCGGCCGCTGCCTCTACCCCTGCATCCACCCGCAGCCTCATTCAGCAGGCTACCACGTCATCGAAGGAAGCTGCTTCAGGATCCCCGCTGGCCAAACTCCCCATCTCCTCGGTCTTGCGGTCGTTGGTGATCTTGTCCGTGTCGTCCTCGACTCTTCTCCTGAAGCCATGCATCTTTGCTCTCTCGACCCTCGCTCACCCCAAGACCCCCGTCTTGGACGTGGCCAAGAACCCTCTCTTGAACGCGCTCGTCAAGCACACTTTGTACAAGCAGTTCAACGCTGGTGAGAACAAGCTCGAGGTTCAGCGGTCGATCCAGGCCATCAAACAACTGGGTTACCGCGGTGTTTTGCTGGGCTATGCCCGCGAAGTCCTGGTGGGTGAGAGCGATGTCGATTTCCGCGACGAGAAGGCCGCGCAGGCTGAGATCCAGACGTGGCTGGATGGAACCCTGCAGACGGTGGATATGGCCCAGGAAGGCGACTTTGTGGCCCTGAAGTATGTTTCTGCTGCTTTGATCTTGAGTTAGAATATCCACTAACAGCCATAGGTTCACTGGTATGGGAACTCAGGTTCTCCACTACTTGCAGCAACAGGCTGCCCCCTCGGAGTTTATGGACAACGCCATCACCAAAGTCTGCGACTTGGCCATCTCGCGCAATGTGCGACTCCTTGTTGATGCAGAGGAACAGGCTGTGCAGCCTGGAATTGAGGGATGGGCCTTGAAGTACCAGAAGTACTGCAATGCGAAGACCCCCGGTAGCGCTATTTTCTACAACACCTACCAGGCTTATCTCCGCTCGACGCCGGCGACCATTGCCAAGCACCTTGAGGTCGCTCGCCAGGAAGGCTACACCCTCGGTGTCAAGCTCGTCCGCGGTGCCTACCTTAAGACTGAACCGCGTCATCTGATCTGGGCTGAGAAGGAGGAGACTGACGCATGCTACGACGGCGTCGTCGAGGCCCTCCTGACCCGCCGCTACAACTCGATGCTGAAGTCGGCCTCTGAGGAGCACAAGACCGAACTTCCCCCTGTGAACGTCATCATCGCCACTCACAACCGGGACTCCGTCCGCAAGGCCCACGCTATCCGTCTCCAGCAGGCTGCTCGGGCAGAGAGCCACGGGGTTGACCTCAGCTACGCTCAACTCCAGGGCATGGCCGACGAGGTCAGCTGCGAGCTCTTGCAAGGCTTCCCGAACACCGACTCTTCGTCCCTTCAGGAATCGCCGAACGTGTACAAGCTGCTGACCTGGGGTACCGTCAAGGAATGCATGGGCTTCTTGATGAGACGCGCCGTGGAGAACACCGAGGCTGTTGGCCGTACCAAGCAGTCGCAGGAGGCCATGCTTGGGGAGCTTAGGCGCCGTGTCCGCCGGGTGTTTGGGTTGGGCAACTGATTCTACTATGATACCTTTGTCTTGCGTTCTTTTCTGGGGGGGGTTCTTGATATCATCGGGCACTTGCATCTCGGTCGGAAGACTGATTCTCTGAGCGTCTGCTTGCATCTAGATGGCGTTAGCAATTTGGGGTTGGCGCATTAATGATAACGACTTTCACACTATTCGGTGTTCCAGTGCTTCTGCGTAGATGGCCTAGGCTAAGGCACGTAGCGTGTGGCGGTAATGTCAAGGGAGACACCCGCCCCTCGATACCCCGCGTTTCCTATCCTCTTCAACCTCCGATCGCGACACTGGGCGATTTCAATTCCAGGTGCCTCCTGATAGCAACTAGGCCATTCGGTCAATTCCCCCTGCCTAGCGTCTCCGATCCGATCCGGGCATTGTCCGCAGGTGAGCCTATCTCCGACATCGCTCCTCGTCACCTGGCGGTCCTTAAAGCTGCTGCGTCTTGACATCGATTTAACGAATGCCAGGGTTGTCCATCGCCTTCCCACATTGCTTCTTCATTTCAAACCCTTTGGCACGCAAGCAGCCCCTGAGTCCCATATCAACATCTATCTAAACCCCTCCGTTTATAATTCATCACTACGATGCGTCTTCTACCCGAGCCCGCAGTCGCCCAAATCCTGCGACAGCTGACCCCGACCCAGTGCCATGGCTTCCTCGATGCCTTCTGTGAAGCTCTGACTACCGTCTCATCTCAGTCCAGATCTTCTGAACAGGAGCGACTCATCCATCAACCCCTCCGCAGCACCATCACCACCAAGGAGCAGAACTTGTCTCTCTTCATGCCCGTTTCCAACACCATCAGCACCGGCATTAAAATTGTGACCGCGTCCCAGGCAAACGGAATCATTGGCGTGATCAACATCTTCTCTCCAGAAGGGAAGCTGCAAGGTCTCCTCAGCGCAGCGGAGATCACAGCCTTCCGCACCGCCTTGGCCGTCATGTCGCTGTTCCTACGCTGCGCATCCATCCCCAAGGAACACATCTTGATCTTCGGCTCTGGAAGACAAGCCGAGTGGCATGCGCGACTCGCACTCCTCCTTGCTCCCGAGCAGATCAAGAATATTACTATCATTAGCCGAGGTCGTCGGCGAATGGCAGAGCTTGAGAGAGATGTGATCGCCGATCTACGTTCCAGTCATCCTAACGTGACCTTTTCTACGTTGGTGAAAGAAGATACGCCAGATTATGAGGAGGTGCTTCGAACCGAGCTGACTTCGTGCGACGTGATCTTTAGTTGTACGCCTGCGACAGAGCCCAACTTCCCGTCCACGTATCTCCACCCGTTCAAGCCGCGGTTTATCTCGCTTATCGGCTCGTACAAGCCGCATATGCGGGAGATAGACACCGAGACCCTTCTCTCGGGCGGGGGGAAGATCTACGTGGATTCGAAGGAGGCGTGCTTGGAGGAGTCTGGAGAGCTAATCCTGGCGGAGGTGAAAGAGGATCAATTGGTGGAAATTGGGGAGCTGTTTGGGGAAATGGACAAGGAACAGCCGGTTAACGTGCCGGATGGCCGGAATGTGGTGTTCAAGTGCGTGGGAATGGGCATCATGGATTTGGTGATCGGGAATAAGCTGTTGGAGGTTGGACAGGAGCGGGGCATTGGGATGGAGGTGGATGGTTTCTAAATCTAGTGGATAGGTAGTACCTCGTAGAAGATCGATCGATCCTGTTGGTGGTTACTGTGGTGATCTATACCGGCCCTTTCTGTGATGGTGGGCGACAAAGTCACGAACCCATGCATGCAGGGCTGAAGGGCCCGTCACGCGAGCACGGCCAGGCCCTGCAAAAAGACCGTGACTGAGCCAGCCAGTGCCACCGAATCGTACCTTTGCATTAGTTCCAACTTTCCACCAGCTGGCCGGCAACCCCGATCGCCCATGGGTCCGGGTGGTGGTGATCGGCCTCTGCCTCCTCGTGCCGCTCCTGATCTTATCAGTGGGACGTGGAAAGTGGAAAGGGAGGATCGCCTGCGTTGCAACTCGGGGAAATTTTCTCGACTCCGCAACCACCAACTCCTGGTCGAACCCTCTCCACTCCTCCTCCGGATGCCCTCGCCATAATCCTACAATGCGCCTGCCTCTCCATCGGCCTCCCTGATCTCAAACTGCCATGGATGTGGGCCCAACCACCCCTGCTGGTCTAGGCCAGCAGAAACGACCCCGCGTTTCGGACGAAAACCGCAAACGAGCCGTGCGAGCGTAAGCCTGCCTCTCTCCCTGATTCTCCCCTCGAAACCCGGCCAGAATGGCTTGCGATTTGGGACATTGGTACTGACTGCTCAGCTGCGATGGCTGTCGCCGCGTCAAGGAGAAATGCGAAGGAGGTGTGCCCTGTCGCCGGTGTCTCCGGTATCGCCGGCAATGCATCTTCACTCACCCCGATCATGCGGAGAAACTCGCCCGATCGTCGTCTATCCCGTAAGTCGACATGCGCCATCAACCGTATAACGTGTGACGGATGGGGGGCTTATACGTGATGGTTTAGACTGCTGGAACGGACGGCCGCCCTCAGTCGACATGATCTGGCCGAGGCGGAACGTGTCCGGTACATGGAACGCATTATTCAACACTATGTCCCTAATATCTCGTTCGACATCCATTCTCTCCGGAAGATGGCGGAGGAGCTGACACATAAACATCGTCCTTCGGGTGCTACGGAAAGCTCCTCGTTGCAGTTGGATGGGGAGGATCTGGAGGACCTGGCTATCGATGATGAAGACTTTACCATTAAGGCTTTGCCGGATAATACCACCCGTGCGCTTCTGCTCCTCTCTGGTTTTGTTTCACTCTTCGGGACTATCGAACTAACATGACTGCAGAATACTCTGGAGAATTCTCCTACCTGAATTTCTCCATGAAAATCAGACAGAAGATCGATGAATGGATGCAGACTGCAGCTCCGGAGGTAACGGCAGTCTGAATAGCCTCAGTTGATTTGTTGCTGACCGGTATAGGCCTCAACCGAAACAGAGCCGTTCGAAGAACGATGGCGAGCAACACAACTGCAGTCCGGCTCGACTTTGGTGTCGACATCTGTCACCTGTCTTCCTCCTCGCTTTGTGGCCGACTTCCTGGTCCAGATCTTCTTCAAATACGCCCAGACAAACAACTTCTATGTGGAAGAGGACTGGCTGCGCGACAAGCTCAACACCTGTTATACCGATCCTTCGAGTCTTTCTTCTAAGGATGCCGGCTCTGTCTGCGCCATTCTGATGGTCCTGGCCGTCGGAACCCAGTTTGCGCACATGGAATCATCGATCCCCGTCAATCGTCTCTCCTCCAACTCGGCATTCGACGATGATCATCACTTCTCCGAGGACGACGTCGGTCTCACGTTCTACCAATTCGCATCCAAGCTGCTTCCAGATATCATCGCCACCGCGTCCGTTCGAAGCGTGCAGGCCTGTCTACTGATCGGAACCTATCTGCTGCCGCTTGATACCTCGGGGCTCTGCTACACGTACTTTGGTCTGGCACTGAAGATGGCAATTCAGAATGGCATGCACCGGAAATATACTGGCGAAGGACTATCACCTCGTATGATCGAGACTCGGAATCGTGTGTTCTGGACTGCGTACACGATAGAAAAGTAAGTTTTGGACAACGATCTTTCGCTCTGTACGATGCTTACGATCTCTAGGCGCGTCAGCATCCTTCATGGAAGACCAGTATCCTTGTTAGATGCGGATGTGGATGCCCCATTTCCTACTGACTTTCCCGGCTTGACACCATCGGGACACGTTTCGAACGATACAAACATGGTGACACTTATCAAATTGACCCTCAAACTTGGAGAAGTTGCGAATGAAATGTGGGTTCTCTTGAAGTAAGCTAGGAACTCTGCTAACGCCAGTAGATCTATTCTTCGCAAGTCGCGAAAGAACCAACAACAGGATTGTCTGGAAAGGCTATTGAATCTGCGAAAGAACCTAGTAGACTGGTGGGCTACGCTGCCTGAAGAAACCAACTGCAGAGACCTCAACCCGGCAGGGCCACTTTTCCGATCCAATGTGCATCTAAAGCTCGACTATTGTTTGACTCGCATCTTCCTTGGGCGGCCGTTTCTCTTCAGCAGCATGAGAGCAGTCAGCCTCACGACGATTACTGGCGCTCCGCTGAAGACGCCGTCGGGCCTTGCTAAAAATCGGTCGACGTTGGTCACCGATTGTGTGGAAGCTGCTCTAGAGATCATCGATCTGTGTCGGCTGCTTCGCGACGAGCCCGGTCTCGCCCGCGCGTCGTTTACCGAGTTTAGCTCATGCCGTGCTGCTCTGCTCGTCATTCTGGCCCAAAGTTTAACCAAACGCACCGAGCGACTGCGCGAAGCCTTGGACAAGGGCATGGCGCTGATCAAGATCATGTCCATGGGTGTCGGCTCTGCCCGGGCGGCAGTGAGCGTCATTGAGACCCTCGAGCGGGCGATTCGCCGTCTCGAAGAGTACAGTCAGACTCAACCCCAAGGCAGTACCGGTGTCATCGAATCGGCATACGATCGCTTCAAGAACTGGGAGATGTTATGGAAGACCGGGCCAATCTCCCCCGAAATTGTACCTTTCCAAGAGCAGTTTCATCACCCGAGTAACAACGGACTTCCCCCAGTTATCACCCCGATGACTGGTGCATCCACCGCAAACGACCAGGTGGATGCAGACGTGGCCAGCGCGAGTATTCCCGACTCATCTGAATTTTCCGTTTCGCACCCTCTATCGCACATGCCGCATTTTGGGCTTGACCACTTTGTTTCCAATCTGCCTCAAGAGCTGGGCGAGTTCACCGCCATCCCGTGCTTCGAGACCGATGGCCAGCAAACGCTATCGGGGGAGATGAAGCCCGGGTGCTCGGACACGTCGCGATGGATGAACTTTATGAATGATTAATGGTATTCAGGTCTAGTAAGTACTCGTGATTTCAGCGTTTCGGTTTGACTTTCGCATGTATCTGTTCATACGTTATCTGTGCCCTGGATCCGTTTCATGATACCTAGACAGTATATATTCGATTTACCAGCGAGAATGGCAAGTTTGTGTTGGAAGCTTTGGAATCGTCATGATATCTATAAGTACATACAAAAACTGGATATCTAGTCAAACACCACCTTCTTACCCTGGAACGCAGCCGTATTCTTCTGCTCCTTGGCCTTCTTCGCCGCCTCCCAGGACGGATGCAGCGGCTTATTATCCTGGGGCTTCGCAGGCGGACCACGCTGAGGACGTCCATTCTGTTGCTGAGGCCTGCCCCAGCCTTGGTTTCCGCCTCGTCCCCAACGGTCTCCGCCGTCCGTCGCACCCCGACGCGCATCCCAGCCATTATCCCGGCCTCGCTTCCCCTTGTCTTGCTTGATGTGGTTGGCTCCGGAGCCGTACTTCTTCTCCCACAACGCCCGACGCGCCTGCTGGCCCATGCGGTTCTTCCGCTTGGGGGGCTCGTTCGTTTCCACGTCTTCCGCTTCGGATTCAGAGCCGGACCAGTAGCCGCCCATCGTCAGGGATGGTAGGAACGTCGTGCTCGTGGCGGGGGTCGAGGAGGCTTTCTTGCTACCTTTGGCCTTCTTGGAGGGTGGAGAGTCGGATTGTTCGGGTGAGGGAGATCGGGAGATTGAGATATCCGAGTGTACTCCCCGCTGCTCGGCTTCGTCGTCATCGCTGCCGCTGATATCGCGGTCTTCTTCTCTTCCTTCCTCGCCATCTTCATCCTCCGACCCGGATGCAAGTCGTGCATCGAACTGCGCAAAGTCAATGCTGTCCGCATCTGCATCATCCATATCGACATCCTCCTCATCTCCACTGTTCCCCGCTTCAGGCTCAACCGATACCGTCGCACGCTTCGACCCAGCCTCACTATCCTTCTTCTCTTTCTTCTCTTTCGTCTTTCCCCCCTTCTCCGCATCCTTCGTCTTGGCCCCCTTATCCTCCTTCAGAACAGGCTTCGCCTCCACCCCCAACAACTTCCGAATCCCATCCATAATCCCCGGAAAGACATTCTTCACCGGCGTCGACTTATACAACCGCGCCGTCACATTCGCCTCGGCCGGACTCTTTGGCCCCTCCGCCGAGATCTTCTTCTTTTCCTTGAATCTGATAAACACCGGCGACTCGGCGATCCGTTTCGTCTTGACGAGTTGTCGAAAGAGGTAATTCTCTGCGACTTTTACCGGGTCGAGTGTCTACCCCAAACTCATATTAGCCATTATCCCAAACCACAACCCACCAACATCCCACCCAGCAAAAATAAAAAAGAAATTAAAAAAAAAAAGACAAACCTTCGTAACCTCCACCTCCTCCGCCAACCGTCCTAACGTCCCCTCCTTGCCCCCCTCCGCCGTCTTCGCCGTCTTTTCCCGCCGACTGAGCTTCTGACGCTCAAACCCCCGCGCCACCTTCAGCGCCTTGGATAATGTAATCACGCCATATTCGAATTGTTGGAACAGTCGGGTCGTTTGTAGTGAGAATGCCCGGTCTTCGGGTGTGCGGTTGCGATGGGATGAGGACTCGCTGAAGTCGGAGAAATTGCGTTTGGGCATTTTTTTTTTCTTTTTGGTCGCTTGTTTCGGGGTGGGGTTTGGGGCTTTGTTAATGTGATTTATTGTGTGTCTTCTTGAGTTGTGATGCAAGTTCGGGGTGGGTTATTGCGACGAGATCATGCAAAGATGCAGACGTGGTAGGTTGGTCTAGGCGTAGAAATGTACTCCGTAGATTGATAACTCAATCGGCTTGGACTTTTTTTCCCGTCGCTGGTTGTCGGGGTTAAGACTTTGGGCCGGTCGGGCGGTCGGTCGCGCCAAGAAGTTTCCATTTAGCATTTTGCCCGTTTCGGGCGTCTTATTTTGGGGGCGTGGTTATTGGTCGGTTTGGGGGGTGGTGCGGATCGGTAGAAAACTACATCATCGTGTTCAGATTCATGGGGTCGGAGATGGTGGGTTGGGGTGCTTGGTTTTGGCAATGGGATATTTGTGCAATTGGTTTAATGGAATACTTTAAGGGTGATAGGTATGGTTCTAGGAGGGTGATGGGAAGGATATAAAATTTCATAAATAATCTACGACGGAGATATATCAGATAAATGACTGCTAACCTAAAGACAGCTTTACATTCGTTAGACACAATCCAGTTAACGTCAACTTCGAATAGACGGTATGTACATACAGAACCAGCAAGGAAAGAAAATACGATTACATCTCTCTATTTCTTTTCCTCTTCCTTTGGCTCCGGCTTGGGGGTGGGTAGTTTGAACTGTTTCGGTTAGCATCAATATTTGACGATAGCAATGGGCCATGGACAAGGGCATGGCAATGGCATGGGATGGATGTACGTACCGACTCAGGAGTCTTATCGTTACCCGGACCAACAGGCTCCCAGGCAGCGGTACCGCCCTCGAAGTTCCGGAACGCCTGCGTAAGCTCAAGAGGCTCAATGATGATCCGCTTCTTCTCCTCACAATAACGCAGCTCCGTGTATCCAGTCAAGGGGAAGTCCTTGCGCAACGGGTGGCCGTCGAATCCGTAATCGGTCATGATACGGCGCAGATCCGGGTGTCCGGTGAAGAACACACCGTACATATCGTAGACCTCACGCTCGTACCACAACGCACCCTCGAACAGACCCGTCACGGAGGGAACAGGGCTGGCCTCGTCGGCGTAGGTCTTGACACGGATACGCGAGTTGTAGCGCACGCTCAGCATGTTGTAGACGACCTCAAAGCGCTGGTCGCGGGTCGGGAAGTCGACGCCGGTGATGTCGGAGATCTGGGTGTATTCGGCCGCGGTGTGATATTTCAGGAAGGTCATGGTGGGGATGAGGCCAGAGGGAGGGACGTAGATGCAGAGCTCGTCCTTCCAGACGGAGAACTGCTGGACGTGCTTGGGGAGACAGGACATGATGTACTGGCCGTACTTGTGCAGACTGTCTGCCTTGTCCTGGTACTTGTCGGCGGGGTTGACGACGGGGGCGCGGAGAGGGCCCGAGGCTGTGAATTGGGTCAGCTAGGAACTGAAGTGGTCCAGTCCGGTGGCCATTGACGTACGGGGACGCTGGGCCTGGCGCATGTTAGGAACATGCTCCGAGATGGGCGCGGTCGACGCCTTGGAGGCCTGCAGTGCGGTCGAGGAGAAGGCACGGGCGGCGGGGGCCAGGGAGCGGCCAGATCCCAGGCGCATCAGGACGCGAGCAGAGGCCATGGTGACGGGGCAATGGCGGGATGCGAGGCGACGGAGGAGGTGGAGGGAGGGGGAGAGCAGCGGAGGTTCCCTCCAGGGAGCTTTTGCCGGGTCCAGGCGAAGTTGTCGCCGTCACGTGAGAGCAACCATTGGGCGGGCGGCTAGATGACATAAGCGGCGCTGTCACTCTGCCTCAGGCTGTCAAGCTGGGTACCAAACAGTGCAAACCCGCGCAAACCCCATCAATCAAAGCTTCACTTCTCTTTCTCTTCGCCTCCAACTCTCCCTCTTCCTTTACGTCTGTGTCCCTCCCTGCTTCCTTCTTTTCGTTCTCCTCCCCTTACCCCACGTTGTCGATCTGCCCTCCTCCTCACCCGCCTCGGACTGTTCTCTCGTCCCTTTCGGTTCTTCCGCCCCCTAGAACAGAGACCTTTTTGCCGCTTTTCCTTTCGCCCTCTTCCCCCTCCCCCCTTCCGCCCGGGTTCGGTTGATGGGTGTTTAGTATTGGACTGTGATCGCCGTCTCTCGCCCCTGTTGTACAGTTGCACAGCTTCGTCGGACATTATGTCAAATCGCCAACAGATTGATTCCGTCATCGACGATGACGACGAGTTCTGGTGCGTCCGCTCTCAACTTTTCGTTCCCGTCGGGTTGACTTTGTGACTTGTTCGTTGGGCTGACACCTCCGGCTTCTTTAGCCCCCTCTGCATCGAAGAATTCGATCTATCCGACAAGAACTTTAAGCCTTGCCCCTGTGGGTACCAGGTACGTCTCTCTCGTCCTTGCGAACCGGCGGCCGATCGGGAGATCGCTCGCGTAGTATGCGATCTGGACCGTCGCTAACACTTCCGACCAGATTTGTCAATTCTGCTACAACAATATCAAAACCCATAGTGAGGAAGGCCGGTGCCCCAACTGTAGACGGGTCTATGATGAGAGCACCATCCAATACAAGGTTCCTGATGCCGACGAGTATGTGATCCCTCGCACTCGTTCTGACTGTCCCTTCCCGCGTCTTGGCGCTAACATCGCATCCCACAAATTAGGTTCAAAGCGGACCTGGCATTAAAACATCGGAAGGCCGCCGCCGCCAAGAAGAAGGAGGCCGAAAGACGCGAAATTGAGGCTTCTAGTCGGAAGAACCTCGCCGGTGTTAGGGTCGTACAGAAGAACCTTGTCTACGTGATCGGCCTCAACCCCACAATACGTGACGAGAACCAGCTCCTGATGACTTTGCGCGGTCGAGACTACTTCGGTCAGTATGGAGACATTGAGAAGATTGTCGTGAGCAAGGCCAAGCCTGGTGGCAACCCGAACCAGGGCATCGGCGTCTACGTCACGTACGCCAGGAAGGCCGACGCAGCAACGTGCATAACCGCGGTTGATGGGTCGGCCAACGGGGACCGAGTGCTACGGTAGGTCTTATTGGAGACTTGTGCGTTCATTTAGTAACGCCGCATACTAACTGCTGTAGTGCACAATACGGTACGACGAAATACTGTTCTTCCTTCCTCCGCAACGAACAATGTCATAATCGGAATTGTACCTTCCTGCACGAAACGGGCGAGGATAGCGACAGCTACAGCCGACAGGATCTTTCGTCAATGAACACCTTGTCGAGTCAACGCATCAACGGTCCTCCCAGCGGTCCTACCCACTCGGTTCCCCCGCACGTCGCTCGGTCATCTGCTCAACCGCTCTCGTCACCGATGCGCCGTCAACCTAGTAGGGATGATGCTGCTGGCAGCCGACCACCTGACGGATCCGCCCTTCCATCGTCGGCAAGCTGGGCGAATAAGGACGCTGTGCTCAGCCGGACAAGACGCGCAAGCTTGACTGGCAGCCAAGCATCGCAAAGCCCCCGGCCTGCCATGGCGACGGTTGCGCCAACTATAGACGAAGCGAAGCGCGCAGAAAAACAGGAACGCGCCCAGGCTCAGGCTCAGGCACAACTTCAAGCCCAGCTTCAGGCCCAGGCCCAGGCTCAAGCTCAAGCTCAAGCCCAAGCTCAAGCCCAAGCACAGGCACAAGCCCAAGCACAGGCACAAGCACAAGCACAGGCACAAGCTGAAGCTGAGGCTCAGGCTTCCCCTGAGGCACGCTCTTCACCGCCTCGTTCCCCTCCTAGCCCACCTGCTCCTGTTGTTCAGACGCCGCCCAAGCCGGAGACACCTTTATTGGATAACCTGGTCAAGGCTGTCAACTCCCCGGACTTCAAGTTCGTCTTCTCGGCGGCTGGTCTGCCCGCGGAAGAAGTTGCTCTTATCGAGAACCACCCCTCGTTTATCGATCCCTACGGTGGTGTGAAGCGCCGGGCTATGCGTGAGAAGGCGGAGCAGGAACGTGTGAGACGCGAACAGGAGTTGTTGCAGTCCGCTGCAGCGGAAGAGGAGAGCCGTGAGAGTGGAAGCTTGCAGTTGGGCGGTGAGCCGGATGACGCGATGCCACCCAGAGGCCGCAGCGGCCGTGAATCTCATGGTGCCATTCAGCCTCCCTCCCAGCAAGGTACGACGACAAACTCGGTTGTTGGGTCTCCTGTTTCCGCCACAAGCCACCAGTTCCAGCAACTTAATCTGGCCGGTCGCAGCTTAACCCCCTTGCAGCAGCAGCAGTTGCTTCTCTTGAAGTCTGCCAACAACCAACAGGCAGGCCTAGTTGATCAGTTGCAGGGTGGGCTCAACAACGCTGCCCTCGACCAGGCGGCGCAGGTCCGTCAAGGTCTACTACAGACTCAGATGGCTCAGTTGAACGCTCTCCAGGCGCAAAATCGGCAGAACTCCAGGTTTTCTTTTGCCAATGAGGCCAACACCAAGAACCTCCCTAATGTCAGGATGTTGAGCCAACAGGCCTCCCTGATGCAATCTGGTACTCCCAATCCGCTCGCAGCGCCTAGTCCTCAGCATGCGCTGGCCGGCAACTACTTCACCAGTGGCGTGCAGGGTCCACCCCCCGGGTTGAAGACGGCCGGCACTCCGCCTATCAGCGGAGGCGGTATGTTCGCACAGGGTCACGGTTTTACTACGAACGCCAATCTCGGGTTGGGTGCCAACCTCGGAAAGCAAGAAGCCAATCCAGAGTTGATGCGTGAGCTGCTGAGAGGTCGCAGTGGCGCAAATGCCGGTGGTTTGCAGGGTCAAGAGGCCGCTAAGCGTGAGTTCATGTTTCCTTTCCTCCAGCAACACCAAACCCCCCCTCCCCTGACTCCTGCGAATGGCCTTCTCAGCTCTTTCTATGGCACTCAAGCGGGGAATTTCTCCGATTCTGGGCCACAGAAGCAGAAGAAGAAGGGGAAGAAGCACAGACACGCTAACACTTCCTCCGGTGGAGGCGGTGTAGTAGATCTTGCGGACCCGAGCATCCTGCAGGCGAGGATGCACCAGGTCGGTGCGAATGCTGCTGCTGCTGGGCAAGCGCTGTACGGGAGTCAGGGTCAAGGTGGGTACAATCAGGCCATGATGTATGGCAGCGGCTTCAACCGCTGGTGATTGATTTTCCCCCCTCTCTCATAATTCATTAATAACCCCTTTGCCCTTCCATTCTATCTTTGTTGTTATGATGACTACCCTTTTGCATCGTGTTTCTCTCTGTGTCTTTTCTGCCTCCCTTTTTTATTTTGATGACATGATATCATATTTCTCTAGATGGGCGCGGGATATGATTCTTATGTTTCAGTCTTCCGGATTCATTGATTCGATGTTGAAAACTTTGCGACATATTTCCACTCTGCAACGAAGCATTAAGCAAACGGCTCTTGAAAAAACAAGAATACGGGCTAGGCGTGCCTTGGGCGTTATTCTCATGGACTGTTAATCGTTTTTTTGTTTTTATTGTTCACTTCCTTCTGTTTCTCATTCTTCCTTTATTCCTTATTTTTTTGTCTCCGGCTTCCGTGTGGATGGGAGGCGTCATTGCACTTGATGGGCACCATGTGTCTTCTCTGTCCACTGCGGTTTGGTGGCTGTCGTATACTTTGTTCTTTTGCATCCAAGCTGGGTTGATCTATCAGCATCTTGGTGGCCCATTCGGTCTGGTCATGGCTTTATGTACGTTAACCTCCCTGCCCTGGCGTTCGATAAACACGAGCAGGGCCCTCTATGCGAAACCAATTTCTCACAATTATTGTTCATATAGACAATATGCCTTGTGTGTCCGTCTGGTTGGCTCGGCCGGGACCTTTGTGTAATTTAGATGCCTGCCCGTCCGTACCGTGTTTGCTGTTTGGGAGTCGATTGGCGCCCCCTGTCTGCGTTTTCTTCTTGTTCTCCTTGTGTCACCTCACTCATGGTTTGGCGTCCTCCAGAAGCTAACAGTGCATCTAGTGGATGAAGATTTCCCTCCTCTTGGAGCGCAACCCAAAGACAAGCGCCCTGTCGACAGCTTTGGCTATCTGGTGCGCTCGCATTTCTCCAGTGAATCGCAAGGCTCAGCTCGTGCTGGAACACCCACCTTGCCGCCGGGCCTCCCTCTGCCCCATGCTCATCCCGCGTCCGCCTTGTTCCACAGCCCGCTCAACCCATCCAGTCCCACCTCGTCGGTGTCCGTGCCTCCGGGTCTCAATCCGCCTTTCCCTAGACTCGGAACACCAGGGCATGGGTTCCAGGGGAGTGCCTCTCGCCAGCCCTCCCCCGTGTCGAAGGAGACGCCCGAGAATGCTCCAACATCCAGCCGTATCAAGAACGTTTCGGAAATTTCACTCGGCTCTCCTGTGCCCAAGTCGGCCAGCAAGGCTCGGTCTCAGCAGAAGGGTGAATTAACCGTTGCATCTGACAAGAAGAATGACCCATCAAAGGCCAGTGATAACGATAAAGCTTCAGCGACCACTGCTAAGGCTAAGCCCATGAAACTGGAACTTCCCTTGGGCACCTCCCAACCCCAATCTCAGGATGCGGCAAAGGCAGAGGCGTCGACACACGCTCTCCACGGCCCAGCCGCTACCTCAACCATTGGGTCTCGTCCAAATACCCCTTTGACCGGCATCTCACGGGTCTCGGATTCGTCTGCGCCCCGTCAACCCAGGGTTCTTCGAGTGGTCGACACGCCGAAGACTGAAACTCCGCCGCCCCCTTCTGCCACTCACTCCGTTGCTTCCCTGGCAGCCGCGCAGAAAACACGTTCGAGAAGGCCAAGCATCTCCTCGTTAAGTAGGCCAGACACTCCAGGGGACTTCGGATCGGAGGCCGATCTCTATACTTCCGCGTCGGTTTCCCGGGCCAACTCCCCTCCAGCTTCGTCCCGGATCGGCTCCGCGCCTGTCCGAGCGTTGACCAAGAGCCAAGCCAAGAAGGAACGGAGACAGAAGGCTAAGGAGGCCGAAGCCAAGAAACACGAGGTCGCCGCGGTTGTTGAAGAGCCAGTGCAGGCGCCGATCATTGGAAGGAAGCGGAAGACCAAGAAAGCGCCGACCAGCTCGACTGACTCGCCGGCTCCGACTACCGAAAGCGTTGCCGATTCCGGGAAATCCGCCAGTGCTGTTGGCTCCGATAGCAACGACAAAGCCGATCAGCGGGTGGAAGCAGCCAGAAAGAACAAGTCCAAGGAGAAAACGTCGAAGGATCAGAAGACCGCCCCCACTGAAGAGAAGATCCCTGCAGATCAGAAGACTCCTGCGGAGGCCTGGCGTTCTAAAAACACCGTGGAGCAGCTGATGAAGGATGCAGAATCTAGCGGTGTCCCGGTCAAAGAGCTGTTCTCTGAGCGCACGTCTCCGTTGCAGATGCTCCTGGCTCGGCTTCACAAGTCTGGTGATCTGGACCTCAACAACCACCCCCTGTTCAACCCATCCAACCTGAATCAGCGTTTTGACATGAAGTGCAACGCGGATGATTACGATATCCTCAAACAACCCATTGAGTTGACTGAGGACCACCGCAAAGCACTACTGCGGGGAGAAGCCATTCGTGTCAATTCCGACTCCAACATGTTGAAAGACCGATGCCTGATCAGTCCTCGTGGTTGTGTCCTTCACCATCTGTCGCCCGAGGAAGAAGACCGCTACCTGGCGCTTGAGAAGAACATCGCCTGGGCAATTGATACCTTCCAGGAGTACTCCAGTGTTCCCATCACCGAGCCGGATGTGACCAACCGTGGCGGTGGTCTCGACGCCCTGTTCGCGACACCCGAGAACTTCAACATTTGCTGGGTCGACGAGACATCTACCGGTCTCACCTCTGCCTCACCCACTGCCGGCTTGACTGGGTCGGACGCGGGCGGCTCATCAACCATCCCTGCTCCTCCTAATGTTCTCTCGGCAATGGAAGCGGACAGCACTCGCAGCCACAACTGGGCCATTGCCAACACGGCCGAACTTGTGAATGCCACGGCTACCTCAGTGCGGTCTTTTGCGGCCGCCACCGCCAAGCACATGCTAGGCGCCGCCGGGGTAGTCATGGGCAGTATTCCTGACCTGGACGATGTGGTCGGAATGACCAATGAGGAGCTGCGCTCATTCGCGGTCAAGTCCCAGAAGGATCTCGAGAGCTCGCGCAAAGAACTCGATACCATTGACAAGAAACTCAACGCCCTGGTGAAGCGCAACCGCAAGCTTGCGCAGCAGGCTTTGGCGACGACTGTCGAAGGATGACAGTCAAGTCATCTTCGCCGTTTGTATCATGACATGTATTCTAAACCCTGTCTTCTTTTCTCATCGCGTTTCCCATCTTACTCGTGTTTCTCGGATGGCCTGTTTACTATTACCCTGTATCTGTACACATGAGCTGCGCGTTTTTCACTGCATGGAGTTGTGGGAGGAATTACTAAAGGTCTCGTCTCGTTCCGGGCATGCTTAGATCGGTTTAGACTAGCAATAAATTTTAACGTAATATGCACATGAGTCATTTGCCATATTTCCTTCCATAACATACCAGATGGAATTGTAGTACATATCAGAACATTATCGATATGAGGCAAGTAATTCCAGTAGATTCCTTTGGCATCATGAGTCCAGTTTTACCAAGCCGAAAGATACGTAGCACTAGTATATATTTCCCACTACCCGACCCTCACCACAGTTACTAGAATGCCAATAGTATGGGAGAGACAGAGGAAGCACACTACTAGAATCACTGCATGGCTCCTCACAGGATACTTTTCATTCAAGGTTCGACTCTTAAGACAGATTGGGTGGTGATAGAGTGTTTCCTCGATACAATGAACATGGTTTTAAGCGCTCTTGGCTTCCTCCAGGCCCTCGGCGTATGTGAAGCCAACGAAGCCGTCATAGGCTTCGTCACGGGCGGCGACATCGTTAACTGCCATCGGACTCTTTAGCACGGATACTGATCGACAACTTCTAAACACTCCCTCTTAGGAGTGGGAGCTGCCATAGCCAGCAGGCTGGCAGAGAGCATGATAGCAAATTTCTTGAACAACATTGTGCTGGCTAGAAGGTATCCGACAATAGGCTTGTATGAAGAGTTGAGACGCGTTGTATGCTTCTGTCAGTTATGGCAGGTAACTCCATGTCATTATTTATATGTTTATCATCAGCAATTGCCGAGGAGCATCTTGATTTTCTCACTCAAGGTATCCCCCGGGCTCCGGCGGGATGGCCGACTGGCATGGTCGATAGGATCCTTATCAGGTTGCGGCTGTGCTGTACGGAGTAGACCAACCTGATCAAGACCTCAATTGTGTTGAGCATGTCGGCATGTAAGGCTTGAGGGGTACCGTTAGTGGTGTGATGGATGCCGCTCAGGATCAAGGATGTAACCAAGCTTCCCGCTAAGTTATAGTGATATTGGTTCAATTTGCCTATCGGATTCTTCCCCAATATCTATAGAGCCCGTGTGCCAGCGATGTCAGCCGGTCTGCTTACCCTCGAAGGATCGGGTGGATATCTAAGGTCACTTATTGCGTTCCACAGTCACGGTTAGAATCGCTTTGTAAGGAATACGCAACAAGCAGGCTTTTACCATCCCGACTAAAAATCTCACGAGAGATTCTAGGGAAGGGGCTGATCTCCATTGTAGCGAGCGACCAAATCATATCTTGGTAGAAATAGACTGAGTATATCCTGACATTGTTCGGTGACAGGCGTGCGATACGCCCCGCTTCTGACAATAAAGGGACACGGCGAGTTTCCCGAATCCTTCTTAGACAGGCGGCTTTTTCTTATGCCTGTGTTTCCTGCTTACACTCAACTTCAAACTGCCAGTGATGGAGCTGGGCAAATACATGAAAGTGTCGAAATTGGAGACTGGCAGAGACAGTGAGGAAGATGGCTCTGATCTCGAAGGACTTCTCCATCCCCAAGACGGTGCAGTTTCACGACCGACGAAAGCCCGAAGATGGAATCTGTCAACAGTTCTCCATTGGATAGCACATGGCATAACAATCATCCTCATTCTCGGATTGTATGTTCGTTCAGATCGCCAGACACAGAAACGCACGCCACTATCAATATACTGTAAGATGCCTTCGTATATATCTCGTTGGTGTTAGAAACATAGCCTGACATGGATTCCAGCACCTTTGGTAGAAGCCGTTGGGGACGCCTCTCGGATTGAGTGAGTTTGCAAATCTTTTCGAACGTCCAGGTAGGAGACCAGGCTGATGCACTATCCATCTAGAACTTTCAAGGGAACCTTTTGGGAGAACAGCCCATATCATGGTAGGACCCGACCTGTTATCGAAAGTCAATGCATCTTATCCAGCATATGTTAGGTCCTCCAACGGACGAGGTGATGGCTGCATGGAAGCATATCGCTCATATTCCCCTTCTGAATCTTACAGCGGAGGAGATATCGCGAATGGGGCATTCTCTCGACTCAGTCCAATACCCCCCAGAACGCGGCGGAGTAAGTGTGTGATCCTACCTTTTCTGCACCGTTGCTGAGATTTCTTGTTAGGGATACGTTGCCCAGTTTGAAGCGATCCATCAATTGCACTGCTTGCATTCCCTCTGGCAGGACCACCAGTACCAGAAGCACCCTGAGATGTTCCCCGACCTCACCGAGTCAATCCACGCATTTCCCGACGTGTCTGAAGAGCATTATGAGCATTGTGTGAATATGCTGCGACAGCGATTGATGTGTACGCCCGACCCCAACTTCGTCACCTGGCGTTGGGTGGAAGGCATCACGGGTCCCTATGCCGACTTCAATATCCCGCATGTCTGCCAGGACTATGAAGCGTTGCTCGAGTGGGGGCAAAGCCGTGCGGTTGATGCGGAGGTGATTCGGGATTTCTATTCCTTGGTTGCACCTGCGGATGCAGTGGTTTTATCGCATGCGCCTTGAGTGGATTGTATCAGAATCCAAAATGTGGATAAAAGAAGGGGAAGAAGCAGAACAAAAGGAAGGGAAGAGGGTCGGAGACGCTTGGACGGCCTGAGGGCTGCCAGCCATGTGACCGGGCTCGTCCCTCCATCTTTCATTTTGTCTTTCACCCTCATCGTCCCCTCCTTCTCTTCAGTTTCTCTCCTCTGTGCCGTCATGTCAGCCCATTCAATGAATGCTTATATGTTCCAAATGCCCATGACAACAATCGACTCCAGCCAAGATGTAAATCCCGATCTACCCCTCCTCTGTCGGGGTTGCGTCTCCGACCTGCAGATCAGAAAATGATCGGCCCACTGTGCAACCTATGCTAGGATGCTTGCCTCGAATTTAACCGACTCACCCTCTCCGCTTCCTCGCATGCAGTGAGAACGAATTTCCTTTCTTCATGGCCTGATTCTTGCTGAATAACTGGCAGCATAGCATATCTTCCTGCCCCTTTCGTCACGGCCGGCACGGAGTTCCCGTCCTGGCATTCTGCATCCCTGCCTTCGGAGGTGGTGAGTCGCGGTTTTACTTCGGTCGGGCCAATTCCGACTCTGGTTCCTACGACAGGGTTATTAGCCGTCCAAGGTCCCCCATCAAGACGGACTGTTCGGAATTGTTCGTCTGAGGCCTTTCGACCTGCCCCTGCTCTCAGCAGCACACCATGCACGTCCGATTCGACATAGCGACGGCCCTACTGGCATCAATTCTTCCCGTTACTTTGGGCCAGCATATTCGAGACCTACGCAGCGAGCATTGGTCTCTCAGTAGCCGGGCCTTGAATCAAACAGTCTCTGCGCAATTTCCATCCCAGGTTCACCTGGATCTATTGGAGGCGGGGGTAATAGGTGAGTGCCTTTGAAGATTGACACCACTCAAGCTATGCATACCTAACAGTCATAACAGACGACCCGTAAGTGAGATCATGTCCGACAGCGAGAATCGTGTGCGCTAAACATATGTGGAGGTACCATGGGTTGAATGATTTTAATCTTCGCTGGATTGCGGATGCCAACTGGACTTATACCAGTCAACCAATCCAGGACCTGTAAGTGACCTAAGTATTAGAGATACTAGTTATCTGCTCTAAGAAGGTTAGCCTTGATGATTTCGACTCGACTTGGCTCGTGTTTGATGGACTCGACACATTCGCCACAATCTCGTTTTGTGGGCAGCTGATTGCGTCCACCGACAACCAGTTTCGCCAGTACGCATTTGATGTAACGACAACTCTGAGATCCTGCAAGGGAGATCCTGTTCTCAGTATCAACTTTGGCAGTGCGCCGAACATTGTCGACGCAATCGCTCAGGATCCAGACTCACAAAGTTGGTTTTGGAAGTGGAAATATGCCGTAGACGCCTCATGCTGACGATCCAATAGAATGGCCCCCAAACGTCCAAATCACCTACGAGTACCCAAACCGCTGGTTTATGCGCAAGGAACAATCTGACTTTGGATGGGATTGGGGTCCAGCGTTTGCCCCCGCCGGTCCCTGGAAACCTGCATATATCGTTCAGCTTAAGAAAGCGGAAGGTGTCTATGTCCTAAATACCGATCTGGACATTTATAGAAAGGGACAAATCAACTATCTCCCACCAGACCAGAGTCAACCCTGGGTTGTCAACGCTAGCATCGATTACCTGGGCTCCCTGCCTGATAGCCCAACCATGTCAATCGAAGTGAGAGACGTTCAATCTGGTGCGGTTCTTACTTCATGTACTTTGGACAATGTCACTGTGTCCGGCAGCTCCATAACAGGTGTTACCGTTCTCGAGGGGCTGACTCCGAAACTGTGGTGGCCGCAAGGCCTCGGGGATCAGAATCTCTACAATGTAAGCATTACTGTTACCGACGAAGAAAAGCACTCCGTGGCCCACGTCACCAAAAGAACGGGTTTCCGCACCATCTTTCTCAATCAGCGCAATATCACCGAGGCCCAGCGCGCACAAGGAATTGCTCCCGGGGCGAACTGGCACTTCGAAGTCAACGGTCATGAATTCTACGCCAAGGGGTCCAACCTCATCCCGCCAGACAGCTTCTGGACCAGGGTCACCGAGGAAAAGATGTCTCGATTATTTGACGCGGTCGTGGTTGGAAATCAGAATATGCTCCGGGTCTGGTCTTCCGGCGCGTATCTCCATGATTTCATCTATGATCTGGCCGACGAAAAGGGCATTTTGCTGTGGAGCGAGTTCCAGTTCAGTGACGCTTTATATCCTTCCGACAACGCCTTCCTGGAGAACGTCGCCACTGAAATAGTGTACAATGTTCGAAGAGTGAACCACCATCCATCCCTGGCATTGTGGGCCGGTGGAAATGAAATCGAAGTTCTGATGCTCCCGCTTGTCAAAGCAGCAGATCCAGCCTCATATTCCTGGTACGTCGGCGAATACGAGAAGATGTACATCAGTCTCTTCCTGCCCTTAGTTTACGAGAATACCCGCTCGACCTCGTACTCTCCCAGTAGTACGACCGAAGGCTACTTATATGTCAACCTCTCTGCGCCCGTTCCCATGGCTGAACGTTACGACAACACCACTTCTGGCTCCTACTATGGTGACACCGACCACTACAACTACGATACCAGCGTAGCCTTCGACTACGGTTCCTACCCTGTCGGCCGCTTCGCCAACGAATTCGGTTTCCACAGCATGCCCAGCCTTCAGACCTGGCAACAAGCCGTCGAACCCAAGGACCTCTACTTCAACAGCAGTGTCGTCATGCTCCGCAACCACCACAATCCCGCTGGCAGCCTCTCGACGGACAATTATACCAACTCTGCCGTTGGGATGGGCCAAATGACGATGGGTGTGGAAAGCTACTATCCCATCCCGAGCAAATCAGACCCCGTCGCCAACTTCAGCGCCTGGTGCCATGCCACCCAACTCTTCCAAGCAGACATGTACAAAACCCAAATCCAGTTCTACCGTCGCGGAAGTGGCAAGCCCGAGCGCCAGCTTGGATCCCTGTACTGGCAGTTGGAGGATATATGGCAAGCACCTTCATGGGCAGGACTTGAGTATGGTGGCAGATGGAAGGTTCTACACCACGTTGCAAGGGATGTCTATCAGCCTGTTATCGTCTCGCCATTCTGGAACTACACTACAGGCTCTCTAGAGATTTATGTCACGTCCGACCTATGGAGCCCTGCAGCGGGAATTGTGAACCTGACCTGGCTGGATCTGTCCGGCCATCCTATTGCAGGTAATGTCGGGACGCCAGAATCTGTCCCCTTCACTGTGGGGGCGCTCAATACAACTCGGATATACGGAGCAAATGTTGAGAGCCTGGGCCTTCCGGATACCAAGGACGCCATTCTCATACTCTCACTCTCAGCCCACGGACGTCTTCCGAACTCGGCCCAGACAATCTCATTCTCCCACGAGGATCACTTTACTCCGGCATTCCCCAAGGACCTAGCTATTGTCGATCCCGGCCTGAAGGTGGAGTACAACAACAAGTCGCAAAGCTTTGCGGTGGAAGCTACCTCCGGTGTTTCCTTGTACACCTGGCTGGACTACCCTACTGGAGTGGTGGGATACTTTGAAGAGAACTCCTTTGTGTTAGCACCCGGCGAGAAGAAGCAGATAGGGTTCACAGTCCTGGAAGACACTACAAATGGTGCGTGGGTACGCAATGTGACTGTTCAGAGTCTATGGGATCAGAAAGTTCGGGATTGATCCACCAACCCCAATAGAAAGCATGTAAATGACAGGCATAACAATCTGACTGCCCTTGGCTTTTGACTATCGAGAACCTTTCCATCCAAATATTTCACTATCCCTCTCACCGGCGCAACATAATCCCGGTCCTCCCCAAAACGCATCCTCATAACCATTCCGGTAGCGCTTCCTCGGCGACACCTCCAGCATATCCTTCCACACCTAAAACCCCTTCTCTCCTGCGAAGTCCTGCATCATGCAATGAAGTCAACATACCTCCTCTCTTTCCCATCATCGAACCCATACTAGCTAGAGCGCTGGATCAAAGGGTGTATGAACCGCATTCGCTGGGAGTGAAGTTGATTGTGAGATCACATAAATTAGTTCCAGCAGCCAGTATACCAGCATACTTTTGCTATTCCGTTTAATGCAGCACATGCAGCAACCGAGCGGGAAAGTCCAACTCGACCAGACCATCGGATCGAGGCTTAGCTGACAACGTGCATCCTCCTGCATCGGCAGATTAATCATTGGGTCATGTCCCTCATGAATCAGGGATTGTCCAACAATCAAGGGACTAGTTGAAGATCAACCCTTGCAGAATGCAGAAAGGCAAACGTGACATTCGTCCAAGTTCATCCCCTAGCATGCGCTCAGCTTTAACAGCAAGCGCCACGCAATAGTGCAAACATGATTCATCCGTCTATACGTGCTGCTTCTTTGCTTGCCATTTGACCCTCCTGATTGAGGGACATTATTCTCCATGGGCTATACAACGCTCTGGAAGCGGCTTTCTCCGCGACAGCTCAACCTATCCATCCAGATCTTTTCCATTCTAGCTATTTTCTTCGAGGGGTATGATCAGGGTGTTATGGGGGGCGTGAATGCCGCTCCTTGATATGTTACTGAAGTGGGCATAGGGCGGGATGATGGAACGGTGACGGATACCACGCATGAAGGCGGGATTGTTAGCATCCATTACCTGGGATGCATTTTTGGGTGCTTTGCTGGTGACTGGCTGGCGGATCGAATGGGTCGGATCAATGGCTTGCTTGTTGGAGCTTTGTTTGCTCTTTTTGGGGGCGCTCTGCAGGCTGCCGCGCAGAGATCGGATTTCATGCTGGTTGCTAGGATAGTGACCGGTGTTGGTACAGGAGGTATGTTTGAGACAACGGGCTTGTGATTCAATGCTTATGGATGTGTAGCTCTGACTGGCATCACCCCCGTGCTGGTGGCTGAGACTTCTGCGGCCAATCATCGAGGGGGGTCTCTGGGGTATATCTTCATTGCAAACTGTATGTAACCGGACTCGACCACTGCCCATGATGTATTTGGCTAATAAAACCTAGATCTGGGGATCTCGGTTGCCTATTGGTTATCGTTTGGCCTGGCGTTCGTCAATCACGGTGACTCGGACATCCGATGGCGGTTTTTGCTGGCGTTTCAATGCATTCCTGCCATATTCCTCATTCTGGCTATCAAGGTTCTGCCAGATAGTCCGCGCTATCTGGCATCTATTGGACGTCATGATGAGGCACGCGAGCTTCTATACCGCATAAGGAGCCATATCGATAACTAAGACACCGTTGATCGGGAATACTTCGAAATTGTCAGCACAGTGCGACACAGCAAGCCAAGTTCTCCCATTGCATTCGTAAAGATCCTCTGTGGCAAAGGGGGATGGCCGGGCTCCAGTCTTGGACGACGGGCATGGCTGTGTCTCTTTCTTCAGATCATGGCATCCTGGACTGGAATCACAGTAGGCCTTCGCCCCCTTGTACACGTTACCACTGATAGTAATCTACTAGGCGATAACTGCGTACTCACCCGTACTCCTCTGCCAAGCCGGCTATAGCGAGATCAAACAGAACGGTCTTGCCGGGGGTCTAAATACCATTGGGATCATAGGCACTATTGTCAGTGCACAGATTGTTGATCGTCTGGGACGACGAATTTGCCTTAAGTTGGGCTCTGCAATACTATTCACAGTTGAGCTAGTTGTAAGCTCCTTCACACCTGTGTCCTTAGAGTTGTGCTAATCCATGATCTTGCAGGCCGGGGCTGTGTATGAAGCCTCGCTTCATCACCCCGACAAAGCAGCCCAGTATGCTCCTAGAGCGGTTGCCATGCTCTTTCTTTTCAATCTAGGGTACGTTAGCCATGTCTCCCAAGCAGACCCCTATCCCGTTGCCATCCACTCACCCAACCCCCAGATACGCATCCACCTGGGGCACCGTCGCCTTTCTCATCCCAGCAGAAATCTTCCCTTCAGATCTCCGAGCCCAAGGAAACGGATTCGGTATCACCGGCTGGGCCATCGGCGTCGGCATGACAACTCTCGTCAACCCTATCATGTTCAACAATCTCCAAAGTCGGAGTTACTTCTTGCTTGCGGGGTTGAATCTCCTATGGATTCCCGTGGTGTATCTCTTCTACCCAGAGACTTGTAATCGGTCGCTTGAGTCTATTGAGGCTTTGTTCTCGACGACTAGTCCGTTTTCTTGGGATATGGAGGAAGCGTATCGTCTGCGTGGGGATGTGCTTGTCGATCGGGTTGAGGCTGGGGTTGTGAATGGGGATGCGTCGAAGGGAGCAGAAATTCAGAATTAGTGTGCATCGGACCCTATACTGCATTGCTTATTGGGAGAGTGATAGACGAAGAAGAGTTCAGGCATACTGGGCTGAACTCTCTCCACACCACTATCTAGGCCGATTGATTCATGTTCTCCAGAATTGTTTTACCCTTGCTCCATGAGTTCGGTATTATATTCGTTCTTTGATTTTGAAGGGGTATGCGAAGGCAATTATTGTATATTCTTTTCCCCGGGTTCTAGAACCTCACACAATGAAAAGGGAAGCGAGAGAAGATAAGAATATGGCAAAGAGATGTAAAGAGCGTATGCGGATTCGTTCCTGGATGGGATTCTGTTTACTGGACCAAGCTCCCACTATCTGGCAGTAATAACCACCGTAGGCTACTACAGAAGGGGGGGGGGCCCAAGGCTGAGGATGAAATGCGTGGCCCCCGGAAGTAACGCCCTTGAGGAGCCGATTTAGATAGCCCACAGAGGTGACGCCATGTGACCACCGCCCTCCTCGAGCTAGCCAGTGGTCTCCTACTGCGCTATCACCCTCTATATGTTGTTTGAGTCGGGCGGGACTCAAGCTCCCTACTCAGCTCTCTCTTCTGATTATCGATAGCTTATATGAGGTCAACTATGGCTACTCCCTTGCGATGTTTGACCTTGAGGATAAAGAGGTTCCTGGACATCTTCATGGGCTAGTCTGATAAGTGGCTTTAGCTTATATTATGCAGGTGTCATTCCAGTTAACCAGCTGATCCCTTGGCCGGTAAATCATTGAATGTGTTCAGACAATGGAAAGCAAGTATGACATCTCGGGAAGAGTTAAAAACTAAATCATGCTCAGATTTGAATCCGCTGTTCAGGTCAGCAATTGGACATCCTCTACTGATGTTATTCAGTGGCTGGTGGTCTCCGTTGAAGCGGGTGGTTGGTGCAGATGCCGCCAAGCATGCGTCAGAGCGCGCCGTCTTGTTTACTGTCAGCGCCAGAGAGATGAAGAGCATTAACCAAGATGTCTCCGTTACCAGGTCTTGTCAGACGCCTTGGTTTCAACCTCAAGGGAAATGTCGACGTCCCGTCTTTTAGGCATGTGAAATACCACCTCCGGCCAAGTTGCCGATGGTCATCTTCATGCATGCACCGCAAGACGATGCCAACCTCTTCCTCACCAGTCCCGGCCGTCCCCCGTGTGTTTCCTACTTCTAGATTCGAGGTCATCGACTCAGCAGAGGCAGTTGAAGAGGAGACTTTACCTACCTACAGAGCTGAGAAATATTACCCTGCTCGGCTTGGAGAAGTCCTGGATGGCCGGTATCAGATCCTGGCCAAATTGGGGTACGGTGTCACGTCTACAGTTTGGCTCGGTCGTGATCTAAGGTACTTAAGTAACGAAAGTTCTCTATTCTTTCAGATAATCCGCCAAACGTTGGATTCTTCGGCTGACATTGTGATCTCAGTGATTCCAAGTACGTCGCCTTAAAACTTTATGTATGCGGTACCGAGAGAAACCACGAACTTGATGTATATGACCGCATAAATACAGTCGAGTCAGACCACATGGGACGATCTTTCATACGTAAACTCTGGGATCATCTCTTCCTTAATGGTCCGCATGGCCGTCATGTCTGTCTCGTTCATCAACCACTCGGGCTTAGTGTTGATCAATTCCTGTATTTCTTACCGGGGAAAGTGATGAGCCTTGAGGATCTCAGGCCTTGTTTACGGCAAGTACTAGGTATACTGGACTTTCTTCACACTGATGCACACGTCATACATACTGGTAGGGTCTCACTTCAATCCCGATTATCGTTACATCTTACTCTTTCATAGATCTACAGCTAAAGAATCTTCTGCTTCCCAGTGATGATCCACAGTTCCTCTCGGGCCTTGAAGAGTCGGAGCTCGAGGCACCATCACCCAGAAAGGTACTTGACCAGGGCCGCACAATCCACACCAGTCAACTTGTTGTCCCAAGCAATGGATTACCATTACTCAGTGACTCTGGCGAGGCTCGATTCAGTGAGGAAGAGCATAATGAAGATATCATGCCAAATGTATACAGGGCGCCTGAAGTGGTGCTGAAACTGAACTGGGACAGTAAGGTGGATATATTGGAGCGTTGCCTTGATGGTAAGAGGATTCTTCACACCCAGGCTCGTGATGCCTATACTCACATTGTTCAAGGCTTGGGACCTTGTTTGTAATCGGACTCTATTCAGCGGCACAGACAGTAACGGTGTTTTTGATGACCGAGTCCATCTTGCGGAGATGATCGCAATCCTGGGTCTCCCTCCAATTGAGTTCACCAAGCGAAGCAAAGTCGGGTCAGTATTTTGGCATGACAACGGTATGTCTTATTAAGCCACTTTTCGTGACAAGATGGTCCCAACTAATGGTTGAGAACTTCTAGGCAAATGGAAAGACCTCGCGCCAGTGCCTCATATGACCCTTGAGAAACGGGCAATCAACATTCAGGGACATGACCAGGGCGGATTTTTGCGATTCATGCGAAGGGCATTGAAATGGACCCCCGAAGACAGGCCCACCGCTCGAGAACTCTTGTTCGATGAGTGGCTAATGAAGGGATTGGGATTTCGCGATCGGAAATAGAGAATATCCGGTTTTTGTGTAGTCTCGCGTCACTATATAAGGTTAGGTAAGTTTAGACGTGAGGCTTGAGGATGAGAGCTTCTGCTCCGTTGACACTTGACACGGACCCGGAGTTCTGTTGTAGTACTGGGTAGATAGTGGAGCCGGCAGGTGATTGGGGCAAAAGCAGGGCGGATGCCTGAGGATCCCCAGAGCTGGATTCCGCCCGGCTGGATTCTCGTTCTTCTTTCCGCCGACTCTCTCCCTCAACATCCCCCCAGTCCAGCCATCATGTCGTCTCGCACCGTCTGGAGGAGCTTTCAATCCCATGCCCGGAGGCGATTGATTGTGCCAGAGACTCCCTACCGCTGCTTCTCCTGCACCCAACTTGTGCAGGAGCCACCTAAGCCCAGCCATGATGATCGCATGACCCATTTCGGGTTCCAGAACGTCCCCGAATCACAAAAGGAGTCGCTGGGTGTGTTTTCCTTCTATTCCGTCGATAGTTACATGGCTGAAAGGATCCTACTAAACTCCAATGTCAATGTCTAGTGGGAGCCGTGTTCAGCTCCGTTGCTTCGTCCTACGATGTGATGAACGACATGATGTCGCTGGGCATCCACCGCCTGTGGAAAGACCACTTTGTCCGATCGCTGAACCCTGGATCTGCACTGCCCTCTCGTGACCACGATACGGCCGGACGCGGTTGGAACATCCTCGATATTGCCGGCGGGACGGGCGATATCGCGTTTCGCATGCTGGACCACGCGACGAACATCAACCATGACCTGGAGACTCGCGTCACGATCGCCGATATCAACCCGGACATGTTGGCGGAGGGTCAGAAACGGAGCGTGCAGACTCCCTACTACAACACGAACCGACTGTCGTTCATGCAGGGCAACGCGCAGGAACTGCCCTCGATTCCGGATAACTCGGTGGATCTCTACACAGTGGTGTTTGGTATCCGTAACTTCACAGATAAGCAGGCGGCCCTGGAGGAAGCGTTCCGGGTGTTGAAGCCCGGTGGTGTGTTTGCCTGCATGGAGTTCAGCAAGGTCGACAACAGCCTGTTCAACGCGGTCTACAAGCAGTGGAGTTTCAGCGCCATTCCCATGATCGGCCAGCTGGTGGCGGGTGACCGCGACAGCTACCAGTACCTGGTGGAGAGTATTGAGAAGTTCCCTAGCCAGGAGGAGTTCCGCGGCATGATCCAGAAGGCTGGCTTCATGATCCCGGGGCGTGGATACGAGAACCTGACGGGAGGCATTGCGGCCATCCATAAGGGCATCAAGCCTCTGTCGCGGGCTTAAAGACAGAATCTTAGAACCATGTACACTAGCCTTCTCTCCTGTTCGCCACTGTAATAATATGATTGGGATCAGTTATCGGCACGGAACTGGCGCAAGTACCGACCGGAGCGGGGACTGGATCTGCAAGGCATCAGCAGCAACGCGGATGGTGTGATGGCGGAACTTTGCCCGGCCGGGCAGCATCGACTAGTAGATCTGATGCACGCGTCGGAATCTAGAAGGAGGTGGCCACCAATTTATAATCAAGGTGGGAGGGGATTTTCCTCTGAGATTTCAGATCCGCTCCGAGGCTTTGAGGTTATCTCCGACCAGCCGAGCGATAACCTCCAATCAGGGCGGCACACCGTCGCTATCTCTTCATCTGCCCGCTCCCCGTCTCTTTCCCTCTGCCTCTCTTCCTCCACTTTTTTGCTTCTTGTCGCCCCCCCCCCACCATCGGATTCCCCCTCCTTCCGCGTCTCCAGGTTCTTGTCCGGGATCTTTTGTCCCAGGCTGCCTCCTGGGAGAAGGCCCCCAGTTCCTTCTTCTCCCCTCTTCCCCTCTTCCCCTCCAGAGAATGGTTTCGAGACCATGGGGCATCTGAAGCAGCCATTTGCGATTCCGTTATCGCCCGCCATGCCCCTCCCGGAGACCAACCCCTCCATCCCCCACGACTTCCTCCTCCCCATGACTCCTCCAGATCCCACTGATGCCCCATTACCGGGAACCAAGGAGACGCCACCCGTCGCCACAGCCCTCCAGGTCATCTCAGCGGAGCGCGCTGCCCTGGCGCATCTGGAGCATATCTACCAGACCGATCCCTTGGCGCAAGACTACCTTGCGCGCGCCGTGACTCAGATCGTACGCAGCATCAAGCATGGCGGGAAATTGGTCTGCTGTGGAGTGGGCAAGAGTGGGAAGATTGCCCAAAAGCTGGAAGCCACCATGAATAGCCTGGGCATCTACAGCGCATTCCTGCACCCCACCGAGGCATTGCATGGTGACCTGGGCATGATACGACCGGTAAGGATGCCGTGACATATACTAGAAGAGACTTCTTACCGACAGTACATGTTTCTGCTATAGCACGACACGCTCTTGTTGATATCGTTCTCGGGTCGCACGCCGGAGCTTCTGCTCATGCTTCCTCATATACCTTCAACGGTCCCGGTGATTGCCATCACCTCTCATATGCGCCCGTCGACCTGTCCGCTGCTCTCTTTCCATCCGTCCCACATGGGAATCCTCCTGCCAGCCCCCATCCATGAGGATGAAGAGTCCTCGATCGGCGTATGTGCCCCGACGTCGTCCACCACGGTAGCCTTATCGCTGGGAGATGCACTGGCTATCGCTACCGCCCGGCGGCTACATACTTCCCCAGGCAGGGGTCCCGCAGAGATCTTTAAGAGTTTCCATCCGGGAGGTGCCATCGGCGCCGCATCTATGGCGTTGACGCCGATGAGCATGTCGTCTGCATCGAGTTCTTCCGCGCCATCAGACTACATCCCCGCTCAACAGACTACGACCTCGTTTCCGCAGTCGGACAGCAAACCTGACCAGCGTCCCCTCGTTCGCGATATGCTTGTTTCGCTCGACCAAATTCCCAAAGTGTCTGCACCAGGCAAAGTCCGTCTCCTGGACATCCTCCTCACCGCCATCCAACACCCCAACGCCAAGTCATGGGTCCATCTCTCGCCGTCGGAAATCGTACCCCCCCGACATCTCCGCTTCGTCTCTCAAAGCAATTATGTAGATATGCACGTTTCCGCGTTCGTCGAACTTGGTCTACCTTTCGGGGTGTCTCGCAAGGATTGGCTCCGCATCCCAGGCTCAAGCACCATCGACGACGCACGACGACTCGTCTCCGACGCCAATGCATCCTCCGAGACCTCCGTGACAGTGGTAGCTGTCATGCACGACACCAACTCGGACGAGTGTCTCGGCGTGATCGAAGCCGAGGATCTGTGGAATGACTGTGACGATTAGACTCATCTCTCTCTATCTCTCTCTATTCCTTCAAATATCCCTCTAAACCTTTCTCATGATGTATATGAACTCACACCTGAATTTCGGGTTCTTTTGTCTTCCTGTCCCATATATTTTGATCGTTTCAAACAAACCATAGATAGTTTTATTCTTCCTTCGTGCTTTATTACATACATACATCCCATGCATGAGGGGTCGCGCATACATGTGTGGAGTGTGCTCATTTCTATACATGATATGATGTCTCTTTTTTTTTTTTTCGGGCCCCTTTCTTCACAGACATGCATATTTCACCCTTTGCACTATGACTGGCATATGGTGGTCTACATTTACATGATTGACTTGCGATATTAGAAAAGACTTAATTCAGATACCCGATTTCGTTTGATCAACGATCATCATCATGACAGGAACTTGACTAAGATGATGACAGGAACAGTACTCGTCCGGTTCATGTCTAGCTCTAGCTATCATCTAACGTATCGGTACAGTGACCTCAAAACGTAAAACAGGGTATAACCATCATGGGCGGGGGGACCAGAAAAGCATTTAAAAAAAAAAGGAAGAAAGAAAGGCAAACAAAACAAGCAGATGATTAATCTATGGTATCTTCAACGCATTACTCGTAACATAAGCGATAGCGAAACGCCCGGGGTGTGATCAGAACACATAACATGGAAACGTAGCCAGGGGTGCTTTTTCTTTTTCAGCCGCAGTCCGCAAGGGATCTGTTTCACCGTGACAGAGTCCGTGCCCGGGAGGGGGTCAGGGGCGCCGGTGTCACAAGAGTGATCAGGCGAGCATGTCTTAAGTGAGCGGGGGAAAGAGAGCAAAGGTAGAGAGTTTTATACACCGGGTGGATGGCTCCAGCACCAGGCTGAGATGACCCGCGCCGTTCTGAATTAGACATCTCTATGGTGAGATGATTGGCCGCTTGTCGCACTAACAGCTCCTTTGGTCTCTCTTTCCCGCTTGTGCTCTTGTTTCCTCGTGGTGGAAAGCGGGGCGACTCTGATGGTGGATTGAGAGCTAACAGAGTCAGAAGGGTTGAGTCGCCGTATGACGATTCAACCCGATGATGAGGGCTCCTGACGGCCCTTGCCCTTGTCGGTGGCTGTTGTGCCATCGTCCTTATACAGGCCGTGTTGTTCGATGTAATGGATGACCGGGACGGGTATCAGGTACCGGACGCTCATGTCACGCCTCAAGAAAAGACGAATCTTGGTGCTGCTGACGTCATTTTGAATGAGTTGCTGAATAACATGGATGTTTTTCTTCCAAGTCTGCAAGGCAGCGAGAGCCTCGTCGATGTCGGTTCCGCTGCGTTCCACGATGAAGGTCTAGGAACCAGATTAGCAAGAAGGGGTCATGGATTGGAAAGTAGGGATACATACACCGTATTTTCCAAGAATGTGGTCGAGATCCTTCTCGCTCCAGACTCCGGGGGTTGACATGGTGTGGACCAGATCAGCACCTGCCAGCAGAGCAATCTGGATAGTCTTGCGAGGGCCATTGCCGGCCTCGATGCCCCGTCGTACAGTGTTGATCTCGTGATCAAAATGGTCCAACACAACGGCGGTGGGTTGATATTCCTTCTGCATCGGTTCCCAGGTATCCACCATCAGCCAGTCGGATGTCTGATCGACTGCGAGTTGGCACATGGCGACACTGTTCGAGTCATTCTTGTTAGCATGTGATGGCATCTGTTTGGCTGGATGCTAGGGTTATGGAGTGGAAGAGGGAGGCAAGGTGCCTTACCGATGTTCGGCGCTCGCCAAACCGGCTTTGCGATAGGCGTCGGACACCGGGGATAGGTAACCCCCGACCAGTTCGAAGTCCGTGCTAAATTTGACGTAATCGGCCGCCATCTCAAACATGCGAAGGTGCAGATAGGTGATAGGCGAGAACGAGCCACAAGCCACCAGCAGCAAGGGGGTCTTTTCGGGATCGTCCATTGTGCGCTTCAGACGAAGCTCGGGGAATGCGTAGTCATCCATAGGAGCGGGAGGCAAAGGAGACGGCCTCCGGTGGACATTGTCACTGATGGCGTCGGTCATGGTTGCAGACGTAAGGCAGGGAGGTGTCCCAGGGACGCTCAGAGAGATAATGGGAGGGACCAGATCTGGCCCGCGATAAGTCAAGGGGGTGGTGGATGGACGATAAGACAGTAGACAGCGGGAAGAGACTTCGGGGAGATGGAGAGAGAGAGAGAGAGAGAGAGGAATGAATGGTTCTGGCTGATGGGATGGGCCAAAGGATGGATGCGGGCGCCGCTGGGTTAGTCAGCGTGGGGGAATCAAAGAGGCGAGCGGGGAAAAAAAAACGACCAAGACGGACGTTCGGTGTACCTCGCGACACTCGGCCGCGATCACCTCATCTCCGCCTGTCGGCCGCGGACGTCCGCGGAGTGGGTGCCTAGTCTAGGCTGGACTATTGATTATAGCTTAGTTATTAGCCTATAGAGACTCATTCAATCGTTCTATCAACATCAACATCTGAGTGATACGATAGCCAATAAACTAGGATCCAAAAACATCCTCTCTGATTCTGATGTCCTTTCAGCTTTGACCATGTGTACAATGGCTCCTCCATGGGCAATCACTGCAGCCGGGATGTACAGAATTGGCGCAGCCGAGCAGCCAGGGTCTCGAACGACTATCTAGCAAGCCATGTGAGTCCCAAATATGTACGATGTATGCAGACGCAAGAGGATGGTCCTTGATGAATGGCGGAACGGCATGTCACTACGATAACGTCTGAGACTCGCCCCTTGATAAAGTGCGAGAAATATCTGTCATTTCAAGCAAGGGTGAAGCAAAGGCATGGAATGTGAATATGCCCTCGGTGGCCAAAATGGCGCACGGAAATGTTAACCTGGGCCAATAGCCTCGCATGGATCTCGACGCTGACCTTGAGCTGGGCCATGTTGAGCCAACTAGCAGGGCAGATGTCGCGGTCAGTTTGACATGCTCTTCAGATACCCCTTGCGTAGCAGATGGGCATGTCCGGCATCTGTCGTTCGGAGATTTGAGACACCGTGACAGGCTCGCAATGGCCAGTGCGCGGGATAGGATGGGACTGGAGTATAAGAATCAAGAGAGCGACGCCCTGACGAGGATCCAAAGCCAGAACCACCCAGGGACAGTCTTCCATCTCGTTGCGCATCCTCTTCCTAGATCCTATCTCTCCCTCCGATTGACTTGAGGCCGTATCCAAGGAAGTGAAGATGCCTCCCAGTTTATTGAGCTTGGCCGGCGAGGGCGATGTGCCCGGGTTAGGAATTGGCCCGTTGGCCTTCAGGAAGGCCAAGTTCATGGGCAACGCAGATGCGATCATTGACGGCGACTATACCATGTCCTATGCGGAACTAAATGACAAGGCCCTTCAACTTGCAAGTGATCTCTATCGCCGAGGAATCGAGGTTGAAGAACCAATTGGCATTCTCTCGCGTCCTGGCATCAACCATATTACTGCTCAGCTAGCAGTAGCCTATGTTGGAGCCAGCAGTGTTCTCCTGAATGCAGCCCACTCCGATACATATCTGGCAGAGCGACTGGCCCAAATCAACGCGACCTGGGTCATTGTGGATGTGGAACACCGAGACCGGTTGGCGGACCACCAGAAGATTGTCCACCTGCATCAGAGTAGCACACCCGATACGCCTGATCAGTTGCAGGTGCCAATCACCTCGGGTGCCCATCAACGCTCCCATGTCATCTATACCTCAGGGACGACTGGAAAGCCGAAGGCGGTCCAGATCCTCTCTCGTGGACTGATCAACCTGGCCACGGATCCGGACTGCCCGATCCTCCCCTCTTCCCGAGTTGCCCAGGCCAGCAACGTCAGTTTTGACGCCTCAGTTCTGGAGATTTGGGCGGCACTTCTCCAGGGAGCCACCCTCGTGATTACCAGAAAAGAACTGTTGCTCGACACCGAGATGTTTGAAGCGCACCTCAAGAAGTACACCCCGGCATATCTCTACCTGAATGCGGCCCTCATGGCTACCGTATCAGCCCAGATTCCGACGATATTTAGTCATGTTGGAACACTGATGGTGGGAGGGGAGGTGGTCAGCAAGGAGGCTGTCCGGCACATCCTACAGAACGGCCCCCCCAAACAATTCCTGCATGTGTACGGACCTACAGAGTCCTCTATCTGGGTGACCAGGCACACTCTGTGCGTTGCGGATACCTTCCTGGACTCGCTGCCGCTCGGGAAACCGCTGCACAACGTGGAGCTTCTGATCCTGGACGACAAGGGACATCCTGCAGGCAGAAACGCCGTCGGAGAACTGCTTGTGGGCGGAGCGGGCTTGTCGGGTGGCTATTTCAACGACGAGATCAACAATACCAAGGCATTTGTAACCCTGAAATCTGATACCAATGAGCCGAAGGGCTTCTATCGCACGGGTGATCTGGTTCAGGCCAAGGAAGATGGGTCTATCTTCTTTGTGGGTCGCAAAGACCATCAGGTGAAGATTGCTGGCCATCGGGTCGAGCTGGAGGTGATTGAACAGACCCTTGTGCAAACTGGATTCCTGCTCGAGGCAGTGGCCATGAAAGTCCAACCTCCCAAGCTAGACCTAGGTGCTCTTCTCGTGGCATATGTCGTACGCAAACCCGGCGTGGTGGCAGATAAGGACACTGTGACCCAGGCATTCAAGTCATTCGGGCCAGAACTGATGGTGCCGCGCCTCGAGTTTGTCGATACCCTTCCTCTGACCACCAACGGCAAGGTGGATCGAACTCTTCTGACCAAGCTCTATCTCGAACGATTCACCGGCGCCGAGGTCGTGGAGAGTGCGGTGATTCAACAACCGCAAACTCCCGAGGAACAGCTCGCAGGTATCTGGGCCTCGATCTTGGGCATGCCTGCCAAGAACATCAGGCCCCAGGACGACTTCTTCACTCTGGGAGGCACCTCCTTGCAGGTCGCCACCATGATCTCCGATATTCGCAGGACCTTCGGCATCAAGATCCCGACCACCTTCCCCTACCAGCACCCAAAGCTGGCCGACTTCACTCAACTGCTGCAGGAGGGCGGGAGCGCCATCGCACGAGTGAATGAAAAGGACCTCTGGGTGCGCGATGCTGAGCTGGGAAAAGATATCTTCCCCCTTCCCGGCCCCGTCACCGACTGGAAATCCGATGGCTCTGTTTTTATCACCGGGGCTGCCGGCTTCGTCGGCTCAGCCCTGTTGGCTGCCTTGATCAAGATGCCACACGTCCGCGAAGTTATTTGCCTCGTCCGAGCTGCGGACGACGCGGCTGCCCTCAACCGTCTCGAGGCTACCTTCACCAAGTATGGACACCTGTCGGCGATCTCGCATCCGAAAGTCAAGGCCCTTGCCGGCAACCTGGCCGATGCCAACCTGGGGCTGGGAGAAGAGGGATTTGCCTCCTTGGCCGCTCGCGCCGGTGTGATCTTCCATGTCGGAGCACACATGAACTTCACGGTGCCCTATCACACCGTTCGCCCGACGAATGTGGGTGGTACCCTGGCCATCTTGAGATTGGCCACTACGACCAAGCAGAAGCAGCTCCACCACATCTCCAGTATTGCCGTCTACGGATGTGCTCGAGGCTTCCTGGGCACAGCGGAGAGCTACGAGGATGGCGACCTTGAGCGGAGTGTGTCGGCGCTCGAGTACGATATCGGGTACAGCCAAAGCAAATGGGTGGCGGAGAACATTGTCTGGAATGCCAGTCGGAACGGGGTGCCCGTGGCCGTATACCGGCTGGGGGCTGTCCTCTGCAATTCCCAGAACGGAGCCACCAACCCCAATGACTACGTGACCCGTATCATGAAGGGTTGCATTCGCATGGGCAGCTACCCCATCCTGGAGCGACACCGATTCGACTTCGTCTCCTTGGAGTTCATCATCTCTTCCATCCTCCACATCGCAGCCACTCCGGACAATCTGGGTCACGGGTATAACCTCGTGACGCCCGATCAGGACCCGTCTGTGTCTATCATGGAGCTCTTTGCCACCCTCAACAGGATCATTCCCTTCCCTCTGAAGCCAATGGATTATGATGAGTGGACGAGCCGCTTCACTTTCGCCCGGGATGATCCTTTGACTCCATTCATGCCGCTTCTGCAGGAACAGGTGTATGACAACCTGACCCGCTGGCAGATCGAAAGCGACCCCACCATGTACCGCAACGATAACCTGAAGCGGGCTTTGAAGACCAGGCCAGAAATTTGGGCGACGAACCCCAACCTGGTCGAAATGATGCGCGGCTGTCTGGACAGCTGGATCAACTAGACTAGAGTTCAGGTCCGGAGAGAAAGCGTTCTGGCTATTGTTCTTGACTGATGTTTTCGCGTCATAAACGTAGAATCGCGAATCTAATGAGATTTATATATGTGCCGTTGTAATGCAATTTATTGAAAGTGTTTCTTCATTCCCATATCTGGACGTGTAGGTTTCAAAGTTTATGAGTGGCGGACTCAAGTCTGACGGGTGGAAGTAACGATGCCATCCTTATTCTCTACCTGGCCACGTTCACCTAGGCTCAGTCATGCTCCAGGAGACTTCTGGTAGAGATGGGGCAAACGCATGGGCAGACTGGCGGGAAGTAATGTTTTACTGCTTGAAATTGAGAAGTAGACGCGAACCAGGCTATCCAGAGAAATTAGCTGCTCGATTCTTCAAGCCAGCCATGAATCGCGAGAGAGTTGGACTTGCGGCCAGTGTATTGTGAGTGAAGTGATGAAGAACACCTGCGGTATTGTATGGTCGAGGAGCAGCGAAGGCGGCCATGGGCGGCAGTACCCCCCTCGGCCAACCGAGGCAGTGGCCGCAAACGGCAGTCATTGTATTTGCATATCCGACCGGGTGACAAACCCAATGGACGCGATAAGATACACGGAACCCCACGCAGATGCAGTCATCTGCACGGGATAGGATGTCGCTGACTTCACTTCTCAATGAGGGAGACGATGATCCAATATCATCGAAATGGCATTGAAACTTGAGTTGAGAGCTCCCCTGTGTTGCCTAAGATATTGCCACTATTATACGGAGTAGTGTAGGTTCTTAAGCCGGAGTGTCCAGTGCTCACCTGCCTTATATACTATCGAAGGAGGTTTGACAGAAATAGTAATATTGTACTGGCTCCCCCTCTGACTGTGTTTTAAATGATCCTAAAAAAAGCATCTTACAGTACCAGCCAGGGGTTTTGGTCTACACAGCAGAGACAAGACCGGTCTCCATAACTATACCATGTTAAAGATGACTCCGTGGTAACCTCCAAGGTCCGTGGTTGGAACGTACGGAGTAGCCCGATGCGGTATGCATCTACCCATCTCAGCCCGACAACCAGGATTAGTAGGGAGGAAATCGAGATTCTTAACGGAAACTATAGCGGATAGATTCAGTTTAGTCCAGTTAAGTGCCATTAAAGTGCAGTCCTTAGTTATTAAGTGGAATGCTTCAGTCAAGTTACTTAAGTTACCATTTACTATATGTCAACTATTCAACCAGGTACAAGTACTCCGCATGGGGACCAGGTCGGGACAGCTTGGTCCATTCAGGCCCATCTTCGCCCGAGCAATGATATGCGCTGGACTGCGACCGTGAATATAGATTAATACACGGAGATTTTCGGTCGCAAGATCAGCCTGGTGCCCGGGGCCGCCGTTCGGTAGTGGTTGAGGCTGCACTTTGGCTGTCTGACGCTCTCCGGACTTGCTTCCTCAGGCCGGCGTCACCACCGCCAACCACGTCAATCATCTTCCCCCCAATTCCCTCCCTCATCATCAACTCAACCACCATTCTTCGTTTCACTCCAGCTCACGGCCACCCGGTTTTATCAACGAATATCACGTTTCTCCACCCCTTCTGGTACATATTATCGCCTACACCGTCTATCTCACGTGTGGGAATTTTCGTTCTCCTGAGCGTGCGCCCCTTCACATCCCCGATCGGCCCTCCCTCAGCTAAACCGTCCCCGGATCGTCGACGGAACCCAATTCGCCATTCTGCCCACGCTTGGTCAACCTTCCCTTGAGTAACGGATGGCGGGTTAACGGTATCAACTGACGAGCGAGCCCTCATTATCCAGCTCTCGTTAGCAATCGACATATGGCCAGACAAAGGCCCAGTTCTCACCGCCAGGACCCTCTTGAGGACTCTTCCGCTCAGCCATCCTCCGCTGGATCTTCCGCCACTGCTGCTAGGTACATACCATATCTACTTTCCCCTAACTCCCTGGATATACTCCCTGTGGTCACTCGGTGTTTGGCCTGATCCTGGTCATTGCCTCCCCCTCTTTCGTGATACCCCCGCAAGAACCTATTCTCCACGGGCCTGCCCAACGGCCTCGGTAGACGAGAGCTCTGCCTACTAGCTGTATACTCGGCTGAGAATATCGCGCGAACATCTCGGTCTTTGAGTCGGGTGGGAATGCCCTTATCATACTGCCAGTTGTTGTTTTGTTTCCATCTCTCTTTCGCCCTCACGCCATTCTCCACCTCTACCCCCACTATATCCTGAAAGTGAACCTTTTCTCATGTCCTCCAGAATCACTCGCTCAGCCGCGAGAGTAGCTGCAGACTCTAACCCGTCTACCGGCACTGGTCCCTCCCCTGCGAACGCGGCCGCTGGTACGGCTCCCACCCGGAAGCGAAAGGCCCCCGCACGACGTGATCGATCGGTAGACGCCCCGGAACAGTCGAATCCTTCGTCTCCGCCCCGAAAGGCTAAACGACAGCGACGCGCAGCTTCTCCTCGAGCGGCGGCGCCTCCTGCTACCACTCGTCGTGGTACCCGTAATCGCTCAGCTATGTCCCAACCCGGGTAAGATCGTATCTGCACATCCAGAGTGGAGTGCCGGGGCTGATAGGTTATTATGTCTAGTCCATCATCACACCCTACCGAGGATTCATCAAGGAGCCAGGCCTCCCCTCCGGCGTCTAGGCGGAAATCTAGCAGGAGTGGGAAGGTGTCCCAAGGTAAGAATAGAAAGTTCGGTGGGAGGAAAGCTCATCTATCCGCCTTTACACCCACTTGTTATGCGCCTGCGCGGATGGTTTCAACTGACCTTTTTTGTCGCAGATAATGCCTCGGCAGCACAGTCTTCGCCTCGTCGGCAAAAGAAGCGCCCTTCCAGAACCAGTCCCGATGTGATCATGAAGGAGGCGGAAGAGGAGTTGGAGGAACAGGAACCGGAACCAAGCGAAGAACGGGATTCTTCTCCTCCGAGTGAAAGCCACGAGGGTACCAACCCTTCAGGCCTCGAAGATGATGACGACGAGGATGACGGGGACCTTTTCCACAACAGTCTGTTCGGGTCGCGGAGTCCCTTGGGACTTCAAAGCACCCTCCGTGCTCTGAGCGGCATGATGTCGGGCATGTCTTCGCGTTTGCGAGATATTCTGTGCAATCTGAGAATGAAGGATGACCCGTCCATCCAGCTGATTGCTCTGCAGGAGCTCTCTGATCTACTACTTGTATCAAATGAGGATAATCTTTCCGGCCAATTCTCCCCAGATCCGTATGTAAAGGAGTTGGTCGCCTTGATGCAGCCAAGCGATTTTGGTGAAGAAAACCCCGAGATCATGCTTCTTGCGTGCCGCTGTTTGGCCAACTTGATGGAGGCCCTGCGAGGCTCCGTGGCCAATGTGGTTTACGGAGGGGCTGTTCCAGTCCTGTGCCAGAAGCTTCTGGACATCCAGTTCATTGACCTGGCTGAGCAAGCTCTCAGCGTGAGTTGTGCCCCCGTTTCCGCCAAGGTGTGTTTACTAATTGGCGGCTATAGACTTTGGCGAAAATATCGGTGGACTTCCCGGCATCTATCGTGCGTGAGGGCGGCTTGACGGCCTGCTTGACTTATCTTGATTTCTTTCCGACTAGCACGCAGCGTACGGCGGTGACTACGGCTGCTAACTGTTGCCGCAACCTACCCCATGACTCTTTCCCGGTCGTTAGGGACGTTATGCCGACTTTGCTCAACGTTCTCGCGAGCAATGATCCAAAGGTTGTCGAACAAGGTTGTCTGTGTGTTTCCCGGATCGTCGAGAGCTTCAAGCACAAGCCGGAGAGGCTCGAAGAGCTGATCGAGCCTGCAATGCTCAAGGCAGTGCTTCGACTGCTCTTGCCCGGCACCACCAATCTGATCGGCCCGCACATTCATACGCAGTTTCTCCGTGTATTGGCCATCACATCCAAAGCCAGTCCGAGACTCTCCGTAGAATTGCTCAAGATGGATGTGGTAGATACGCTCTATCAGATTCTGACGGGTGTTTCGCCGCCGGCAAATCTTGATGACACAGCCGTCAAGATGGATAGTGTCCTCGTCATGCAGGCGTTGATTCATCGCCCCCGGGAGCAGGTCTTCGAAACGCTCAATGTTATCTGTGAGTTACTACCGGGTGCCTCTAGCCGGCATCTTCCCCAAGCGGACGGCTTGCCTGGCTTCCCTGCTGAGGGCGATGCTGCACGCGAGCCAACATCACCCAAGGCGAAGGAATCTGCCGAAAAGCGACGCTCCTTACTCCTGGGCTGCAAGGTGGAGCTGAAGCGCTTCGCGATGATTTTGCTGCCGACCTTGACCGACGCCTATTCTAGCACGGTGAATCTCGAAGTGCGCCAAAAGGTGTTGACCGCCCAGCTCAAGATGCTGCACAACTTGGATGCTAGCCTAGTCGAGGATGCATTGCGGACCGTTCCATATGCCTCGTTCCTGGCGGCCATCCTCTCTCAAAAGGACCATCCGTCTCTGGTGTCTTCTGCACTACGCTGCGCAGAGATTTTATTCCAGCGCCTGGAACATGTTTACCGGCATCAATTCCATCGGGAAGGTGTCATCTCGGAGATTTTCAAGCTTGCAGAGGGGCCGCTGTCCACTGAAAAGCAAGGGAAGCCAACGGCTGATTCCTCACCTGGTCCGGATGCTTCTGCAGAAGCGAAGCCAGGCGGTAGCGCAGTAGACGATGCCGGCGACGAGGGCGAGGGGGGAGATGGCTATGACGAGCAGGATGAGGATGACAACGATGATATGTCTGAGTCAGGAAGCTCCTCCTTTTCCGGTCACGTCCTTTCCACCAGAATCGAGAACGCTATGCGGGATATCGTTACCCGCGATGCCCGGGGCTTTGTGGACCTCTATGAGTCGAGCCAGGGCAGAGACATGCGGGACAAGGCATTGGAAACGTTAAACGAACTGAAAGATATTGCAGCGCACATCGATGCGTTCTATGCAGGCGATGGTGAAGAAGATGGCCTTTCACTTTTCAAAAAGCTTGCAGCGTATTTCGATGGGGACGCATTGGAGAGTATCACCAGCTCCGAACTTCTTAACTCCGGTATCATCAAGGTGCTGCTCGATGTATTTGGAGACTTCCAAGGTAGGTGCCCATCCAGTCTCATGCATGGCCAAACACTTATCCACTCTTCATTAGCTACATCCATGCGCGAGGCTCGTGCTGCTTTCTTGCAGGCGTTCATGGGATCGACCATCTCTGAAAAGGCCCAAAGTCAAAGTACAGCCACGACACCGTTCAGTGTTTTGATTCACAAGCTGCAGGATCTGCTCAGCAGGACTGAGCATTTTGAGGTTTCCGCCGTGAGTCATAACTCGTTGGAGAATACAAGAAGCAATGCCGCGTATATGCTGGGGAAACAACTCCGGTTGAAGCTGGTGGCAGATGAAGATTCAGATATTCCTCGCACCTACCGGAACATCATGGTTTCGATCCATGCTATCGCAACTTTCAAAGCCCTGGATGATTTCCTCCACCCTAGAATTAGTCTGTCAGACCGGCCGAGACCATCTCGCACCCGGGACACGATCCTGTCTCAAATTGCTAATGCAGCACGTCTCCGGGATCAGCTGGCCGGCGGCGAGTTCCCTGGCAGCGATGCTTCCCAGCCTCGATCGTCGACCACTTCGGGGAGACCACCCCGTCCAGGGGAGACTCGTCCGGGTGGTAACGAGTCACCAGCTGAGGGACATGATCACGGCTCCAGGTCCAGACGATCTAGCCGGCAACAAGGCGCAGGTGGACATGAACACGAAACTGAGCCCCTCGAATGCGCCGATGAACGGCAAATGAGTGATGATGAAGATCCGGAGGACGATGGCGAGGACGAGGAATTGAACGCCATTGTCGATGACTTGGAAGATGATCTCTCTGACGATAATGTCCATGATCCGACGGCAGTCAACATGGAGGTGGCATCTTCGGGCAAGGTCACTGCCCGGAAAGAAGACGGTACACGTGTGGCTACTCCCTCGCAGTCGACGTCAACATCCAAATCGTCCGCTTCTGCTTCCGGTTCCACATCAAACCCACCGGGGGGTAATTCGCTGGCAATGGCTGGTCGCCCATTCTCTTCCTACGCGGCCGCTATGGCCTCAATTCCGTCCGACTGGCATATTGAGTTCAGCGTGGATAACGAGCCGGTCTCGAACGAGACGACCATTTATCGTGCCGTTCACCATAACCGTCAACATACGGACCCCAGCGCCAGGAATGTTTGGTCGTCTATCCATACAGTCAAGTTCAGACGAGTCCCTGGACCGCCACCTCCGGAACCTTCCACGCTCACGCAGGGCACATCCGGATCTGCCGAGAAAAACGACAGCAATGAGATGCCAGCGTCGCTCAGTCAGGATACAACGACCGCCTCAATCCTGCGGTTGCTCCGCGTTCTGCATGAGATGAATTCTACTCTCGATGATATTTTGGCTGAGGCCAAAGAGCTGGTTGCCCTGAAACCTGAGCCTTTGGCCCAGTTTATCAACACCAAACTTACCGCTAAGCTAAACAGACAGCTAGAAGAGCCATTAATTGTGGCCAGCAGCTGCCTTCCTAGCTGGAGCGAAGATCTCGCCCGACTCTTCCCTTTCCTCTTCCCGTTCGAGACGCGCCACCTGTTCCTCCAGTCAACTTCGTTTGGTTACTCGCGCGCGATGATGAGATGGCACAACTCGCAGAACGGAGATGACAGCCGCAATGATTCCCGGCGTGACGATCGGCCTATTCTCGGACGCCTTCAGCGACAGAAGGTGCGAATCTCCAGAAGCCGCATTCTCGATTCGGCTATGAAGGTGATGGAGTTGTATGGCTCCTCGCCTAGCGTGTTGGAGGTTGAGTACTTCGAAGAAGTCGGCACAGGCTTGGGTCCCACACTGGAGTTCTACTCGACAGTGTCCAAAGAGTTTTCCAAAAAGAAACTCAAGATCTGGCGAGAAAACGATTGCATCAATGGCGACGAGTATGCCTTTGGCAAGCGTGGTCTATTCCCTGCTCCTATCAGTGAAGAGCAAGCTGCATCGGAATCCGGAAAGAAACACCTACAGCTATTCAAGATCCTGGGCAAGTTTGTTGCTCGGTCGATGCTCGACTCTCGGATTATCGACATCTCCTTCAACCCGGCATTCTTCCGCATTGCCGACAGCTCGTCGTTTGTTACCCCCTCGCTAGGTACTGTGAAAGCGGTGGATCAAGATTTGGCCAATTCACTGCTTCTATTGAAGGCATTTGCCAATGCAAAGAAGGCGGTGGACGACAACCAGATGCTGTCAAAGGCCCAGAAGAGCCAAGCCGTGCAGCATATCGAAGTGGGCGGGGTCACGGTCGAGGACTTGAGCCTGGACTTTACCTTGCCTGGCTACCCAGCCATCGAGTTGATCAAGAATGGGTCCAACATCCCGGTCACGATCGAGAATGTTGATTTGTATGTCGATCGGGTCGTCGACATGACTTTGGGCAGTGGCGTCCAGCGGCAGGTAGAGGCTTTCCGAGCCGGGTTCTCGCAGGTGTTCCCCTACTCCGCGCTGCGGACATTCACTCCCAACGAGCTTGTTATGCTGTTTGGCAGGGCTGAGGAGGATTGGACTATTGAAAGTGAGACTTCTTCCCCCATTCACACTTGAATTCGCTAACAATCGCCGATAGCTCTGATGGATTCAATCAAGGCCGACCACGGGTTCAACATGGACAGCCGCAGTGTGCGCAATTTGCTGCAGACGATGAGTGAATTGAGTGCACCACAACGACGAGACTTTTTGCAGTTTGTCACTGGCAGTCCAAAACTCCCGATCGGCGGTTAGTACCCTGACCTGCTGTGTGTGATTTTACTGACGAGTTTCCTTTTGCAGGTTTCAAGAGTCTCACACCCATATTCACTGTTGTCTGCCGTCCTAGTGAGCCTCCATATACGCCTGATGATTACCTTCCTAGTGTCATGACCTGCGTCAACTACTTGAAGCTTCCGGACTACAGCAGCCTGGATGTACTGCGCGAGCGGCTATCGGTTGCCATCAAGGAAGGCCAGGGGGCGTTCCACCTGTCATGATCAGAGATGAACTACTGATCTAGCAAAGGCAGACATGAGACGAAATCAAACAAAAGCGAGAGCGAAAATCGCGCCCATGGTGCGTACTAACTGTATACCCTTATCGCTGCGGTGGGGGTCCGACAAGCTGGGGCTTGTCTTTTGGAGGAATTCTGCGTTCGGGCCACATTTCTACTTCTGTGCCTTGAGGGGCGTCTGGGGGTTATTTATTGATTCATTTAGATAGAAATGCCAGTGTATCCGGGGCCAGTGAGTCTATTAGTCTGCTGATGTATCTATCTGTTGATTGCATAGGTCTATTCTATCAAAATGAGGGTATTGCGCATGATTCCGACATCCATCCATCTATCCATTCCTTCCCAACCATCTCACATTCTTAACCCCGATACAGCGGCACCATACTCTAATCGCCGTTAGCATCATCACCACAATGCAACAGACCAACAACCAAGCAAGCAAAAAAAAAAGAAAAAACTTACCTCCGCAAACTTGGGCTCCACAAACAACGCCCTCGCCTCCGCCACCACCACCTCCTCCCCCTCACCATTCCCCTCGGGCATCACTCGAATCTCCCCCTCCACCCACGCCTTCCTCCCCTCCACCTTGACCGTCTCCGCCCGCAACACATACACCCGATCCGGCACCGCGGGCTTCCGAAAATCCACATTCAAATTCGCCGTCATCCCCACCCCACTGGGGAACGAATCCGAGACGCACCGCGCGAACGTCTCGTCCAGCATCACGGAGAGGAGGCCCCCGTGTACGTAGCCCGGGTGGCCGCAGAGTTGGGGGCCGATGTGGAAGAGGGAGAGGATTTGGGCGCGGGGGCGCGAGTCAGAGGGGGTGTCGTTGGTGGTGGTGGTGGATTTGGTGGTGGAAGTTGGGTTAATGATGGTGGTGAACATGTACGCCGGGACGGAGACTTTGTTGGGGCCGGAGAGAGTACCCGCCACGAAATGGTTGGGTTGTAGGGCGGTGGACATGGTTAGGTGGGGGCGGGATTCTTTGTATTTGGGGTCGAGGCGGAGACGGTGGAAGAGGGGGTGCGTGGTGATGAGGGTTTCGGGGGTTGGGAGGGAGGGTGCGGTTGCGGGTGCTGCGGCGGCGGTTGGGGGTAGGGGTGGGTGTTGTTGGTAGGAGGGGAGCGTGGAGGGGGTTTCGATGGCGGAGGTTGCGGGGGCGGCTTGGATGAGGCGGGTGTGTTGGTGGTGGTGGTGGTGAGGGATGAGGGATTGGGGACGGCGGGTGGTGAGGCGGAGGGTTGGTGGTCGGGGGAGGAGGCGCGGGAGGGACATTTTGGTGTTGTTTGGTGTTTTCGGTCTTGTTGGCGGTGGTGTTGGTGTGATGAGGTTGAAGTTGAGATGGAGATTGGAAATTAACTTGAATGGAGGTCAATGTTAGTTCACCATAGATTGAATGAATAGCTCGCTCTGCATGTATATGCCATTGACTGTCCTGGTAATACTGGAGGGGAAGGACTCACATATAAATGAAGCTCAACGCAATCTATCTTCTAGAAGAGCAGAATGTGGTGGGAAGACGCAATGCAAAGTCTATCTATCGCAGACCGGAAAAAAAGATGAAAAACCCTGGCCTATCCGGGCGGGTGGAGCCAGCACCACGTGGAATGGCATCAACGTGGACTCGACGGGCCAATGGCGGGCGCGGACGTCATGCTAATCCATCTGGTGGGCAGGGATGGCCGCCCAACTTGCAGGGATCGTGGCCGGTGGGGCAGATCGGGCGTTGAGATTGGTGGGCGGGATGCACTTGCATCGGCATTTCAGTGGACGATCTCCTCTTACCCAGTATAGAAATACCGGTGATGTAGATGTCAGGGGGATGCAAGTTCTGGAAGATGTATTGCTTGTATGTGGTTAGCTCAGCTCATGCATTATCTGAAGCTGTTATGTGGAAAAGGTATTGATCAACATCATCGTATCATCACAATCCAACAACTCCATTCCGTCAAACCACGGCATTATGACGACCACCGTGGGCTCATTCGGCCACAGAACACTTCCCCACATGCATTCTTTGTGGATTCACCAACTCACCAACAACAAGAAACATGAATGTGCTGATCAACCAACTCCAACGCCTCACCAGTTGGGTGCGAGCTTCATCCCCGCTCTCCGTGCACCCCACCCACGCTGCCTGCGGCTCATGTCTCTCAGTCTACTCCTATGAACTACTTTATCGCGCCCCCTGCCCCAACCACCACTACTTCTGCCGCGCCTGCTTGGTTATCTTCTTCCGGTGCGCCCTGGACCATCCCCTTCGCCTCCCCCAATCCTGCGGGTACGGCATTACCCCCGAGCACGCAAGCCACGTTCTGGGCGTAGAAAGACGTCAAGAGATCGAAGCTGCAATTGGTAAGTATCGGGACTATAGCCCCGTATACTGCTACCGCTGCGGATGGTATCTTCCCTTGTGGAAGAGAAAGACCCCCGTGACGACCTGTGACCGATGCCGTCAGCGAATGTGTATGACGTGCCGGTCGAAAGCGCATTCGATGAAGAAGAGGTGTGGTAGGACAGAGGGGTTAATTCGGCCGGTAGCAGGGCCGGGCCAGTGTGGGATGTGTTTGGAGAAGAGTCATTCCGGCCCGTGTGCGGATGGGTCCGATAAGGTGTTCATGTTGGCGAGGAAGAAGAAGTGGATCCGATGTGAAACGTGTCGTGCGATGGTGGAGAGGACCATCGGGTGTAGGGAAGTCTGGTAAGTTGGTTTGTTTCCTTTTCGGTTTCGGCCTTTCCTTTGGTCTTGCTTGGGGGAATGTCAAAAACCGGCTGACTTGGGAGCAGGTGTCGGTGTGGAACCATGATGTGTTATAACTGCGGCAAGCGCATGTGGTGCTGTATATGCCGGTATCATTGAGAATTTGGCTAGGAGTTACTGGCGAGGGGGGGTGGCTTTTGGCTCGGTCGTTTCAGTGGACTTGGACTTGATCATGGCAGACAAAGATCAGTAATCCGATAATCTAATGTGTTGGTTCTGGCCGTGGTCTGAGGTGTAAAGGACACCCTTCTTATAAGTGATGCGCGTTCTGAGCTTAGTGGCTTAGAATTCGAGTCCTTTGCCAGATAGCGTAGCTGGTAAGCTCTTAGGCCTGGTACGATTCACTCTGGAAAGCGCACTTAGAGTGGGATTGTGACACTGAGTCCCCAGGACGACGTGATTAAAAACATTTAATCAAGTAATGCAACACCACACATTATGTTCTTTAGGGAGATTCAATGCGGCTTTCAAGCTAATTTCTGAAGACGGCGAGTTAGCCACAGATCTGGATGAAAATGTCATCACACCCACTTACGGGGTCTCTTTCTCACACTTTTACATCAGCTGCTGTATTTTGTGCATCTCCTGCCCAGTGGTTGATCTTGAATTTCGTTCTCTGGGCCATGTTCCGGGGCAGCAGATCACTAAGCTGGGCCCCTGATGATGAATATTACTCCGTCGATATCGCGTCCAATGAACGTGGCAGCTGACATCAGCATTCATCAGAGAGTTTGTCTGAGCGAATCCGCATAAACTTCCCGCGACTGCAGGCACTTCTTCAAGAGTCAGCTGTTAAGTGGAGGAAAGGAGCCTGGATGAGACCCGTATCCCATCAATCGAGTCACGTAGACATGTCACTCTACTCCACTGGGAAAGTACCAAGCCCTCCAGAACTGGCAAACTCTCATTCAAAAGACGGCTAATGATGAGATTTAAGGGAAATGAAACGGGCTGGAAAGTCATGCCATGGAAACTTAACGGCAAGCAAAGTAATCGTGATTTTGGGCGTGTATGGAATGGCCGGCAAATATAGATGGAAAGTGCGGCAAGAGGGCATTGTGACGCAGAGTGGAACAAGTTGGCCATGGTATTGTAAGTATTTCTGTTTGAGTCCATAGCAAAGATAGTAGTGGTAGGTCTATGAGGGGTTGCAGAAGGATTTTGCTTGGGACCAGTTGTAGTGAAGCCGAGCGGCTCGATCTCTAAGATATAGAAGCCCTCTCCTAAAGTGGTAGCGTAGCGTACATTACGGAAAATCAATCACGGTAGTTGAAAAAGAGAAAGTCTGGTATATGGACACGACAAAAGTATTTACATGAATCAGAATCCCAGAGGATCCACCTGGCCCAGGAACGAATTATTGCCCTCGCCACGCAACAACGCCTGAATGTCCACTCGTCCAGAGGTGATGTACCGCTCGCTCACGCCCACGTTGACCCGCTGAGAGAGCAGGTGTTTCAATTCCGCGCGCATACCGGCCAATTCGTTCTTCGAGACTTCGCTGGCTTTGCGTTGCTTATCTTGACGGCCGCGGCCGCGACCACGTCCACGGCCCTGGGCACTGTCGAATTCCTCGCTGTCATATTCGACGCCGAGGTCCTCGGCTGCTGCCCGGAGCCAGTTGTCTTCGGCGGAGACCTTCTCCTTGGCAATGTTGGAGTCGGCGATCTTAGCGGCCAGGTCGACACGTTGGCGCACCCGAGCGACGACCCGACGGTCAAGTTCCAGTGACTCCAGGGGCAGTTTCTTCCCGTTTGCCATGTTGGCGTGTACCTTCGCGGCTAGACGGACGACTCCGACCATTTCTTCGGGGGCGCAGATGATCACACTCTTTCCTGAGGCACCGGCACGGGCGGTACGTCCGGATCGGTGGACGTAGGTGTCGGCTGTGCGGGGGGCGTGGTAGTGGATGACGAAGTCGATGCCCTTGATATCGAGACCACGAGCGGCGACGTCGGTGGCGACGAGGATGCTGCTGGGGTCAGATGTGGGGGAGGAGAATCGCTCGACGGAGCGCAGACGAGCTTTTTGTGCCATGGACGAGTGGAGTGCTAGGGCGGGCAGTTGGAGGTTCTGGAGGAACTGCGTGAGGCGGCGGACGGCGGAGATGGAGTTGGTGAAGACGAGAGTTCGGTGTTTGGGGTGGTAGAGTAGAAGAGTGTAGAGATAAAGATCCTGCAGACATCGCGTTAACCGGTGATCGCGTGCTATACAGGGTGTTTACGTACCTTCTCCATGGCTGCACACTCGGCAATACCCTCCTTGAGCCCTTCAGCCATCTGAGAGACCGGGTTGGTGTCGATAAACTTGGGTTTCTCTTCGCGGAAGTTGAGCTTCTGGAGGAGGTATTCCATGGATTCCTTATTGTCCATGATATCGCCTCCAGCCCAACGTGCCTTTCCGGCGAGCTTCTGCTGCAGGTCACGGTGGAAAGTGGCGGAGAAGACCAAAGTCTGCCTTTCAGATCGGGGATCAGACTTTTCTTCCTCAGCTTCGCTGTCCTCCTCGCCGAAGTTTCCTTCCTCGACACGATCGAGAGCACCAAGGATCTCTTCGGCCTCTTTGAAGTGGCCCTCGCTGAGGAGTCTGTCCGCTTCATCGATAACCAGAAACTTGATTTGTTGCATCTTGCGAATCAAGCCCTGACCGCTGCTAAGCACCTCCCATACTCGACCAGGGGTACCGATGACAATGTCAGCCCCTGCCAGCACTCTCTGCTGTTTCTGCACGGACAAACCACCAGTGAGGAGGGCGATGCGAGCACTGGCGCCGGGAGCGTGGGTAGAAAGATCGCCGATATGTTTAGCCAATTGATGTGCCAGCTCTCGAGTGGGGGATAGAACGAGAGCAATGGGAATGGTTTCCTTCTTCTCTTTCTCCTTGCCACTGCGCAGATCCTTCCGTCTTTGTTCGAGGTAGTGTTCGAGAATGGGGATACCGAATGCCAATGTCTTTCCAGAACCTGTCGACGCCTTGCCAACGACATCGTGACCATCCAGAATTTGGGGAATACAAGACTTCTGAACGAGAGTGGGCGTAGTGAACTTCATCTTGGACAGACTGGTGAGAATTTCGGGAGACAGGCCGAGCGATTCCCACTCAGAGACATCCACACCGTCGTCGTCCTCTTCATCCTCGAGAGCTGCAAACGAGAGTCCAGGCTTGATGTTATTATCCTGCTGGTTGGGTGTGGTCTTTTGTTTGGCTTCCTTTTTGGCCTTCTTTTGCTCCTTTTGCTCCTTTGCGTTCTTCTTGCCCTTCTTGTCCTCCTTTACCTTGGTCTCGACGGCATCTTCGTCTTTTTGCTCTTCCTTCGGGGTAGATTCCTTTGCCTCGGTCGTCTCATTGTCGCTGAAACCGGACCATTCATCATCTTCAAACTTTGATTCTTCCTCCTCCGGCGCCTTCTTCTTCAGGATCGACTTCTTCGGTTTACCGGATGCCGCCTGAATCGTCAATTAGCTTTCTCCCAACAACACAACCTCACCAACCCATACCTTGAACCGGATGCCTTCACTACCCCCCGACTTGATAACGTCCACACCATCAATTTCCTCCAAACCGAAGAAACCACCCGCATCCTCAAGACGATCGGGTAGCGCAACCTCTTTCCAGTTGAGATCATTGACGGTGACGCTTCCGTCCCAATCGCTGTCCTCAGCCGCGGCGGCGTCCTTCTTCCTCTTCTTCGACTGCAGGCCTGCGCCCTTCGGATCGCGCTGTCTCTTCTGACCCATGATTGCAAATTTCCCCTGGCCAAATATAACGACTCAGAGATGCGAGGAGAAGGCCAGCAATGCCGCGGCGCGAAGAAGGGAAGAAAAAAAAGCGGCAGAAAGCCGCCGCCCTGGGGGCCGTGGAGGTTAATCTTATCGCCGCCCCACGAGAAAATCCGCGAAATTCCCCTCGACCAGCCCAGCAGCGTCAATCCCCTCAATCCACCCCACCGCCACCATGGGTAAATCCTCCAAAGACAAGCGCGATGCCTACTACCGTCTGGCCAAGGAGCAAAACTGGCGCGCCCGGTCCGCCTTCAAACTCATCCAAATCGACGAGCAATTCGATCTATTCGAGCACGAGAACCCCGAGAAAGTGACCCGTGTCGTCGATCTCTGCGCCGCCCCGGGCAGTTGGAGTCAAGTCCTGAGTCGCGTGCTCATCAAGGGCGAGAGTTTTGGTCGTCGCGCCTGGGTCGAGAAGAAGCGCAAAGAACGGGAAGCCCTCGAGCGAGTTCAAAATGGCGATACCACCACCATCCCCGCCAACGAAGACACCGACATGGCCGAGCTGAAGCCCCGAAAGAACGTCAAGATCGTCTCCATTGACCTGCAGCCCATGGCACCCCTCGAGGGAATCACCACCCTCAAAGCCGACATCACTCACCCCTCCACCATCCCTCTTCTCCTGCGCGCTCTGGACCCCGAAGCCTACGACTCCACCACCTCGTCCTCTCCCTCCGCCGTCCGACCCCCCCACCCCGTCGACCTGGTGATCTCCGACGGCGCCCCCGACGTAACCGGTCTCCACGATCTCGACATCTACATCCAGTCCCAATTACTCTACTCCGCCCTGAACCTCGCCCTGGGCGTCCTCCGCCCCGGCGGCAAATTCGTCGCCAAGATCTTCCGCGGCCGGGACGTCGATCTCCTGTACGCGCAACTCCGGACCGTCTTCGAGAAAGTCAGCGTCGCAAAGCCCCGAAGCAGTCGCGCCAGTAGTCTGGAAGCCTTCGTCGTCTGCGAGGGATTCATCCCGCCCTCCATCCACGACGGAACCGACGCCCTCAAGAACCCCGTCTTCGGCGGCGTGGCTGTCCGGCCGCCCGTTTCCGCCGACGGCAACGTCGCCGTCGAGGTCCGCGAGGACAACAATGAAACAGAGTCCATCAAGGTGACGCATCTCCCTCCCGCAGCAACGACATTGGCTACGGACTCAACTCAAACTCAACCACGACTGCTCCACGCCGACTCCTTGGCCTCCGTCACGCCCGTACCCCTGGCCTATAAGCCGCTTTCTGAGAAATTCGCCGTCGAGAACAGGTGGATCCCACGGTTTATTGCGTGTGGTGATCTCTCGGCGTGGGATTCCGATGCTTCGTACACGCTGCCTCCGGATCATGTCAGTTTGGATCCGGTTCAGCCGCCCACTGCGCCGCCGTATCGGCGGGCTTTGGAGCTGAGGAAGGAGAAGGGTGGTGCGTATGGAAAGACCAAGTTGGGTAGTATGGGACGTGCATGAGAGATAGACAGAGATGTGATATTACTGCGTTTTGGAATATTGGCGTATAAAGATATCTTCTTGTTCATATTAGTTATGGTTACGAATTTTTGTGTCAGTGTCAGTTTGGCGGGAAAAGTTGGATGTGCTTAGAATTGGCTGCTAGATGGAAAGTGAGGGGTACGGAGGTCTAGATGGATAGAGCAGATACCCATAGAATTACGATAGATGATGATACAAAAGAGTGAAGGCAGTGGCAATGTAGTGGTATCACCAAGTTCAATATGTGCAGGTCTATGTAGATCAGGTGTCTATGCTGGAATGCGCTAAACTTAAACAGGACGGACAGATCATCACATCATGCGCACGCTAGAAATCCCCACCTCGTCACAACTTTTCAGCCTCCGCTTAGTACACCTCGAGAACGTATCTCTCCTCGTCCTTCAACTTCTCGATCTCCTTGCGCGCATCGACCTTCTTGCCCAGGTTCTTGGCCTCGGTAGTGATGGCCTCCTCCAGCACGGCCGTGACATCGGGCACGGGCCAGGTGGGACCACACAGGTAGAAGGCACCCTCCTCGCGGATGTACGCCTGGATAATTTCAGGCAGGGTCTGGCGCATGCGATCCTGGATATAGATCTTCTCGGGCTGGTCACGGGAGAAGGCACGGCCGAGGACGGTGATAACGCCGGCCTCCTGGTAGGCCTCCCACTCCTCACCGTAGCAGTACTCCTCGCGCTGGTGGCGGGAGCCCATGTACAGCAGAACGGCACCAATCTCCTTGCCCTGAGCCTTCTCGAGAGCACGGTGCTGAACGAAAGCACGGAAAGGCGCCAGACCGGTACCAAGACCAGCCATAATGAGAGGCTGAGTGGACTTGGGAGGCAGCTTCATCACGCTGGACTTGACGCTGACGGTGATCGGGGTGCCAGGCTGGAGTCTGCTCAGGTACCGGGTGGCCAGACCGAAACGGTCACGGCCAGTGGGGTCCGACCAGGTGACAGCAACGATCATGAGCGCCACGGAGGTGGGAGTCACCTTCTGGCAAGAAGCAATGGAGTACTCACGACGCTTCAGAGGACCGACAATACGGATCAGGTCGTGGAAGTCAGGGTGGGCCGAAGGGTACTGGAGCAGAATGTCGGCGAAGGTAACAGTGTCAACCTCAGAGCGGCGCTTGAATTCCACAGCACCTTCGGGGCCACCCAGGGTGAGAAGATCGGTCTTCTCCTTCTCGTCGCTGGCGAACTCCGCAAGAGCTTCGTAGAAGCGCTTGGGCGGGCGACCGAAGATATCGACGTTCTGGACAAGCGCCTGGTAAACAGTGCGGTTTTCCAGGACGGCGGGGTCCTCACGGCTGGGCACCTCGACGACATCATCAGAGTTCAATCCGTAGAACTGAATGAACTCCTCGACATCCTTGGGGTCGTTCTCGGCGTGGACACCCAGAGCCTCACCAATGTCGTACTTCAGTCCAGAGTCACCCAGGTCGAACTCGATGTGGAAGATGTTACGGTCATAGGTAACGGGAGTCAGGCGTCTGTTTTCCTTGACGTGGACAGTGAAGGTCTTGGTGGCGGTCTCAGGGCGCAGAGCGTTCCGGGTGCCGTAGGCCTCCTTGAAGGCGAGACCCTTGGCAGCAGCCTGCCAGTCCTTAAGGTACGAGGCAGGCTCACTCTCTTCCTTGTCAAAGGACACGAAGCTGTTGGGAGAGATGTCCTTGGGGAGCTGAGCGGCTTGGGCACCCTCCTCAGGGGTCTTCCAGGCCTCAGGGACTTCGATCTGGCGGAGCACCTTCTCGAGGTCCTTGCTAACATTCTCCAGAACATCGGCATTGCCAGCAATAGAGGCCAGCTTCTTGATGCCCACACTCTCCTGGGAAGGCAGAGCCACGCGCAAGAAAGCGACTTGAAGGACAGCAGCCTCGGGGGCGGACTCGCCAGCCACAGAGGGGTCGACAAGGTAGAGGGAAATTCCGCGCTCCGCAACAGCCTGTCTGAAGGCCACGGGCAGCTTCTTCTCCAGCTCATCATCTTTGACGCCGGGGGCGTTGACGATGACCTTGCCGTTGTCCTTGACGGAAGCAGCAATGTCGACGTCACCCAGCAGCTTGATGTCACCAACATATGCGGTCTCAGCAGCGGTGATGGCGTACGGAGCATCCACAATCTTGGAGCTCTTGCGGATGTCGACGCGGACGACACCGCCCTGGATGAGGTTGTCGTGAGCCTTGCTCGTGGTGACATTGCTTGCGGAATCAGCAGCCAGGGCCTGTGAAAGAGTGGTAGCGACGTCGCCACCAACAGAGTTGTCGACATCCCAGAATGTGTACTCCTGGACGGTGGCGGGGTCGAGCAGCTGGAGAGATTCGGCCTCGGCACCAGCCTGAACAATTGGCTTCTCGTGGACGAGCTGGAAAGCAGCGGCGGTGTTGATCAGATCCCAGCGCTGGGAGCGGGCGTACTTGATATCAATGCAAGTCGGGGTCTGCTCACGATCGGTAGCGAAGGTCAAAGCAGCAAGGACATCTTCGTACAGGACAGAGCGAACACCCTGCTCCTGCACAGCTTGTTCGTTGGAAACCTGGCCAAGAACACCGACGGTCTTGACAGACTTGGGCAGAACGCGCAAGAACTCCTCCTCAACGAAGGGGCGGTAGACGCGGACGTTGATGACACCAACGCGGACACCGTCCTTGGCCAAAGAGCGGGCGATCTGAGCAGTGAGCGATGCCTCGACAGTACCGAAGGCAACGAGAACGGAGACGGGCTCGGCATGACCGTGGTACTCAAAGAGGCCGTAATCAGTACCGAGCTCACCGTTCAAGGACTGGAGGAGCTCGAGCAGCTTGCCCTGGGTGTCGAGATGACGGCTGCGGGAGTCTTCAAGGGTCTTGCGAGCGGCCTCGTAGGTGCGAGAGAGGCCGGCCTGGTCGAGGACGTCAATGACGCGGGTCTGTTCCCGGCCGACGCGGACACCGTCATAGATGTGGACGGAGGGCAAGACCGAGGCAAGGAGGGTGGTGAGCAGTGCCATGTGCTGAGCTTCATGGACAGAGGCACTGGACACGAGACCGAGACCGAGTTCCTCGGCGAGGGAGAGAGCGGAAGCATAGTCGGAGACGAGCCCATCTTCACCGGCATAGTCGACAGCGGCAACGTGGGCGGCGACGGGGCTAGCGACGGAGTAGAGCAGAGACAGCTGCTCCAGGGCGGCCCGCATGTAGGGAAGAGTGGCCGACGAGGCAACAATTCCCTGAGGAACGTGGCGCTTCTTCAGATCGAAGTCCTGGGAGAAGATGTAACCGAGGGCGATGTTACCAGCACCCTGGCGAGTCTCCATGGCCTTGATCTCGGGAGATTCGCCATTGGCGTTGATCTCCTGCTTGGACGCCCATTCCCGGAGAGCAGCATCCAAGTCGAAGGACTCCGGAGAGTAGGAGAAGATCTTGTCGCTCAGCACATAAGCGACTTGCTGGATAAGCGTCTGGGCAGTGACATAAGTCGGACCGCCGAGGGTCGACAAGGCTGGGGATGGGGAGCCCATTGTGTAGGATTCTTGTCTGGGAATCGGGGTTCAGCCAGCCGATACCACCAAGATGAAGACAAGAAAACAAGAGGAGAGGAACGAACGGCGCCGGACTGAGAGGGGCGATGGGGGGATAAAAAGGCCGTCGCCGCCGCCGCCGCCGTATAGAAAATCCCAGGGGATCTTACCCCATCCGGCTAGTGGCAATCACGCAATTTCTTATCGATCGATTCGAAGGCGGGGCTTTGCGGCAGAAAATCTCCGCTCTCGGCCGTTCCCCGCATTAGTCAGGCGCACAGCCCCAGTGCAGCCTGAGGCAGAACTTCCTTCCCTCTTCCGGCCAAGCGTACTCCGTAGATCCGCTGATAGTAATCGTCCGCGATAAGTTCTGAGCTAAACGTCATCCATCTCCTGGTCTCACTATCCCTGCATCCCACTCACTACACATCACATCGTTCATATCTGCCACAATGGCCAACGTCGCCTTGATCGGTTGCACCGGCATGGTGGTAAGTCTTTCCTCAACTCTGCATCTCCCCATTCGCCAGCCCTGCCCTCTATCCGGTGCCAACCAAACCCAATGCGCCATCCAAACGCACTCACATAGCCCACCACTCCACCTCCCCTTCTCACCTCCTCTTCAATTAGGGAACCCACATCCTCACCACCCTTCTCAATAACCCCTCCATCGCCCGCATCGACACCATCTCCCGCCGCACCCCCCAACCCGCCACCACCGCGCCGCAAGAAAAACTCACGACCTTCACCTCCGACGACACCACCAAATGGGCCCCCCAACTCACCACCCTCACCCCACCCCCCAACATCTTCATCTCCGCCTTCGGCACCACCCGCGCCGCAGCCGGCAGCTTCGAAACCCAATACCAGATCGAACACGGCCTGAACGTAGAAATGGCGCGCGCGGCCCGCGACGCCGGCGCCAAAGTCTACGTCCTGATTTCCTCGACCGGCGCGGACAAGAATTCCTCGTTCGGGTATCCGCGCATGAAGGGCGAGATTGAGGAGGAGGTGAAGGCGATGGGGTTTGAGAGGACGGTGATTTTGCGGCCCGGGTTGATTTCGGGTGAGAGGCAGGAGAGTCGGCCTGCGGAGGCGGTTATGCGGTGTTTTGCGGGCTGGGTGGGGAGGATTCATTCGGGACTGAAGGATGGGTGGGCGCAAGATGCGGATGTTATTGCCAGGGCGGCGGTGAATGCGGGGGTTAGGGCGTTGGAGGGGGATGTGCCGACGGGGAGTGAGAGGGTTTGGGTGCTTTATGGGAAGGAGATTATTCAGTATGGGAGGGAGTGAGGTTGCTTTGCTGGTATAGTTGGATTGTTTGGTATTGTTTTGTATAGGGTGTAGTAATATTGTGTTTATTTCTAGAGATAGTATACAATACAACTCAACCTTCTTCTATTACAAACATCCACACCTTCACATTAATTCAGCACCAACAACCAGGCATCTGACGAAATACAATTCCAACTTAAATACAACATCTATCTAAATGCATCCCCTCAAACCTTCTTCTTCCAATCCCTCACCTCGCGATTCTTCCTCGTCCACCCCCTCGCACTCGGCCCCTCCTTCTCAGCATTATGATCCGGGCCCCCCTCCGTCGGCGGCCTCGCATGACTGACATCCTTGTTCCCAGGACTCACATCCAAAGGGTTACTCACTTTGCCCTGCTGCGCAGACTCCTCCTGCGTCGCCTGGACTTCACTCTCCGGGGCGGTATTGGACGGATCAAACGCCGCGTCGTGGCCGGCGACTTCGCTGTCCGTGCCGGTCTGGGAGGTCTCGGATCGTTGCGGGTCGAGGACGGTGCGGTCGCCGGATTTTTCTTCGCCTTTTTGTTGATGCGTTGCTTGCAGAGGCGCGATGGAGCGGAAGGTGTGGCGTTGAGTGATGGCGGGCAGGGTTCGAGCTTGGGTGGTGGTGGTGGTGGTGCGCTGGGCCAGGCGGCCGATTGAGGCGAGTTGTTTGATCATGGTGTTGCGGTCGATTGAGGGATTGGAGTTGGTGTTGTCTCAATTGATGGGAGAAGATAAATGTCTAATAAGATAGTAGTGGGTATGCGATGTATATACTGGCGTGATATTAGCCGTGAACGAGGTTCTAATTTGGGATGGGATTTCTGCGTACAGCGTGAAAATCTCTCTGCAGACAGAGAAGCGAGGAGTAAGTGACAATGAGGAGGAATGATGAGCGCTGGATTAGAAAGTTGGAGGAGAGAACTTTGGCTGGTCTACTATCATCTTGACGTCATCCACTGGGCCCGGGTGCATCGCGACCACGTGATCACCGATGTATATCCGGATGTACCTGCACTCTTCACATGGAAGGACAATGATCGACAAGGGCAGAAGAGGTGGTGAAGGCAGTCGTCCCTCGAGTTACCCGGAGAAAGCGGGACATACGTTACAATGTCTGGGTGACAGAAGAAGTAGTACAACAAAAGCCTAGCCATGACTGACCACCTCGACGAGAAGGCTGCGGACTGACTACCGAGCAGCCTACTCAAGGAGAAATGCAGCAAGGCAGACTTCCTCTACGATCAGACCCAGTCCCTCTAGCCGAAATGGAAACCTTGTGCTCCTCACTCCGAGAAGGGAAGGTACGGTCCCGTACTCATCAGGCCGCCACAGCGAGAGGCGGCAAAAAGAAAAGAGCAGTCTACAGAATCACTTGCCACGTCAATCATGCTACACGCGGATACCGCCTGGACTGAGCCCAGGCTACCGCAGTGTGATGGCACAGTCTCCGTGCATTCGGTAAAAGGCGCCTGATGCAAGACTCCAGGCCTGTCCTGATCGTGATATGCAGAGTCCCAGACTAGCGAAAGTCGCCTCATGGTTCAGGCTTCAGCGCTGGCCGCTGATGGTTTCGCAGACAGGGGGTGTTTATGGACCGGGCCACGACTCCGGACGAGAAGATTATGCCCGAAAGGGAAGAGAGGTTACGCCAGTCGAGGCGCATCGATCAGACGTCGTGGTGGGCACTGTGTCAGGAGCAATAACATGTTTGTGCAACATGCAAGGCTGAAGGCCTCAAACTCGAGGCCCGCAGAGCGATACTTGCAGGTGCCAGCTTGCAGATGCGAGGTCCCGCCATGATTCTTCCCTGCTCGAGTCAATGGTCTTGGTGTCTAGGCGTTTTGCGGGCTAGGAATGCAATGGCAGGGTTCCGTTTAGCTGCATATCCCACCCGGCCAGCTGGATCATGTCATTGGATGCAGCCCGCTGACACCATCGAATATGCTTTACCGCACCGACCAATCCAATCTCGTAAGCCGGAAACAGAGGAAAACGCTTTCTCACCTTAATTGTTCCAAAGGTCGTTTGACCTATTCCATTTGTCCACTGCAAGAAAAAGAGGGATGCGTAGATGCGCAGAGGGTTCCGGTCACGTTACAGTCACGGGACTGGAAATCCCAGTATTCCGGTGCGTGTATGTGGGTCACGAAATCCAATTTCAACGTCGCGAATAGCTCGATCGAACGCAGAGTAGGATATGGGAACAAGTTTCTGGATAGTTGAAGCCCAAAAGCAACTCACCAGTATCAGGCGTGAATCCGGGACTCTGGCTGGTTGGCTAAGGACAATGTACCGGCCTTATCGAGACGAATCCTGGTTACAGAAGTACAGTTGCCACAGGCAAGGCTGGGCCAGAAACATCCGAAGTAAGACAGCTTGCTAGAGAAGGCAGGAGGGGTGGCAAATCGCGTTGCAGTACCAACACGGTGCACGTCTGGGGTGGCAGAATAGTTGGTTATCGGCGTTGCCTCCTTGTTGCGGCTGTAAGCCAGAACCGATAGTCGCTGAGTTGGCAACCGACATCATTCCATGTTAGAATTCACAGCACACAAGGAACCTAGTCGGGTTGCCCGACGATCCAATGCTGTGATGGGAGGGACAGACGCACGAAAGAGTTCCATGCAATCAATTCGAAGGATGGCCGGGCAAGCGGAGATTCGGGTACGTTGACCCCCTATAGGTCAATGCTGGGAAACTGCAAGGCCGCCTTGCTGAGAGTTCCATGGGTTCTGTACACCATCTTCTGTTCGAGAATTCCCCTCTTCACCACCAGAGACCGAGATTTCGACCGCCTCGACCAGCCGAAGCGTGCCACGTCAGTGAGTCTCCAAGCCTTAGTGCAGCTGCACGGGTTCAACAGTAGGTGCACCGTACCACGGTCTGTATCTGCCATGGCTGATGTACAGAAACGACATCCTATCATATTGACCGAGGGAAGCAGGCAAATGAAGATAAACCCTGCACCTGAGCGGGGGCGAATGCGGGATTATTCGTCTGCAGGTGTGGGAGATCAGCTGAAGAGAATCGGTCCTGAATGAAATATTGAGCTCATCATGCAACTGCATGTCATGTTGACTCCCGAGGTAGATTCCAAGGACGCATTGGACGCCAATGAAGGTCCCCTAGTGACGCGTCTCTCGCCACTAGAGGCAGAAACATCTGGTCCATGATAGCCAGACGGAAACATGCGGAGTACACGAGACAGGCATTGGCACGGAAGCCAGATTCCTCCGTGGACGAGCGTTCGGGGTACATGGGAAAAGGAACTTGGTAGGGTTGCAACTGGGTGACGGCACCCTTGACCCTTTGGGCATGCTAGGTGTCAGCTAGAGGGATCAAATTAAAAAAGAAAAAGAAAAGAAAAAAACGAGTGCCAATAGGCAGTCATTCTCCCAGATTCATCCTCCTCTCGGCCCAAAGCCCGTATCGGAGTTCATGGCACTAGGCATGTTCGCGTGTGGACTAATTGGTTGTGAGTGAGTAGCCACAAGGCCATGATGGTAAGGCATCTAACAAACCAGACTAAGTGATCATGGCAATGATCACACTGATCCTGCAAAACGGAACCGTGCTTTTCTCCTCCACTCAAGTCGGAACGCTAGGTTCCTCTGGGATGGAGAGAGGGCAAAAAAGGTTTCGACGGTGAGACGGACGGCATGACAGCTGGCACGAAGTAAAAAATGCGGTTTATTTTTTTTCCTCATGCAGGAGCTTTGATTCAGTAACTGTGACGCCTGTTTCGTTCTCGAAGGACAACTCCGTACGCAATGAAGATGCATAGAGGAAGCGGGGATGATCGTTGGAGCAACCACGGCTGCAATGACAATCCTCGCCAACAAAATGAAAACTGTCGATATCAGATGAGGGATTTTCAGGTGCTCAACTTGAAATCAGGAGAAATGATACTGCCACGACAGCAACACGCATGCATCCGTGAAGCATCCACTGACTACAAGGGACCGGAATAGGAAGGTTGTGGATAATTTGTGTCTCCACTGCAGAAGATCCCAGCATAGCCAACCGGAAAAGCACTGGATGAAAGAGATGTGAAAGCTGAAGTAGTCGATAAGCCATCGTATGTTGAGGGGGCGTTGATCGACAGCTGACAGGCATAGTACGAGAGATGCCTTAACATGGAAGCTTCCTGCGAAACATAAATAGGACCCCGGGCCTTCCAGTCGATAGAATCTGGATCATTAACCGTTTCAGACTCTGCTTCCTCAACAGTGATCGCAAGAGATAGAGCATCGTTCTTGAACAGAAGTGTTTCATTCTAAAACGACCATCAACCTTCCATAGGCTTCGTGCAAGCTCAGCCTATCAAATCTCTGCAGCGCGGCAGGAGCATTTGGCAGGGCCAATAGAACATAGTTTAGCCGGGTGAAACAAGAAACTGCATTAGCAACAAGTGAGTTTGACCACAACTCGATGAGACATTAGCTGACGGGTATAATAGAAATGTGTTTCTACAACCAGAAGAGATTTTCATGCGGAGACTGGAGCTGGACAAGTTTTGCTCACCGCTGCAATTATGAATACCGCACTGGAGAGACCTGCGGTATGCGACTCGTCAACGTGACCGAGTTTGAAACGACACAATGCCGCCTCTGCGAAAAGATCGATACCAAGTTGCGGCGGCGAAGCGCCGAGACGGAACGTTTGAGCCGATGGAGACGGGAGGGAGGCACTCTCGTAGCATCCATGGAGCGGTCCCACAAACTCATCACGGAACTCGACAAGGAAATCCGCCAACTGCAATGGGAGCGTGAAGAGAGAAGGAACGCGCTGAATTCAAGGTAGCACCGAGGACTTTGAGGGCCATGCGTTGGGCCACTTGCTATTGTTTTCTCTGTGTTTAGGATTCCCTCTCTGTTTCTGTCTTTCGGTTTCCAATCGTGTTCCGGGCTGTAAATTCTATGTCTCACAACGAGTGTGTCACTCTGCTCCTTTGATTTCTGTGAAATTTCTTGTTTTATGTGGTCGTCGAATCGGACATGTTTCTTCAGGCTGGACCCGCGCAATGGTTGGAGGAAAAGCCTGGATCCAAAATCTGCTGTGAGAATTTATGAGATCCAATGAAATGGTTTCATTCCCGCAAATCTGGCAACTTCATACGGTGTCCGCGAGAAGGAGTTCCACATCATAAGCGCCTATGTTCCTGACGAGCGGCTCGCCAGAACAAGGATGAGACCCGGCCTCCCTTGGCAATTGAGGGAGATGTAGGAGCCATTGTGAGAAGAGAATTTCAGACCCGAGGGTTATCAATCCACGGACCATACCAAGAGCAAGCTGTCCTGGTAAACCCCTTGTATCCCTGGCTGGTGATGGCCGATGCTAACTGTCTCCAGGGTCGAGATAGGATCTGGACTGGAGACGGTACCCCGCGTTTCGGCGGCCCACCGCACGTGACGTCCCCTCCACCACTAGCTAGTGAGTCCCTCTGCTGGCTTGCTTCTTCTCATCGATAATCTTCAAGGAAGCATAGCCAACACTGACATGCCATGACTTCACTCTGATGATTTATTTCCAATTATTGAATGGTTCTAGGGTATACATACGTCCCTCAATATCCTGATGCTCACGAACTTTCCCTTGACACTGCCGATGTATATTCCAAAATGTCCGGCAAGTTCAAATCGAAAGGAGATATCATAGCTCGTCGATTCCGCTGGTAGCGAGGCGATGGTGTTGCCAGCAAGGCACCGGCTCGATTTCTGGGGCTTCCTCTATATATAGGACCCTCGCAGACTCATCAAAGTTCCGAAACATTCAGCATCTGTTCAAGCGCCCGGGGTGCTCGAGGGTTGAAGACTACGTGGACCATTCATATCCAAAGATCAAGGATGGGTTTGGGCAATTTTGGTCGACAGGCGTGAGGGTGAACATGCACTGAATTGTCCGATGCGCAATTCGACATCGCCGCTTGCCACGTCACCCGCGGACAACGTCAGTTGCTCTTCAGATGCAGCTGGAGGGGTTTACCCGCTTCGTGAGTAATTTCGGCAACCTGCCTTAATAGCTTACATATATAAGATCGTAGGAAATCTACATGATAGGCTTTGGGCATCAACTTCACCGAAAACACGTGGGATTATCTGATCAAGTAGCGGGATGGGGTCGTTTTCTCATTTATTTAATCTCGCCAGCCTCGGGCTCGTCATCAACCTTGGCCAATCCATGCTCTTTCAGGAGAGCATTGATCTCGTCGGCATTCCACAGGTGGTGGTAGATCTTGCCTTCCGGCGTCCTTCCCACCGTAGCGAACTCAACTAAAGGAGCCAACACATTAGTCTATGTCACGGGACAATAGCATAGGTAGTACCCATGCCTGCAGTAATGAGGGACCAGGTGTTCGGTAGAGACTTACTCTTCTCACTGCTCAGCTTGGTCGAGTCCATCGTCTTGCTCAGGACCTTGACAGCCATGGCGCAAGCTTCCTTCAGATCACAGTCCTCCTTGTAATCTTGCTTCAACAGACTCTGAGCGCTTGCATTGTTTGCTCCCACGCTGGTTGCTTTCCAGCCACCGTAGTTACCACTGGGGTTGCTCTGGTACAACTGGAACTCCCGAAGAGGGTCGTAGCCTGCGTAGATGAACGACACACCGAATGGACGGAGACCACCATGCTGGGTATATCCTTGCTTCAGATCGCACAGACGGCGGACAAGTTGCTCGCAAGGGATCTCTTCGTTGTAGGTGAGAAGATACCGCTGGGCGGCTTGTCGGGCATAATTGATAAGGATGTTCGCGTCTGCCGTCATACCAGCAACAGCACAGATCATGTTGCTGCCCAAAGGTTAGCTCCTAGACACCTAGGACACTGATGATTTGCTGGGGTCGTGATGCATACTCATTCAGCGTGTAAAGCTTCTCCGCAGATGTGTCCTGCTCCAGCAGCTTGCTAGTGACCTTCTTCTCTGCCGCAAGGACGATTCCATCCTTGGCCAGAATACCTAGGGCGGTACCGGCATGCGAGATGGCTTCTAACGCATATTCAACCTGGTAGAGTCGACCTTCGGGGGAAAAGATGGTTGTCTGTCGAAGGACGTCATCGGATCAGCTAGAGCTCCAGGGAACGGGAATTGGGGGATAGACATACCCTGGAATCGTATCTCCGTGACATTTTGAATCTAACGTGAAAGCGGAGTAAATTATGGAGAAATGCTCTGGTTGAGAAAAAAGACAAGGGAAGGGAGGATTGGAGATGGGGAATGAGTGCCGGGGCAAGCTGTGCAGGAAGGTCGGCTGAGCTCCCGATGAGTGACCAGGCAACTTCGCCCTGGCGCGTCCACCACCCAAGACTCCGGACTGACCGTCAGCCCGCCAAGCTCGGACCACCCTGAACTCTCAATGCGAAGCTCGCTGCCGGCGCAAACCCGCTCCGGAAATCTTTCCTCCAGACGACACCCTATGCGTTGTGATACAATTGGCGCTTGATCCATAAATCTGCGCGCAATTGTTTGGATCTTTTTTGATCACAATGCTTAGATCCACCTATGTCCCACCCCCGCCGTTACCGCCAGGATGGACCGAACATAAAGCTCCCACCGGTTTGCTACCATGATTCTAGTCTTCTTTAAAAGGCCTTTCTAATGAATGCCAGGTCATCTGTATTACTACAACTCTCAGACCAAACAATCCACCTATACTAGGCCTCAGGCGGCCCCCGTACAACCTCCGCCATCCGCACCGGCACCGGCACCGGCACCCACGAATAATGCGCCATTTCTGACACCGGATACACTCCCTCCTTTCTCCTCCACACCATATGCCCCTCACGGGTTCGGGTATGGCGCCGCCTCTCATGGAGCACAGCATGACGGCCAGTCTCGCGGAGGTTTTCGTGGCGGAAGAGGATACCATGATCGCAAGCACCGGGGGCCAGAAGATCGACCAAAAACAAAACATGATATCCCGGGCTGTGCGCCATGGGTGCTCGTGAGGACCAAACTGGGGCGAAGGTTCGTCTACAATCCAGAGACGAATGAGAGTTTTTGGAAGATCCCTCCGGAGATCTTGGTGGGAGTCGTCGAGTACGATCGCTTGGAGAGAGAGGCCAAAGAAAGGAAGGCGCGAGGCGAAGAAGTGGAGGACGTCGCGAAACCAGAACTCGAGGCTGATACTTCCGATCAACAAAAGCGGGAAGAAGTGGGAACTGGTGCCGCTGCGGAGGCTGGAGAACAAAGCGATGAGTATGAAGAAGTCGAAGTCACCGATACCGAGGGCGAAGAAGAACCTTCTTTCAAGCGACCGAGGACCGATGGAGAAGAAGAGCAACAGCAGCCTATGGAGTTTACGGAGGAGGATATGGAATACCAACTAGCGGCTATGGGAGAAGAATATGGCCTCGACCCTGGGGAATACGGCGAACCTGGAGAAGACGAGTGGGAAGAGGGCGCAGAAGGGCTACCACTCACGGAGGAGGATGCTACGGCTCTGTTCCGCGATCTCCTCGATGATTATCACATTAACCCATTCTCTACGTGGGAAAAGGTCATCGAAGAAGGTCACATCATTGATGATACTCGCTACACAGTACTCCCGAACATGAAGACGCGTCGTGAAGTATGGTCCAATTGGACCCGGGACCGCATCCAAGACCTCAGGGAACGGAAAGCAAAGCAAGAAAAGAAGGATCCACGCATAAAATACCTAGCCTTCCTCCAGGAACATGCCACGCCCAAGCTGTATTGGCCCGAATTCAAACGGAAATACAGAAAGGAGCCGGAAATGAAGGACACGCAACTCTCAGACAAAGACCGAGAAAAGTACTATCGTGACCTGGTTTCTCGGCTGAAGCAGTCAGAAAGCACGCGGAAGTCGGAACTTTCAGCACTATTGAAATCCGTGCCACTTCACGAACTGAACCGGTCGTCGAACCTGGAAGCACTCCCTCCCGCCATTATCACTGACCTCAGATACATTGCGCTTTCGCCCAAAGTGCGTGACCCGCTTATTGAAACCTACATCTCTACCTTGCCTTCTGCGCCGGAAAGCGACATGACCGCCGAAGAAAAAGAGGAACTAGACAAAAGGAAGGTGGAACGTGACCGACGCGAAAAGGCGCTGGCAGAACGAGAGAAACAGGTGCAAGAGGACAAGCGAAAGCAAAGAAGTGATCTTGTTCGTGGTAAACACCTTTTGAAAGAGGGTGAGGCGGAGATCGAGGAAGCCATGAGAGTCAATAAGGGAGGCCTCCGAAGCTATATGGAAGCTGAAGATCAGTCTTCGAAGGGCGAAGGCGAAACCGCCAGCCAACAGCCATGAATATTTAAGGTGGGCAACCCGTGTGATCTATAGAAGCATACTGATGATTGCAAATGACTGTAAAAATACATGCTCAATCCTTTTGGCTGATCTGGTTTACATTCTCGCCCGTAGATACCAGGGGTCCATGTTAGACAAAGTTAGGGTACAATATGCCGCTCCAACATAACCCGAGACACCGCCCACGCTGCCAAAAGTGTACTGTGGCCCATTAAGAGAATTAATAGCACTGCCCTGTGATTTCACATCCATATAGCTTATTGGGTATCACTGTAAGTAAAGTCCGGGACCTCCCTCGTATGAAATGACGCCTTTTAGTTGCCCACGCCTGACCGTCGCTGCGTAAATTCATTTGAATCTCCAATTATCCCAGTCGTCGTCATAATCGTCATCGTCGTCGTCGTCATCTTCATCGTCATCATCTTTTCCCGCAGAAGGATTGTGTTGATCCTCTGGGGTGACGGCCGATGACGACTCGTCCATCTTTTGCACTTCAGCATCTTCCGCAGTCCTGAGTTTCCTTAACTCTTCCCGCTTATGCTTCAGGCGTCTAACTCGTTCCTCTAGTTGCTCCATCTCATCGAATTCGTCTTCCATAAATCGCGCCGCATCTTCCCGCTCGCCTTCCGCCTCAGCCTCCCGGCTTTTCTTGATTGCCTCAGCTTCTTTCTGCTGTTGCGCGGCGAGTTCTTCTGCGGATACAGGGGCTGCTGATATAGTGGCTGCCGCTTCAAGCGCAGCAGGCCGATGCGGCATGCGGGTTGGGGCCGCGACTTCGCGCTCGAACGCAGCCCATTCATCTTCATCGATGACCTCGGTGGTCGCGGCAGACGGTTCGGAGGCTACAAGGGATATGTCTGATGGCTGTGCGATCGATTCAGCAGATTCCTGCTCATGTGCAGTGTCCGAAGGAAGCTGCTGTCCGGCGATATCTTGCTCCGATCCCTCTATTTCTTCCTCCTCCTCGATAGCTCGTGCACTGGGTGGCTGTACGGTGTGCGCGGTCGGCTGACCGGATGGCGCGCTTGTAGGTTTCATCCTCTTGCGCATCAAATCATCTGCCGGGTCTACCTTTCGCTTCTTGGTCACACGGTTCCCGGCGCTCCCTGCCTGGGATGAGCCCTTGCGGGCGGCGAGCTCACTGCGAAGTAATGATCGAACATCTGCCATGATCTGCAGTGAGTAAGGTGTGGATGCCAAAGATTATTGATATTGACTTAAAAAAAATTCTAGACAATACTTCAACGGGGTCAAGGGCACAGGGGATCGTGAAAAGTAAAATAGTCTATGTGGGGATCTGGAGAAGCTTTCGAGGGCGCCGAAAAATAGACGCGACGAGAAGGAGCCGAACGGCGCCTGCCAAGCCGTCTCCGCGGAGCCGCAGTCACGTGCGCAGCATGACTCAGCATCCCGAATCCAACCGCGACATCCTCTCCTCTCTTCTCACCATCTGTCTTCTTCTTCATCTCTCTACGCCCCCGCTGCCCGTCGCTGAACGCCTACCTTATCTCCAGTCACTCCCCCGAGACGTTTTTGCGAAATTCTCCATCGTTAACGGCTGATTCACTCGGGGACAGCCGCCCAGACTCTGCGCAGTCTTCACGCGACCCCGCCCACGCCAAGCATTCACGCTGCGCGCGACAGCATTCAACGAGACTCAACACCACGCTGGGTCATACCACTGGCGGTCACGCGTTGTCTCTAAATAAAATCGCTGGACTTGCGAGGACAAAGTAATACTGTGTGGACCGGGCAAACAGGGCCACTTTCCAGTGCCTTCCTCTGTGTATTACTTTAGCCCATCTGATGCCGTAGAACGAGATTTGGGTGGTGTGCGCAATCCTTTTCCTGGGCCTTTTTACTCAGACCATACCCATCATCATCGCGCCGTAGAAATTTGAATCCCTGCCATCAGCTATATACTTTTATCATGGCCGGTAAGCTATCGTATACCAAAGTCTTGCGACCAGTGTCCGACCACACGACGTGTGGCGAACTGGAAGCATACTCAACTTTTGTCAGACAGAGCTAACTACCACCTCAGACGAACCACGACGCTCCGGTCGCTCGACCAAAGGTCAGCACAAGAACCTCGACATGATCACCGAGACGCCCGCGAAGAAGAGCAAGGCCAAAGCTCAGCCGAAAGAAAAGCCCCCGAAGCCCTCCGTCGAACCGACGCCTGCTCCCAGCGAAGAAGAAGAAATCATTCGATGCATTTGCGGTGAATACGAAGAGGAGGAGGACGTTGAGCGAGACATGATCTGCTGTGATCGGTGCTCTGCCTGGCAACACAATGATTGTATGGGCCTGACATACGCGAAGGGGGAGGAACCCGACGAGTACTTCTGCGAGCAGTGCAAGCCCGAGAATCACCCGGTGCTTCTACATAAAATCGCGCTCGGTGAGAAACCGTGGGAAGAGGCAGCCGAGAAGAGGCGCAAAGAAGCCGAGGAAAAGAAGGCATCTCGGCGCCGAAAGAGCAAGAAGGGTGGCAGAAGGGGCAGACCGAGCGAGCCTAAGTCAAGGGCTAGCGAACCCAAGACGAGTGAACCCAAGACCAGCGAGTCCAAGTCGAGCGAACCCAGAGCTAGCGAACCCAAGGCTAGCGAACCCCAGGCCAGTGAACCCACGGCCAGTGAACTCAGGGCCAGCGAGCCCAAGGCAAGCGAACCTAAAGCCGCCGAACCTGAGACGACTGAGCCCGAGACGAGCGAACCCAAGGCGAGTGAGCGTAAGACTAGCGAGCCTAAATCCGAGACGAGCATACCAGCTCGCGCAGCAACATCGTCAACACCTGCTCCAGCCTCCACTGTTTCTTCCTCCGTACCTGCTGCCCCTATCGAACCATCCCCAGCGACGACTGCAACGCCAGCCCCTGAGAAGAACGGCCATGTTCCCGAACCGCAATCGACAAGCGCCCAAAAGCGCAAGTTCGATGAACACCAGGAGGTGCAAGCCCCCGAAACGGTGAGTTCTTGTTCTTTTTGTGTTGTTGATCTGCTTTTGCTGACACGAGCCATCCCAGGGACCCAAATCGAAACAGCAGAAGATGTCGCCCCCAGCGCCAGTGACTAAGCCTGCTGCTAAACCAGCTCAAGTGAAGAACGAGCCCAGTGCACAGCCTCCCCGGAAAGGTTCTGCCGTAGGAACAGCGGTCGCTGATCTTACGCATGCCACACGGAAGAGCGTTGCTAATGCCCTGGTCAACTTGTTTGTAGGTCTGATATCTGAGGCCCAGAAGGAAGGGTCTTTCAAACTGCCCGAAGGATCCCAATGGAAGTCGGCGGAGGAATATGCTCGGCAGCTTGCTCTCTCGATCGAGAGCGCTATGTATCAGAATATATGCGGAGGAACTGGGGATCCCTCAGAGGCGTATAGGACCCATATGCGGACGATCTTGTTCAACGTAAAGAAGAACCCTTCTCTACGGGACCGTCTGCTCGTAGGTAGTTTATCTCCTGATACCCTCTCTAAGATGAGCTCGGAAGACATGGCAAGTGAGGAACTCCAGCAGAAGAATGCTGAGATCAAGCGGGAAGCCGAGCGACAGCATATCATCGTGCAGGACCAAGGGCCTCGCATTAGACGGACCCATAAGGGTGAAGAGTTGGTGGAAGACGACAACCACCTGGTCGCCAGCGAACCGGTCTTCTCGACCGCCGCCACGCGACGCAATTTGGCTGATGCAGATGGCAGTTCCGCTGGCCAGAGCCCGACGACGCCCGGGCCTGAGACTGATGGCTCTCGAAAGCCCTCAGCATCACAGGACGTCGACACCAAGAAGGCGGACGGCGTGTCTACTCACCATGACCACTTTCCCGCGCGGGCCCATTCCCCTGGTGGCACCAGCCACGAGCAGGTGTTCCCTGAAGTCTCCGCTCATATCCGTGAGCAGTTGCCCACCGGCAGGGCTCAGGCCGATGCAGAGATCGATCAGCTATTGCGAGACGACGAGCCCGACTCGCCGCCCTACTCGCCCAAGGACTTTCACGATGAAGGGTCCATCTGGCATGGCAAGGTGGTCATGAACCCGATTGCCGAGTTCTCCTCCTTTGCAAAGCATGTTGGAGGAGCGGACCTCAGTGGAAGGATCCCCTGGAGCCAGCTTGCTCCGTCGACATTGCTGATTGACGGACGAATTGATATTCAACTAGCCAGCAATTACCTCTGCGGCCTGCGATTCAGTTCCTCTACCGATGTGACCGTCATCTCTATCAGCCGTCCCGAGTCGCCCAAGGAACGGGTAGGTTTTGACAAGCTGTTCAGCTACTTCCAGGATCGCAAGCGATACGGCGTGGTCGGCATGCATCCACTGCCTGCCGTCAAGGATACCTACCTCATCCCTATCGAGGCTGGCTCGACTAAGAAGCCGGAGTTTATCGAGCTCCTCGAGAACAATGCCCTTGAAGATCCAACACCCGAACGGGTTCTCCTCGTGGTCTTTGCCGTCAAGACCGGCGATTCGAACCCCCCATCAGTGCAGCCTCCTTCACACATCCCGAGCCAGGAGCCCGGTACTTCTGCCAGTCCGCTGACCGTGGCCGCGGCAACACCTCAGCAGCCGCATTTTCTGACCCCTGGGACGCATGCGGCGGCCCAGTTCACACCGACCCCGGCATCATCATATGACGGAGCGTCTCAGACGCATATTCCTTATGGACAGCAAGTTCAACAACAGCCTCCACCAGCAGCTCCCCAATTTGGTCAGTTCCAACCTTCAGGACAGCCCAACCAGACCCCTCTCACCGGTCTCGCCGCAGCAGTGCAGGTATTGGGCCCTCAGGCCAATTCTCCTGCCATTCAGCAGCTGCTACATCAAGCTCCCAATGCAGATGTCTCCCAGTTGAGCGTGATCCGGGATATTTTGCTACGACGGCCCGAAGCCGGCTCCGATTACAAGATGTTGATGGATGAGTTGTTGATAGCAACGACGACCAACGGTCACGGTCCCTAGCAGAACGCAAGGTAGAGATGGGGATTCAACACTACTGCTGTACAGTACATCTTCTTCTCTGATATCTCCTTTTCATTTCATTGCAGGTTATCTTTTGGCTTGGTGTAATTTCTCACTGCTATTCCCATATGCTGGGAAAGGTTTTAAAAGGGTATTGGCGATCACGGGATTTTCTTTATTCATTTCTTCAATGTCTTCCTCTCTTCTGCTTGTCTTTCTTTATTTCAGAAACGCGGGCTTTTGAACCCAGCGACGTGTGTTTCAACATCGGGGATTTATGTTCTTTTTCTCTTCCCCCTTCATTTCCTATTTTTCTTTGGTTTTTCTTTTCTTATCGCATGCTGTTTGCCATGCGTTGAGTTTGTATGTCAAAATGAACATCATCCAATACATCATTCTCCTACGTGATTACTTGTGCTGAACGGCACCTCAGTCTAAAATCAGCAAGTAGTATACTAGTGTGGATTGAGCAACTGCGTCGACTCGATATGTATTTATTACTTTTCAATCCGTGACATCCTAGACGTGGTAGTAAGAGAGAACGCCTGCGCTATGCAAATCCAGACAGAATACAGCATTATCAAATCAACTCCAAGAATGGACGCTCGTCACGATTACCAGCGAGGACCACGCTTCTTATAACCACCACCGCCGCCATACCGAGGACCACGTCCACCACCCGAGCGTCCACCCCAACCCCCATCATCATCATCGTGGTGACGAACCGGCGGAGGCCGTCCCTTAAGTTCCTCGCTAAGCTTCTTAAACGTCTTGCGCATGTCCGAGTACCCCATGTGCATCTTGCCGAAGAAATGGTCCGCCAATCGACGATCGTTGTCGAGACGACTCAGGTACGCGCCGCACACATCACACACTTGGAGCTTCTGGTGACCCGATGGACCGGATGTGTCTTGGAGGTTCTTCAATTCCCGCTCGCAGGTTTCCTTTTGGTGCTTCGCGGTGCGGATCTTGTGCAGTTCGTTCAGGGCTTGCGCGACGGAGCCGGTTTCACCGAGCACGGAGATTTCCAGGAGACCTGAGTTGATGGTTTTGGTCAAGTCGGAGATTTGCTTCAGCTATATGTCATATGATTGTAATTAGTTCATGCTGTTTCTTTGTCCGCTTGGGAACTGGGGAAGGGGGGGGGGGGGTCCGTACCAGGTTGTTCGTCTGTCGGATCTCATCCGGGGTCTTTTCCAAACGTCGCTGAGCGGAATCAATACGTCGGTCACAGTCGTCAATGTACTTCTGCATATCGCGCATATAGTCGTAATCGAATCCCCATTTCGCCTTCTCTGCTGCCGAAGCGGTCTCATACTCCGTCTTCAATCCTTCACTGTGCACTTTCGGGCATTGACCCAGGTCCTGCTTGGTATTGGTGAAGAGGTCATGCGGACAGGTACCGACGAGATACGAGCGACAGACTTTCGGATCGGTGATTTGAAGCTGCGCATTGCGAGAGGGCGCGCCAGTACCTATGAGCTGGTCCGCTAGAAAAGAATCGGTTAGCATGCTGTGTTGGAGCTTGGTAGCTGCTGGGACGGGGGGGGAACTTACCTCCCATGAGCTGCTCGAGCAGCTTTCTCTGTTCCGCCGCCATGATGGGATGATGCCAGGGCAAGAATGGAGGGTGGGGAGCAAGAATGGTCAGAGCGTAATGGAGGGATTGAAGCTGATTGATTCAATGCAGCGTCGAGATTCTGCGGGTGGCGCTAACCGCGGCTGGCGCTTATGTGAGCCCCTGTCGGTTGAGTTGAGCTCACTTGCGGAGTATTCCGAGGTCATTCCCCCTACTCCATGTCACAGCGTGGAGACTGTGACTATTGAAACGTCTTATGCAGGATTGAGATATTTGTGAGGCTCGGTCAGCCTGTTTCAGCTTGTTTGCCCGTCCACCGCTATTGACCGTTCGTCGTCGCCGCTCGGAGGGCTGAACCACACCCCGTGTATGGCGGTGATAAGCTACGCAGCATAACTACTCCACCGTGTCTAGGGATTTCGCATCGGCAAGCATGACGTGATGACGGTCCTCTCGCTCCTTACTTTGCTCTTCGTTGTCGCGCTCTCCTCGTTCACCTCGGCGACGTCGGACTACCGCGAGAGCCTCGACCTCCAACCACTTCCGCAGTCAGCTCTGTTAGCATCATTCAACTTTCGAAGCAATGAGTCCCAGGCGTCCTTCGATGAACGGCATTTTCGCTATTTTCCCCGCGCGCTAGGCCAGATCCTACAACACGCCAATACCAAGGAGCTTCATCTCCGTTTCACCACTGGACGGTGGGATGCTGAGAGCTGGGGCCCTCGCCCTTGGAATGGAACCAAGGAGGGTGGTACTGGTGTGGAACTATGGGCGTGGATTGATGCTGCGGATGACGAAGCGTATGTTGCTTTGAGAGCATAAGTTGCAACTGAAGTGGTACTGATGGTCACTAGAGCTTTTGCGAAATGGATCACCCTGACCCAGTCTCTATCAGGGCTGTTTTGCGCGTCGCTGAATTTCATAGACTCAACCCGAACCACCCGGCCTGTTGCCTCGTTTGAACTCATGGGGGATCATCCGGCTTCGAGTAACCTGCATCTTCTGCACGGGACGCTTCCGGGTGAGGTGGTCTGCACGGAGAATCTGACGCCGTTCTTGAAGCTCCTTCCGTGCAAGGGCAAGGCGGGTGTTTCTAGTCTGTTGGATGGGCACAAGCTGTTTGATGCGTCTTGGCAGAGTATGTCTGTGGACATTGCTCCTGTCTGCCCTCGGTCTGGAGAATGTTCGGTGCATATTGATCAGACAGTGGACATTGTGCTGGACATTGACCGGTCAAAGCGGCCACGAGGTTAGTCTGTTAGGCATCTGCATATAACCTATTGTACTAATGGCTTCAGACAATCCAATTCCGCGGCCAGTACCTTCTGACCAGCTTGCATGCGACACGTCCAAGCCCTACCATTCTGATGACACCTGCTATCCTTTGGAAAGCACGTCTGCAAAGGGCTGGAGTCTGACCGAAATCTTCGGGCGCAGTGTCAGTGGAGCTTGTCCCCTTACCGAAAATGTCGACCAGGAGGAGCCGGTCTGCCTACGGGTGCCACATGAGCGCGAGGTGGTTGTCGCTTCGGGCGCCGTGGAGACCAAGAAGCCAGATGGCTTTACCCGGTGCTTCACCCTCCAGCCTTCTACTCCGTTCGACCTCACAATCCCTGAACAAGAAGTCACCACACACGTACCGCTTGATGAGCCCGTTCTGAGCGCAGAGCGGACGATTGTCGGCCATGGCCAAGAACGAGGCGGCATGCGGATCATCTTCGACAATCCTTCTGACACCAACTCTGTCGACTTTATCTACTTCGAGACCCTCCCATGGTTCCTGCGTCCGTATGTCCATACATTGCAGGCATCCATTACAGGACGTGACGGACTACATCGGCAAGTGCCCGCCTCGCAGTTCATCCGAGAATCCTTTTACAGACCTGCCATCGACCGAGAGCGCGGAACGCAACTGGAACTGGCGTTGACGATCCCTCCCGCATCGACTGTGACACTCACATACGACTTTGAGAAAGCAATTCTGCGGTATACCGAATACCCGCCGGACGCTAACCGGGGCTTCAACGTTGCGCCCGCAGTGATCAAGCTAGACGCAGCCAACGGTTCGAACCACCCGATCTACATCCGCACCACCAGCCTTCTTCTCCCGCTTCCCACCCCCGATTTCAGTATGCCGTACAACGTGATCATCTTGACCAGCACGGTGATTGCGCTAGCATTCGGCAGTATCTTCAACCTCCTCGTGCGTCGCTTCGTCACGGTAGAAGAGGCCGCCACGTTGACGGCCCAAACATTCAAGGGCCGGCTAAGCGGCAAGCTGGTAGCCCTACGAGACCGGATCAAGGGCAAGAGGGCCAAGACCGAATAGACAAAGCTCGATGCATATTGAACATTATACAATACAATACTACCCTTTTCACATCATATCCCATCATAATATCCGCATCTCAAACCAAACCATTCATATCATTTTACATGACTCATGATCAAGCCCAAAGTCGATAAATACCCAATCTACTCCGGATAAAGACTAAGAGACGAACTCTCATCAGCCTATTCCCAACCAACAACTCCAATCAACCAACCAACCTCCCCCTCCACCCCTCCCCCCCCTCAAAAGAGAAGATAGAAGATGGTAGTAAAGGCAAGACAGCTTACAATCCCAATTTATCCTTCAAAATCCCCCACCCCGGCAACGTATCCGACCCCCCCGGTTTCGATCCCGCGAAACTATGATCCTCCGTCGCACACGTCCCCTCCCTCTCATCATGTCCTTCGTCCCATCGACTCATGAACTTTTGCTCCGCGGCGCTCTTTTGTTGTGCGATGGACCGGAATTCGGGGGGGGTGAGGATGTCGGACTTTTCCAGAATCAACATTAGCATTAGTTATTAGGATTGAGGGATTTGGGGGGA